CGGTGAGGTCTTAGCTCATAAGGAACTCTAATCACCGGTGTTAAAAGTGAGATAGCGCTAAAAAACCGTTGTGGTAACTTTCGCTTCTACCTTCTCAGGTGGAAAGTTCTTACCTCTGCACCCACAAGGGGGTGCTGTATTTCTCTCACTTACACATATAATTGTTAGTACAGTTCATTCATTCATTACCCTTCTTATCTGTGGTAGAGTGGTGTTTACCGCTTATTCAGCTATTTCCCTATTTGTATGATATGAAAAATTCTATGTGCTTTTACACTTTTATCGTTACTCTCTGCACTTTTCGTAAGTACAGATAATATGGTTTCTCAACCTAAAGAGACTTATTACTCTCATGTGGAGTTTATTTTCATCTCTTTTATTGTGTAATTCAAGTTAATCAGTCAGCCTCATCTGTTTTACCGACAGAGCTGACTGAGACTTGACATTCATACAGCGTGTTTTCTAACTATGGCGTGTGTTTTGTGTCAAAAACAGTTTTCTTGTTTCATAAGAAGGTCCCTGACCTGTAGAATTTTAGGAGTTCTCTTCACCTCCTAGGGCCTCTAACCCTGTAATATAACCTCGGACAGGTCCCTGACCTGTAGAATTTTAGGGTTCCCACCCCCTAAGGACTCTAACCTAGCCTTATATAACCTCGTTATATTTCTATTCACTCGTCAGTAAATAGTGTGGTCAGCCACGACCTGGAAAATTTCTTTACCTTATCTTTTTTATCATTACACCATTGTAAAAATCCTTATCTTACTTACCATTAAAACATTGTAAAAATCTCTCATTATTTCTGCAATTGTCTCCACTTTCGTCTCCAATGATTATTTTTAGGACCACAATTACTGATTCAAGACACGAAGGTTTTGAATATATCCAATGAGCAGATTTTAGAAAAGGCCTGCTTACCTTTATTTTCACCGCAGTGTTTTGTGCCTGGATCTGTTCACTGGGTCGATTGGTCGAATGTCCTCCAAAAAACTCCTTCTTCTTTAAAAAGAAGAAATCCTGTTTGTGACGCCAAAAATTGTTGGTCTTTTCTTCTATGAGACCATACAGGTACGGAGTAAATGGAGGTAAAACCTATGGTTGGTAGAGAGAGTGGAGTCAATAACCAGAAGATGATCTGCTTTTCGCCGCTGCAGTGGGAGAACACGACAGCTTCCCCAGCTAAACCCGCGTTTAGCTCTTGTCTGCTGCATCAAGTGTTCTGCCTCCCTCTGACCATACAGCTGTATTTATTAAGAAATGATGGAACGTAACATACGCAGTTTGCCATTTGCACCTGCAGCAGCATATGTCATTAGTCTTGATAAGAAGGAACTAATTGCTTTGTTAGTCAGGAACTTATACATCACAAGGTCATGTAATTCTAAGATAAGCAGGAAGCATCCTGAAACATCCTTTGCTAACAAAGACAGTTTTCTTGTACTGAGGAACTGAGAGAAGGAAGGAATACTTTCACTCCCTTTCTGTGCAGGGGAAAATATGCAGCTGTTCAGCTTGTGCAGAAAAACACTGAGAGGCACTTGATCCTTCCATAATGTAGAAAATAGCATATAATAATGTATAAAAGAGCTTATAATAATGTTTAAAAGAGCTTATATGAGAGATACATATATTTTCAGTGGCTAGAGGGTTTTCCTCCGATGGCTAGTCAGAGTTAGCTCAACTAACAGAAAGCTGAATCTCACAGAATGCTGGAATGATGAATCACTCTCCAGTGATTCTGTTTTAATATTCTCATAATACGATTTACTTGGCCAGTCGGGTCGTGCCATGTTAAGGGGTGTTAACAACAAACCCTCAGAACATCACGCCTTCTTTCAGATACAGGATGCTATGATTTGTGGCTAAGAAAATATCTATGTGCAGTAATTACTTTAACTTTATTAAATCTTTAATGAACATTGTGTCTGAGTGTAGATAATGATTCACTTGTTAAACCAAACATTACTGATCATCATACATGAATCTTTCAATGTAATAATAATATTCATTTCAACTTCAGTAAGTCAAGCACAGATTAATCAAGACATTATTATTATTATTCATCAACCATTATTGTTCATTCAACCATATGTTTATTTACTATTACAGTATAACAGTTCAGTCCTTTATTCTGTGCAGGACAGCCTAGATAATCAGACAGGCTTGGCAGAGAAGAGCCTTGAGAAGGGAACATGATGTCGACAATCTGAGTGTAAACATGCAGTGTTGAATCTTTTCCAGTAGCTTGGAAGATTAAGAGATGCTCAGAGGCAGATGCATGTAGGTCAATCTGTAGGTGAAAACTGACAATTCCTGGACGTTACAATGGTTAAAAGCAAAGAACTCTTCCAAGATCTTTGTAATCTTATCGTTGAAATGCATTCTGATGGGAATGGTTATAGATGCATTTCCAAAGTGCTGAATGTTTCTGTGATCACTGTGGGGGCCATAGTCTAAAAATGGGAAGGGCTTCGTTTCACCATAAACCAACCATGATCAAGTGCTCCATGTAAAATTCCTGCCAAAGAAAAATCAGGAGAGTTCTCTAAGAGCAAAGAACCTTTCAGACAGAACTACAGGAAGACCCTCCTCAGCAGGTACTGTCGTGCTCCTGTTCCAGCTATGCCCCGTTTCTTCAGCAACCACAGCCTGCTCCTCATAAGCCTCATTCATTACACCTGTTCCTGCCTCATCTAGCCCATTCTATTCATCTGATTCTCCTGCTATATAAGAGCCATCTAACACTCTCATCAGTAGAGTTTCCAGCCCTTATTACTTACCTAGCAGGGGTGAAAAATTATTAAATTTTGGGGGAACAATAAACAGTAACATTTCAGAGAGTAATTTTTGGGTGTGATGAAAGAAAATGGCTGTCTCCTGCTGTATTGTAACTTTGCAGGATGGGCCTCCAGCATGAGCAAGTTAACTGAAAAACCAGCTGATCAGAGGCGAAGTGTCAGTACTTCCAGCTCTTGGGGAGTGCAGACGCTTTTTTCCCCCTCCTCTCCTCCTATCTTATCATCAAGGCCCTTTGTCTGTCTCTGTGCTGGTGCACGGCTGCTTCTGCATTTTTTCTAGAAACTGGAAACTGAAATTACTAAAATGGACCTGGTCAGCTGGTCTCTTAACGCAACTGATAAAAATTTTTCAACAATGAGAATGGGAGAAGCGGCTCCCGGATGCCCCTTTGGGACAGACCCAGTTGGACACATCATGGACTCCTGGAAACAGTGGAACTTGATTTGTTTATCTCAGCTGTCTGTAGAGGATTCTGAAGACATGTGGGTATCCGTGGTGTTGGTGTCAGAATTCCTGCTCATTGGCCTAGGAGGCTTCCTGGCTTACCGGAAAATTAACGAGCTGTCGAGGAATATTGGTTTGCTCCCGAAGCTCAGAGCTGGATTGCACCGCGCTGTGAATTCACAGACTCACATAATTGTCGAGATGAATCGTAAGCTTGGAATGTTGTCCGAGATTCAGGCTCTGGCAAAAAAGATGGATGCCATCAAGGAGCGAGTGGACAAATCAGCACAGATTGGAATAGATTAATTTACCCCATTATTGGGATTTTGAGATGTTGAGGACCAAGGAACTCTAAGACAGAGAGGAAATTATCTCTGTCTGGCTCCAAAACAATTTCTAATCTGAATCTGGTGCCCTTGAGCCTGTAAGACTCCAACAAATACTCCCCCTCAGAAGAAATGTGGAATGCTGCCGTCTCTATGGCAACTCTGTCTCCTATCCCAGCCTGGGCGGGACTGTGGGCTGTGAAGGCCGAAGAATCGTTCCAGGAGTCACTGCACACTCCAACCCTCAACGACCTCCTCCCCATGTTCAGACTGCGGTGACGAGAACTGCTTATCGTGGCTGTAGGAGCTGAAGTGTGGATTGTCCCGAACCCACCACCCCACCTAGTGGACACTTATGTTGTGTTGTCTGAAGTCTGTTGCATATATGTTTGAGGTGTTTTTTTGCAGAGCAAAGCTGCCCTCCCGGTGGAGGGTAACTCTGAAGTGACTTTTTTTCCCTCCACCTGAACCAATCCTCATGTAACCCTCTGATCTCTTTTAAGGTAGCACAACTCTGGTTGCGAATGACCACAGTCACCAATTCTTGTCATGTGTCTTGCCTATGTATGTCTAATCTCTGAATTGTGTGTACTGAAACTCTAATTTCCCTCTGGGATTAATAAAGTGTCTTTGAATTGATACAGAGTACAACTCCAAATCCAGCCATTTTCTTCTCCAACTAACTTCTTGTTCCTGAAACAGGATCACCAGAGCTTTTCCCCCAATAGATTACCTCACAAGGCATTCATTTATACTAGAGACCAATTCAGATGTGTTGAAAAAAAAAACAGTGAACTTGGTCTTTTAATAAATAATATTCAAAAAGGTAAAATGCTATTACATTTCTGGAACCTTTAACAATAAAGAGAAAACACCATCTATAAATATGTCAAAATAAAATCTGACTACAGTAACTTGATGTGGAAGCTGTTAAAAATCCAAAAAGTTTCCATCAAAATAATAATAAATATAAAAAATAAACACAAAACAGTTGATTTATTTTCTGTTACTCAGTGAGAGTTTACTTTAGTGGTGTGCCTGTTGATAATGTTTTTATAATTTCTTGGGATTGTTTATTTTGTGGATATTTGTGTTTTGCTTTGATTCTGTTTTGAAACCTGTTGTTTGTTAATCTTTTTGAGTTGGATCTAGCGTAACTAGGTGTGGGTTGTTCTGTTTTTAAAATAATGTTCAATGAAAAATTTTTGTTTCAAAAATGACCAATCAATGAATATTAATGAGGTAATTTACTATGCAACGCTAGGTACTTTTATAGTTCAGAAACAAGCAATTACTGCAAAAAAGCTATTTTCTGGATTGTGAAACAACCACAAAACCTTCATACAAATGCACTTTTTGTTTGTTTTCGCATCTGTTGTGCAAGACTTTTGTGTGCATGGTAAGAGCACCAGTTCCTTATTTTGCCTAGCAGCAATACTGCTTTGAGATGCTGAGAAGTAGGGAGTTTCTGCTTTTTTCCAAAATTGCATTTCCTTCCTTTTCATTAGTTGTTGCTCATAAAAGATTTTTTGTGGAGAGTTTGTAATGGTTAAGAGTGTCGCTGAAGAAGGAAGTGAAGAGAAAATGGAGACAGAAGTGGACTCAACCCAGGCCCACTATAACCCGCTGTTTGAAATGTCACTGAGCAAGAATGAGCTCCACAGGTTTGAGCCAGATGGTGAGCACTGCCTACAATCTCCTAACTTGCATTAGTTATGACAACTTTAAGGCCACAGTTCTCTAGACTGAACTGATGATGCGGGTCTGTTGTTTACATGATTTGTTAAATGTTTATTTTAAGGTTTTCAATGTATAATATTAGTCCTTGATTGTTTTCCTGTGTAATTTTCTGATTAGGCTCTGATTGTGGCTTGTTTGTTTCTGGGTTAATCTTGTATCCATAAGTCTCTGTTTTTGAAAAATTTAAAGCTGAAGCTGCTTCATGGCCATTCTGGTAGCGCTTGCCTGCCTGTTCAACTGATTGGTAGAGCATATCTAAAACTCCCCACAACTGACTGAACAAATAAATGAACCTAACAAGAAAAAAATTGTGAAATAGAATTATTTAAAAAAATATGCAGTTGTTTGAGGAAAATGTGTAAAATTATTACATTGCATTAATATTACCTTATTTTATTACAATTGTTAACACGACTGTTGCTCTTATTGCTTTGTTGCTATTATTGATTGGCATATACACTAAAGCCCTTATTGCCCCAAACCAAAAACTGCAAAAGTGAAATGTTTTCATGGCTTTTTCTTGGTGAGGAAGTTAAAAACAGCAGAGGATTAGGGTCTGCAAAGCACCACAAAGAAGGAACTGATGTGTATTGGTCTATGGTCCTGCAGCTGTAACAGCTCAAAAAAATTACCTACATATTATTTTTATGTTTATGATTTTTTTGTCTGAATGGTTTTGAGCCAGGAGGACAACTGTTTTAAACAAACTGTTCAATAAACTTAATTGTAACTGAGAAATTTTAGAGTAAATACATTTTCACTCAACTACAGCATTATACTGTATACTGTTTTATTTTTTAAACTATTGTTGATTTGAGAACTTTGGGCAACACATATTGGTTTCTTGTGTATCTCAAGATAAAACCAACAGACTGGAACATTGTTATGAGATCCTAGTTCTCTCAGAATGGGGGACATTTAACATTAATATCAGACTGAAACCCTGCCGTCATCTTCAGAATCACATTAAGAGATCTGTTTTGAACTGGTTTTCTTCATAACTGAAACAAAATTGTGGCTACTTGACTGTACATTTCTCCTTGTCCTGCCAGTGTGGTGTACACCTTAAGGTTTTGTGTCATGTGCTTTCAGCTGAACACATTTAGTCAGAAACTGAAGGCAAAGCTTATCACTGCTATGCAGATGATTTTCAGTTGTTCATCTCCTTTTGCCCTAATGAGTTCTCTAGGCTACACACCATACTAAGCTGCTTAGATTCAAACTGTGGGTGGGTGAGACACAATTGAAAAAAAAAAGTAATGAAAATGTCATCAGCACATCAAATAAATCCATCTCTAGGAGATATTCCTTTTTATTATCCATTGGATGGTCATGTCAAGTGCCTGTCTTGCTCCTGCTTCAATCAGCTTAACCCTTTGATGCACAACAAGGGTCAAAAGGGACCCGGCTGAGTTTATATTTTAGATATCTTTGCAATAAATAATTCTCATCATTCAATAGTCAAGGTATTCCTTGATTTACTTGTTTTATCATAATTTTTCTTTTCTTTATTTTCTGAATAAAAAATGTTTTTGTATCAGTACAATGCACAACATGGGTCCAAAATGATCCACATCCATTGCCTTGCAGCTCCGTGTTTCTATGATATATCTTTAAACTAAATTCATTTTATCAGTCACTCTTCCAAGTATGTCATAAATAACACAAATAATTATTTGTATTTGTATTTTCTCATGGTATCGACAAGCACAGCTTTGGTATTCCTACCTTAACTTTACACACATGGGTCAGAAATGACCCACATGAGTTTGCTAGCTTTTGGAGGTAAAATACAGTTCACAACTCGGCACAGTTCTCACCTCTCTGTCTCTTTCTTTGTCAATAAAGGCAAGTATTATTTTTTAATCGATTGATGACAATTATGAACTGTACTTAATATTTGATTAGGTTTGGCTTACTTTGAGAGTGAGTACATTATTTGTTAGAAAGTTACAAGTAATCATTAGCCACACAGGTGAATATACAGTATACAAGAGAAAGTAATAATAATAATAATAATAATAATAACAATAGTAAGTAATAAATATAAGTATTAGCACAATGCCTACATAATATTTCCGTAATGTTTCATGTCCATCCGTCTATCCATCCTTTTTCAGCCACTCATCCGGGATCAGGTCGCGGGGGCAGTAGACTAAGCAGGGAGGCCTAGACGTTACTCTCCCCAGCCACTTGGTCTAGCTCCTCCAGAGGAATCCTAAGGTCTTCCTTGCCAGGCATGAGACATAGTCTCTCCAGCATGTCCTGGGTCTTCGTTTGGGTCTCCTCCCGGTTGGACATGCCCGGAACACCTCACCAGGGAGGCATCCACGAGGCATCCTGACCAGATGCCCGAGCCACCTCACCTGGCTCCTCTCAATGTTTCATGTGTATTTTATACTTTTATTTGATTTCTTTAGAAGCAGAATGGAATAATATACTTTTAGACTTTTAGAATTTCATAAATTAGATTTTTACAATATTTTCCCCCTCTCACAAGTCACAACATTACAATGGACAACTTTTTCAGTGTCCCTCTGGCTGAGAAGAACCTGACCAATATTGGCACTCTTTGTTAGAATAAGCCAGACATACCACCTATCATATAGCCATCTAAATCATGGGAGATTCATAGCTCAGAATTTAGATTCAGTGGCAACAGGACCATGGTGAGGTATGTGCAGAAGGGAAAAGCTGTTGTCCTCCTGAGCATAAATATAGTTAAACTGGCATCCATTACTTGTTTGTGCTTTTTTTCTAATCATGTTTGGTCTACGGCTATGCACTTTTCATTTATTTGAGCAAAGCCCTCTTTGGTCACTTGCTGGTTGTCCTGAATGTTCCTGTCATGTCTCTGATAAGTTCACCCAAGATCCCTCATGTGACCCCACTGCTGATTCAGCTTCAAAGGCATCCAGTTAAATTCTGTATTTTAAAACATTCTAGCAGTAAAAAGCAGAACTCTCCAAGGGCAGGTTCGAAGTCATGTTTGGGATCTTTTTCATCCTTATGTGCCCAGCCCATCCCTGACTTCCTGTGACCAGGGCCACAATGTTAGAAACCAAAGGACACCGAGCCTTTTCTACAGTAGACCCCAGACTTATGAACTCTTAATTTGGACCTGAGACCTCTGATTTCCTCTGGTTTCGTTTAAAAGCTAATTTAAAAGAGCATTCTTCATTTAAGTGAAACTTTTATTATAGTTCTACTCTGAAAAGGCTGAAATTGTTGTGAACAAATTAAAAGAGGACGCTCCCTCCTCATGAACAAAATTTCAAAACCTCAATTGCTGTAGTGTCATACCTCAGAGCTTGTTTGTTTCTCTGGAGCTCAGTGAACAGCAGAACTGTGGTTACAGATGTTTGACAGAATAATTGTGTTTCTGTGCACTGATGAAGCAGGCTGTGACCAGTAGGTGGAGGCAGCATTTAATGTTTCCCACAAAGCATAGCAGGGTCTCTGTGAAAAACAGGTTCTACCAAGAAAGGCTTCTGGGTTAACAGAGCTGTGTTACGTACAAATAAATACATTAGTTGCTCTTCTGGTCTGGCCTTCACTAAAGAAAAAAATCAGTGAAACAAATAATTGGTTTTTAATTTCTAGTTTCTAAATAACAAATCAAAGCGTGACACATTTCAGGACTTTATACCAAACTGTGTCAGATGTTACTGAGCTATGTCTGAATTAGCACAAAAGCATGTGGAAGATGTCTGAGTGAAGTTATAATTATGTTGGTGTGGTTTTGTACAAGCTGATGATGGTTACACACCCTCGACCTCCAAATTGGTCTGCTGGATATAAAACTTATTTCCCACAGTAGGAGTTAGCTTCATGGACATTTGTTTTTACTCATTTTCTGTTGTTTGTTTCAGATCTAAAACCAGCAAAACCCAGAAGACGCTGGTATATTCTTCTACTGGTTTATATCATCTTACAGATAGCTGTAGATGTCTTTCTCATTTATACAGGTACTAAATACCTTTAAATAATGCTAATGATGAGATCATTGAAATACCATTTCTTAGAAATAATATTACATCAAACTTCTGTTTTCACTGTGATTGTGAAGAGAGTCGTATTAATCCTGAATCCTTCTGCGTGTTGTTTTTCTTTTGGGTCCAGTTTTCAAGTTGGGGTCTTCTCCCGCTAATCCCACATCCCATGGGCTGAGATTGGCTGGTGGCTCTCTGGGTGGAAGCAGCTTCCAAATCCACAACAGCAGCCAAGAAACCCAGAACATGAACCATCAACTACAGACTCTGCAGAGTCAGGTTCTGATTCAGTTTGATTGTATTTATTTTTTACATTTATTAATTTTGCTTTAGCAATGTTGGCAGGGATTTAGAGCTCTTCTGAGCTCATTTCATATCTTAGGGGCCCAAAACTAGAAAGCTCTATCCCCTTTGGATCTGCATTCCATCAATAGAAGCACCCGCTAGTCATGATGCAATGACCAAAGATCATGAGCAGTCACATGACCAAAAGGTCAGCTACAGCATTAACCTGCAACAACTGCATATTCAAAAGTATTTGTTTGAAACAGACACTGTATGTAAAGCATAAAGAGAACCAACATCAACAGAAATGTCAAAGCATCTACTAGTGGCACTTTGGGGTCACCGTGGTAACTGCCAGATGCTTTATAGAGTCACCATAACAACTACTGACTCAGATAAGTTACCATGGTAAACATCAGCAGAGCAAAAAGGTCACCAGAGAAACCACCCTTTAGGTCTGGCCATTAAAATTATCAGTGGCTTATTAGGGTCACTATGGTAACTAGGGATGTGAGAAACTATTGATATGGCAATATATCATGATTTTTTCCAGCGACATTATATCTATTTTCAAAAGCTGTGTATCTAATTTTTGGAAGAATTTTCATGCAAACATTTGTGTATTTTCTTTTCTTTTGGTGCGGTTCAAACGCCGACTGCTAGTTGGCAGCAGTGTACAATAGAGGTTGCAAGACTTAAGTTTTTTTAGAGTCGACAGTCAAGTAATGAAAATCGAGTCGACTTCGACTAGTCGTTGATGACGTCATACACCTGAAGTTGCGGCGGGGGGGGGGGGGGGGGGGGGGGGTTGGTTGGTTCGCTGGAGTTTTTGACAATTAAAATTGCGCCCACATTTTCAAAGTTAAACACATTTCTTTTAACAATGGTAGTTTCTGCTTCAGCCCTCTCCCCCCTCCCCCTGCGCAGCGGCGCAAACTCACTGATGCGCCTGCAGCCTCTCGGAGTTCCTGCTGCTCTAAACATTAAAATAATTGTTTCAGTTTCTGTTCCTCACTTCTGATTACCTTCAGTGGTGTCTGTTTGTTGCCACCACCAGGTACAAAAACTAACTTGTTTTTATTTGACTATTTTTCTGTCCTGCCTGTTTATTATCTTCCTGCATCTCCTCTTAATCCTAAAGAAAAACTGCTACCTGGGTTCATATATATTCACCTTATGAGTTACCTTTGAACTACAGTTCTAAAAGATCTACCGGCACAGGGCGAGCTGCTCGCCGGCCGCAGTGCGTCACCAGAGGACAAAACAGATGATGCGCCCCGCTCCACAGCAGCGGGGTGCATCAGGCAAAAATAAAAGACAGAAAACATAAAAGGAAATGAGCCGAAGTGAACGATCGCGTTACATTTGTTTTTGAGTGGTGACACCTGATTTGATAATGTTACTGTGGCCGTGCTCAGGACGCAGATGTCTGGAGCTCGTCAACGATCAAAGCTTTGCATGCGCAAGCTGGTTAAGGTTAGGATGGGGGTGAGGGGAAGGTTAAATTGCAAGAGGGAAAAGGTCACAATTCGGTTAAATGTCAGTTTTACGGCGGGTGTCAGTACCGACACTCTGGCACAGCGCGTCGCCTCCGCCTCGATCCAGACGCGCAGGGGCTCGTCACCTGCTGTCTTTTCTGAGGACTGCATCTTGTCATTATCACGTGACAGCGACTAGTCGATGACAGGCATAAAAAGTCACTACAGAGCAGTGAGGTCGACTAGTCGACTAGTTCATACAACCCCTAGTGTACAATGGGTTTTGTTTTGCCCCATTGAAATGTAAATCCCTATTATGGTTCAGATACCTAATATTAAACATGTTAAGTATCAGTTTGGACTGTTTATTGAATTTTCGTACAAAAAAATTCTGTCTAAAAAACGTCTAAAAACGTCTAATAACATCTAACTGAATGTATCGCAATATATTGTGATATATATTGCATTGACTTTCCTGTATCGTGATACATATCGTATCACCAAAATTTCATCAATACACATACCTAATGGTAACAATACCGGAATGCAATTGGCAGTGTGAGACCAGACTTCACTGACGCCAGGAACGCCAACACAAGCGGGGTGTGAGGGTATTTATGATAAGCACCGTATTTTTGAATGTTTTATGAAAGCTAGCTCCTTCACTCCCCTGCTTTGTATCATTGACAGATAACAAGCTTGTGTGGTAAGGAGGGACTGCTGGACCAACTGAAGGCTGATGTGAACCTGCTTAACACCAGCACCTACAACCTGCAGGACAAACTGTCAATCATCAGCCTCAGAACAGGTAAACAAATTTGTATCTGCAATGTGAAACATTTGTAAATAAATACAGAAAACACTTTACTTTCTTAAAAGTGTCTGTATGTTGGGTGTGAGTCATTTATAATGACTGCTTACAGGACCTCCAGGTCTTCCTGGTACAAACGGGCATCCTGGAATTCCAGGTCGAAAGGGAGACCAAGGCCTGAAAGGTGAGTCAATTGTGAGGGTGAAATGAGAGAGACGTTGATACATCCAACTACAGCTCTGACTGTTAATGCAGTCATGACTTGTGTGTTGAGATAAACTTTGTAGATTACATTTGAACAAAAATGTGACCTGATTAATCCCCCTTCTGTTGTGTCACAACCTGGCTCAAAGTCCTAAACATGAAAGTGGGAGAGTCAAGAACTTTCCTCCAAAAAGTCAATAATTTGTTTACAAACTAATCAAAATCATTGTGAGATGTGGGGACCCATGTAAGAACAATATGTACTGTAATGTTAAAGGATAAATAAAAGACAAATGGGTTCTGAAAAAAAAACAGCAAGAACTCACCAGGACCAACTAACAAAGTCATCTCTAATATCTGAGGAGAAGGACTTGCTCTAGATGAGGACTGGTGCAGGAGCTGGTTTGGTTTTCCCCTGCCAAAACGCTAACGCATCCTGTTCAGAAAACAACTGAATCAGGTTTCAGACCAGGGACACAGCCTGACTTGGTAAACACTGCAGAAGTGAGCATTACTGTGTGGGGGTCACTGTTCTCTAGTTACCCAAGTCCTGTCATTGTTCTTAAGCAACCCAGAGTTCTTCAGTAATGTAGGGTCTATGACTGTTTCTTCAGTCTTATAGTTTTGGTTTACTGGGAAGGTTTTCTGAGGTTATTTTTCTGCCTAACAATTTTTTTTTCTGCTCGTGGATCAGATGAGTCACCATGTAAAACCACTCACTGCATAAAAAAGCATGTGAGCACAGAAATAGAGCTGATAGACCAGTACTCTGTAACTGTTGCTCTTAGATCTATTTATGTTTTTACATCATTCACAAAGAACAACACATGAAAAAACATTATCCATATCATCATTTATCAAAAGTTTTATTTTTCTCCTTACTTCAAAACATAATAATAGGAACAAAATGGTGTGTGTGTGTGTGTGTGTGTGTGTGTGTGTTTGTTTGTTTGTTTGTTTGTTTCATTTTAAATATGACTACAACAACTCTATTGAATATTTAGAAATAGAAAAATATTCTCAGAATTCTGAGACAAAAGAAAACTTTAGGTTAGTGGCCTAATCCTTCTTTGTAGATTTTTCTCAAAATGCATAACTTTTCATTTTTCGAAGGCCCCTGTGATTGTTGTGACTCTAAAAAGTTTTAGTCATTGGACTGAGGATAAAAAGGGCTCTTTGAACTGTGATGGTTGAAGACCCCTTAGATGGATTGAAACCCTTCTCAGTTCCTCCCAGCTGGGGAGAAACCTGTCTAACTCTTGGCTTGTAGTACTACACATGTTCTGTAAAACCTTGAGATGGCCTCTCTTATTACAGAACAAGAAGCACACTGAGGACAGATACTCACTCTGGTTTTATTCTTTACAGGGGACAGCGGGACTGCTGGACCTCAAGGACCACATGGGGATAAAGGTGCTAAAGGGGATAAAGGAGAGCAAGGAGTTGGTCAAGTTGGTGAGATGTGATATCAATAAATATTAAAATGCTTACTAGAAAACAAGTTTAGAAAGTTGTTCTGTAACAAAGACGGTGCTATACCAGGGGTCGGCAACCTGTTCCCATCAAAGAGCCATTATTACCCATTTCCCACAGTAAAGAAAACACTGGGAGCCACAGCAGCCGCGGCGTTGTGGGCGGGGCCTACCCTCAGACATCTGAGAGCTGCTTTAACCAATCACAACAGGTGACAGCAGCCAGTACCGGTCGCTCGTGTACATCAAAGCTGTCTTTCATAAGAAGATAATCAATAAAACAATTTATATAAAATGGATCCAGAAGTTGTAGCCCGTCTATCTCTGCTTACAATATTTTGATATTTTTTTACCCTGTTGGTGGTTTTACTGAGCAGGTGCCACTTTTGTCATACGTTTCTTTTAAAAACATGTTTAGACTGTTCAGAATACAAATCCAGGCTCTGTCACGTTTGATTGTTGTAATTAAACTTTGTAGGTGGGGACGGTCAGAAAAGGATCCGATCAATTTGTTTTTCCCTCATTTACAGTGACGGAGATAACGGCGCAGTGCGCCTGGCTCTGGTGTTAATCAAGTTAAATTATATCTCTTTGCAACAATTTTCACAAGAAAACAGAACAGTTAAAAGCAGGGCTTGTGTTGTGTTGACCGGATAGTTCCCGTATTTGGCCGTTTATTTTGACGGAGAAAGAATAGAAAGAATTACCCCGACGCATGCAGACGAACTGACACTTTATACATTATGCACATCGCAGATGTAGCTAAATCACTCAAGAAAAGATTCCCATCTGAACATCTGAGCTGGACACTGCTCAGCGCAGCTCACTGTCAGCGTGTACTACATAAGGTCCACAGCGAGCTGAAGATGTGGAGAGGGGCTTGGAGCGCGTCACAGAGCCAGAGCGCATGCGGGAAGATTCCTCCGACTGAAGCGAGACTTGTCACTTAGAAAATGTTCCCTGATTATGAAACTTTGGCTGAATAGTGCTTGTTCCTGTCTCCAATGTGGCGACACATCCAGGAGCCGTCTGAGGAGAAGCCCAGAATCTCACATCCTCGTCATCTCAGAATGCGCCGATATGATTACGCACAAGCGTGACGCATCAACCCGGTCTCACAGTAAGACCGGGTTGGAACTGTTCAGGTTTACGCAGACAATCTTTACATCTAGAATTGGCATACAGATGTAAAAGTAATGCAGTACAATATAAAGCATTTTATTTAAATATCCATTCATTATTTTACAAGCACAGAGAGCCGCATCAGATGGATGGAAGAGCCGCGGGTCGCCGACCCCTGTGCTATACTAACACTACAATCAGTTTCACATCATGTTCTGAAACTTGGGAACACCACCTCCTTCATGGAAAAAACATATCAGCAGATCTTACTCATGAATTAACTTCCTCTTTTAATCTGATGCTGCTGACTCATCCTGCTGACAGGCCGTGTGTGTGTGTGTGTGTGTGTGTGTGTGTGTGTGTGTGTGTGTGTGTGTGTGTGTGTGTGTGTGTGTGTGTGTGTGTGTGTGTGTGTTCTACTACAGGTCCCAGAGGTCCACCAGGGGACCTAGGAGTAAATATAAAGGGAGAAAAGGGGGACCCTGGAATTCCAGGTAAGTGCCTGCTCTGGTCTACATGAGGATGTAACATTGTCTTGTTTTGTGTCTGACTAGTCTAAATGAGAGAATGTGTGTAAGGAACTAGATTGCTGCAGACAGGGAACCCCTCACACTTGTGTGACCTCCAACTTTTGACTTGCTGTGATGCTTTCAGGTCCTCGTGGAGCAAAAGGTGACACTGGGATACGTGGTTCAGCAGGTACATAAAGTGTTTCATAACTCTGAACTTTTCATCTTCTCTATTTTAGCATCAGTACGAGCTGAACTCATGATTAACTACAGTCTCCCTGCCTGAAAGCAGTATCAAGTTTTTTGTAATCCAGGCTTTTCTCTCTTTTGGGAGGATTTTACTTTGTCAGAATATAGATAACATCTCCAAGTGTCCTGCGGGGGTTAAACTACAGAGGAGGATGTTGCATGATGGGATTATGTTGAGCCAGGTGGGAAGAAGGAGGCTGTGATCAAGGGTCTGCTTGGACAGCTTTAGCAACAGAGATCTTGCTTTAGATTAAATTAGCAGGCTTAACAGCACTTAAGCTCCATCAAACATGTTACAGTAAGTCTTAGGCCATTTATAAGCACTGTGAATAAAACCATGTACTGTTTTCTGTCAGTGTCAGCTTTAAGAATGACATGCCTAAATCAAATCAAATCAAATCAACTTTATTTATACAGCACTTTTCATACAAATAAATGCAACTCAAAGTGCTTTACAGATTAAAATGGCCCCATAGATCCCACATTCCCATCCCAGCCCCCCTCCCCAAGTATAAAACAATTAAAAATTACAGTTCCCCTCCCGCACCCAACTTCCAAAAGTGGACATACAATCACCCGCACACTCGTCCATGCACACACACACACGCACACACACACACTCGTGAACACCAGAGTAAACAATAGGCTGAGTTCAGATGGGTCAGGTAATGAACGACACATCATCAGCGGAGCCATCTGCCCTGGCAGCAACAGATCCACGGCAGCAGCCAAGACACTGGCCCATGACGCCCAGTGGCGTCATGGGCCTAAAACAAGCAGTTTCAGATATCCAGGTGAGTAGGTGAGTGCAGCCAGCAACAGCTTGTTTTTCTTGTGACAGAGCTCTGAAACAGCTGAAATCACTTTATGTGAGGGGTTTTATCCAAAAAACACAACATCCTGGACATGTTTTTTGTAGACCTCAGAAATATTAGATCCCTAAAGAAGTCACAATAGTCTCCTGTAAGTTGAAATGCTCTTGAACTACCAGAAGAGGGGGCTGCTGTCCCCACCTCCATTGCTATTGATATGTTGTTAGTCGACAGTCAGCCGGGACACTCTTACTATCTGCTGATGGTTGGAAATCTACAGCCACTGGAACGGAACTGCTTCACTCTCAGGCTTGATGAAGTTGATGGAAAGTCAGAAGAAGTTAAACTACATTAGGTTCTTATTCCTGAGTGAGGGTACAACAGGGGCTGTGCCTCCAGTGACACTGTGCTAATCTATAGTGGTAAAGAGGGAGCTGATCCTGAAAGCGAGGCCATTAATTTAACCAACCAGCCATCTAGATGCCTTCTTTGGGAGATGTTCAAGACATGTCCCATCGGGAAGAGGCACAGAAGCAGACCAAAGACTCTCTGAAGACATTAATCTCACAGGTCTTACAAGATTACCTTGGAGTCACTCTGGGTGAGCTGGAGAATGAAGCTTGAGAGGGAAGATTCTGCAGAACATTTGGTCCCTATGATCTGTTTGGTGGGTGGATGGAACAAACACCAAAATCCTCAGGTTCAGGGGCACAGTTCACTGTAGTTTACTGTTGTTTCTGTATTTGTGAGTGCATTCATAAGAAACGTGTTGTTTAGGAGACCCTGGACAGCGTGGTCTAACTGGGTCCAAAGGGGACAAAGGAGACACAGGGTCTACTGGTCTACAGGGACCCCCAGGTTAGTTGCTCATTGCAGAACAAACACAAACACTTTTTCATAGCCTGCTGCAATAATAAAATCTGTGGCCTGGCCTGCCAGACTCCTCTGTTTAATTCTGCACTGAGAAAGGGTCTGGGGAACTCTCATATTCAAATAACCCCACCCTGTGAGAATTCTAACCGAGCCAATCAGCGCTGAGTATCGTACATCACACCCCGTAACGCCGAGTTTGTCAAACATGGCAACTGAAGCAGAGTTTGCTGCGGCTATTTCCTCTGTTCTACATGACTTGGACACGTCTTTAAAACAACAAGTAGAAGCGCTAAAAGCCTTTCTTCTAAAGAAAAAGATGTTTGCCCCGTTGTCAGACGCAATTTTTTACTACAGCTAAAAACTACAGCGTCGCATGGTACAGTCGGCATTTCTGTCTTTTTTCTGATTGGTTATTTTTGAGCTGCCTAGTCCCGCCCCTCAAGTGCCTCTCTGCCTGTGAGTTACCAGACTCTTTCTCTGTGCAGAATTAAACAGAGGACGAGTCTGGCAGGTCAAGCTAGAATGATCTGTAGTTTATTGTCTAAATTTTCAGGGTTGTTGAAAATCTACTAATTGAGACGTTTTAAGTAATATGCGGGCAAAACACTCGTCATTCCCATCACAACAGCAGGGCTCTGCACAGCCCATGTCCTGGTTCTCTGCTCTTTTGCCCTAACCCTACCCAATGTGGCTCTCACTTCTTCATTCAAGAGTGGCGCCAAACTTCACTTCAGGGTGAAAGTAAAAAAAAGTCAGAGAACTACATGCAATTAAAACCACAACAGAATGGAATCAAAACTTGTAAGAAACAAGAAACTAGATTTGTTTCTAAATCTAATAAGAGTGCAATTCTTATACTGTATAATGTTGGCTAAATCTCTGTGAACAGCCACTAAGGTGGCTTTTCTTTTTAAGGAGTTGCTTTTAGTGAACTGAAGTGAATAATAACTTTTTCCACCCATGTTCTTTCTTTTTGATCCAGTTTGTGAGTTAGAACCATTTCACCACTTCACACCATGAAGATGAACACATACTCACGTCTACCACTTTATCAACTCTGAACTGCTTTACTAACCCAACATTCCCTCCAATCTGACACCAATCAAAACAACGGAAGACTCGCTATTCGCCCTGGAACAGAGTGGGTCGCTGGCTTTTGCCGCTGGCCGCTGCCCCATGTCGCCTATTTTACGTCAGGTTGTGAGAACGGTTTTGCTGATCACAGTCATTTGTTGCCTCCCGTGTGTCGAGCCCGTAAGATTCCTAAATCAGATGAGTTTAAGGTTAACTTATTGTCCTATCAACAGGGCCAAGAGGACCTGGAGGTGTGAATGGAACTGTTGGTGAGTGTGGTTTCTACCTAGAACCTGGCAAGAAACTACCTGAAGAAGAAAAAACTTGGACACAAAACAAACTATTTTCCTTATAAATATGTTACATTTGTAATCGCAAATGCTGTTTTTAAAATGATATATGATAGTGAAAAATTCAAGACAAAAGGTTTTTGGGATCTTTTTTGTTCCTCTGTAGGTGCCCCGGGTCCTGAAGGTCCCAAAGGAGAAAAGGGTGGCAGTGAAAGACAGAGTAAGTGAATAACACTAACAACCATCCATCAGGTAAATCCTAAAGAACATGACTAAGGAATAAGTATGACAATCAGAGTGAGATGTGATCAAGGGCGTCAGTTTGTTTTCAGAATTGCTGGGGACAATAACCATACACTTGAGTGGGGTTTAAAAATTGCTGGGGACAATAAAGTAGGCTAGCACAGGGGTCGGCAATCCGCGGCTCTGGAGCCGCATGCGGCTCTTCCATCCATCTGATGCAACTCTCTGTGCTTGTAAAATAATAAATGGATATTTAAATAAAATGCTTTATATTTTACTGCATTAATTTTACACCTGTATGCCAATTCTAAATGTAGATTGTCTGCGTAAACCTGAACAGGTCCAACCCGGTCTGCGGTGGTTGACCGGTCACGCTTGTGCGTAATCATATAGGCACTTTATGAGCTGAAGAGGATGTGAGATTCTGGGCTTCTCCTCAGACGGCTCCTGGATGTGTCGCCACATTGGAGACAGGAACAAGCACTATTCAACCAAAGTTTCATAATCAGGGAACATTTTCTAAGTGACAAGTCTCTCTGAGAGACAGGGTTTGGAAAACACTCGCTTCAGTGGGAGGAACCTTCCCGCATGCGCTCTGCATGGTTCTCTGCGTGGCTCTAGGGTTAATCAAGTTTAATTGTTTCTCTTTGCAACAATCTTCACAGGAAGGCAAAACAGTTAAACGGCAGGTTACATATATTTCCATTTGACTGTTTATTTTGACAGATGAACTCAAGGATGTTGCTTGGTTTGAAAAAATTACCCCGACGCACACGGATGCTCATGGATGAGCTGACATTTTAATCGTTAACGCACACGCGGAGGTAAAATATTCCCATCAGAACATCAGAGCTCTTTATACTGGACACTGTGTTCAGCGCGGCTCGGAGCGCCCCCGATGGACAGTGAGCTGAAGATCTGGGGTTCGCAGTGCAGAACCACGCGCATGCGATGATTTCCTCCCACTGAAGCGTTCTGGAAACCCGGTCTCTCTGAGGGATGTGTCACTTGGAAAATGTTCTTTTTATGAAATTATGAAACTTTGGCTGAACAGCGCTTGTTCCCGTCTTCCGCATGAAGCGTAGAGACATTTGATCACGCACAAAGTTTATGTGGAGCAGAAGCGGTCGGGCCACGGCAGGTGAAACGTTCCTAGCCTACATGAAGTGAAACTGTTTAATTGTAACATTAATGTGTTACTGGACACGCTGGTCTGGTTGGTTAGACCAGTGTTTGAAGTGGAAAACACACACACACACACTCACTCACACACACACACACACACACACACACACACACACACACACACACACACACACACACACACACACACCAATTAAAATATAAAATAATGCTGATAGCGTGGACTAGAAGACAGGTGATGGTTTACGTATTTAAATGATGATCAGGCTGCTGTAAAATGTAATCTCCATCCACATCCAGACACAATTATCCTCTATTCTTTCTCTAGTCGCTCTGCTCTTGTCTGGGCTGATCAGCTGATGGTGCGCGCGCGCCTAACTAGCGGCTGATGCACATTTTACGCATTTGGAGAGGTGGACTGGATGCTTTGCGTTTACTGGAAGATGGTCCACTTCACGCACGGGTGTAGACTACATATTAATGACAAATGAATGAAAATTAAATTGTGAGTTTTTACTTCATATTTTAGAAATAAAAATGACGGGGGAACACATTTATGACGTCTTTTTAAACGAAATTTTCTAGCGCGACCTGCCTGCTTCACTTAAGTCACTGCTTATTAAGGTCCGTCCAAAATTACCGTGGGAAACGGGTAATAATGGCTCTTTGATGGGAACAGGTTGCCGACCCCTGGATAAGATCTGAGCTGGTAAAACAAAAATCCTCATCAGCAGGCGTTTTTGAAAGTGGGGGGGACACAGCTGCCAATCACAAATTTTGCCGGGGACATGTCCCCGGCGTCCCCGGTTAAAATGACGCCTATGGATGTGATTCAATACACTCATTGGGTTGTTCTACTGATGAAGTGATGGAGAGAGAAGCACACTGAGTCATCAGTGAACCAAACTCAAAGAAACTTTGATTATGAAAGGCTCAGGCACAATCAGTCAGAGGATTCTGATGAACTGGCAACACACTGAAACATCTCTCGTCCATCTTGTTAAGATCTAGTTGATGTCAACTTAGCTGACTGAGTGATGAGTATTTTAAAGGTTAACTCTGTTCTGGTATTAAGACTTTTATCAACTTTGTGGATTTTAAAACACCTTCAGTTTTGGGAAACCTTTTACCAAGTTTTAACCAGGTGTTTTAATTGTTAATAAGTTGTCTTGTAATGTTAACCTTTAGAGAGTTTTTTTCCCCCTTTGGCATTATTTTAACAATGCTTACCATCTGTTTTGCACTTGTTTTAAAACATTTTATGACAATTAAACACTTTTAATTCCACTGTTCCAAGTTCTTATGTTACCCCCTCATAACCCTAACCCTCCTTCACATTTTAACAGCACATGTCGGGGTTGTAACATAACATGTAACAGAAATGAACTCAAAAGATCCCTAAACTGTCTTTTAGATTATGTTTTTTGACAAGTCATATTTACAGTGGTGGGCTGGCAGGATTAATAAGAGAAGGGGAGGAGAGTAAATAAACAATAAATACACCAAGGCTCTAACACAGGGGTGTCAAACTCATTTTAGCTCAGGGGCCACATTGAGGGAAATCTAGTCCCAAGTGGGCCGGACCGGTAAATTAAAAACAGCTTCAGATTGTTTTCTTTGTATTAACACAATCAATATAAAACAAGGCTGGAGCCTGAGGACAGTGTATCCAAAATAGTACAAGTACAACACCTGAAGTGTACTTGAAATTTTGAAAGAAATTGAAAAACAATCAATTAAAAAGAATTCCTTAGTGATTCAAAGAGCTTACAGATCACATGGCTAGATCAGTTTCATGCAGCACTTAAAGCATATTTGACTCATTTTAATTTACATCTTTTAGCTTTCACCAGCACATCAATATCAGGAGTCACATCCTGAGTGGCGGCCAACTTCAGGATATGATTCAAGTTCTTGTGTGAGCCTTGAGTGCAGCTTTGTTTTATTTATACTCATTACAGAGGAAACTTGCTCACAAAGATACGTTTATTTTCACTCTACATTGTAAAGTATGAAAATAAAGTTCACACAACCATCTCGCGGGCCGGATGTAACCCGCTTGTGGGCCGCATCAGGCCCGCAGGCCACATATTTGACACCCCTGCTCTAACATATACACTCCTATCTTCAGCCTATAAATATATATGCATTCATGATTATTCAGGCAGCATGGATCAACAGCGGGTGATAGAGTAAGCAAGGATGGAGAGATTCACCGACCTGAAATGGTGGTTTGTTCGTGACATTAGCAATGCGACTGCACGGGTAGCATCGGTGTGTATCAGATACAGATGACAGCAAATATCTTTCCTGGTGTGTCTCTCATCGGTTAAGAACATGGTTACTTTGATTACTTCTCAGTTTACGTGCTATGTCCTTTTTGAGGCGTGCACTATCAGTATCTTTTTGTGTTTGTTTCCGGAAGCCAGGTAGCCGCAGTTAGAAAAGTCAACCAGGGCTGGAAGTTTTATCAAAAATGTAATGTTGTCAAAACTTCTGATTAACAATATAATTTATCCCATGTCAATAAATTCAATAATAAAAAAAGTATGTTTTATGCCATTTTTGAGTGTGACCAAATGCCATTTGAAACAGAGTTAAATAAACTCCTAGAGTTGAAATGACACTTTATTTAGTGATACAGGGAAGGAGGGCATAGTCCAAGAGGTGTTTTTACAGTGCTTGTTCCAGCGGCTCTCGGAAACGTAACCCAGACGCCGCTTTGTTTTAGATAGGGTCCAGTAGTGACGTGCTGAACAATAACCGACTGAGATCCCTTTGATTCTTAGTGAATTAATTTTAATACTTGAACTTCTGAGTTGTATCGTTCACATTGTCAGCAGAAGCAGTCTAGACTCACTTTATTCTCAGCTATCTGTTATGCAGTCAACAAATAGTGTGGCGCCCCATCTCACTGACAGTCGCCTCCCCACGGGTGGAACTGATGCGGGATTTAAAGGATTTCCACTCCCACTTGATTGACCCACATATCAAGATCACATCAAAACAAACATTATGAACATTAACAAATACAATCAAACTCTTTATTTACTATAAGGCTCATACAGTGCTTTAAGAGGGCATGTACACACTTTTTTTCAGCATGAGGTTGGTAGTTGTTCTGGCCATTTATCAGTCTAAATCTTCACAATGAGTGAAAAAGACCAGGTGAGGTTTGAGAAGCAACAGCTGATGTTTTGATATTTGGTTGTTCTGTTTCTCTGGAAGAGTAGAGATCCTGGGCGCTGGCCTTACCTCCTGCAAAGCATTATGGGACATGTTTAGCCCTACTGGTGAAGGCTGAGGATCTCCTTGTTCCTGTTCACCTGACAGTTTTTATCTTTTCTACTGGTCTATAATTCTGATCATGTTAAAATGTGGATCCTAGGGAACCTTTGTGATGGAACAGTGTTTGTTAATCTAAGAGTGAGCAGAATGTTTTAGTTTCTATCGAACAGGATCTCATGTGGATTGATCTCTGGATCTCAACAGTAACTGTGCGCCTCGTGCCTGGGATGTACAGTGGACGAGTGGAGGTCCTGCACCAAGGTGTCTGGGGCACCATTTGTGATGACAACTTTGGTAGTAATGATGGAATGGTTATCTGTAAGATGCTAGGCTTCCAGTCAGTCCTCACAACCTTCACTGCTCCTCCAGGTGAGCCACTTGCTCCCTCAACCCATCTTCTCATTGGACCACCTTGTGTCTGTACAATGTACCTTGTTTAGATCTGAGTCATACCTGAACAATTGCTTCTTAAATCCAAGCAAAATGTTTTGATCTTCTTTTGCTTTTTTTGTTTCATAAAATGTATTGTTAAAGTTTTTGAGAGCTCACCATTAATGCACTTGTGATGCTGCTGATCTGTTCCAGGTTCTGGTCAAATCTGGTTGGATGAACTGCATTGCGCCGGAAATGAATCTGATGTTTTTGACTGTCAACACGGTGAAACTGGAGTTCACAACTGCAGCCATGATGAGGATGCTGGAGTACAGTGTTACTAGAATTAGGATAACATTCAGTGATTTTGTGCTATTAGAAAACCCCAATAAGACACCGCGGTACCTTTCTGATTTACTCTAATATCGGGTTAAGAAGACCAAAAGCTAACGTTGCGCTAACAATGCTAACAGTACATTTTTAAAAGTGTCAGCTCTAAAAACATCTCAAGATACTTTTTCAGTTACTAACAACTCATTATTAAAGTGAAATGTATATACCTACTTATCAACTTACTGTGTCTGACTCCTTTTCAATTGTTTTCTTGAATCTTCTGGAACTGGTCCATAACTGGAAACTCGCCATTAAAGTCATGGGGTTGTGAGCTGAGAGTGGATGTGTGCTTTGACACATAAACTGCAGTGCCTAAATTTGACCACAAGATGTTATTATGCACATTTAAAGGATCTGAAATCAACAATTAACCGGTCTTCCCCAAATCTCAAGATCCTAATAAATGTTGTAGTCCATAGTGGTCAGCTCTGAGTCACGAACAGATCTGCTGCTTCTGGTAAATAGCAGGGAATAAAGAGGGCATTGTGTTTCTCTGCTCAATGAAAGATGTTTTCAATATTTGTCCCAAGACCATCTAACACAGTGGTGTCCAACCCTGGTGGTGGTGGTGGTGGTGGGGAGGATTGGGGTGATATTTGTGAATATTTGAAGATTAAAAATAAACAGGACCTGAGGCGTTCAGACAGCCGATGTGGACTCAGCTGCACCACTTTGGGGGCAAAATTCTTTTATATCCACCAGAAGCTCAGTGGCTATTTAAACGTCCAATAGTCTCATGGTTCTGACTAATCAAACTGTCAAATATTACTAAATGAAGATCTACCCCAACTTCAGAAGGGTTCTAAATTTGATCCATATCTGCGAGGGTTCTCCGGATACTATTTTATCACTTGATGCAGAGAAGGGATTAGACTGAATAAAATGGCTACACTTACTTGAGATGCTTAGGCATTTGGGTTTTGGAGAGTATTTTAGATGATGGACTGAGATTTTATTAGCCAATTCCTCTGCAAAAATATCTACTAACGAACTTGTCTCTCAGCCGTTTGAATTAACTTGAGTACAGGATCACCTATCTCTCCACTACTTTTTATAATAGCAAAGGAGCCTCTGGCGATATTAGATCTCACTCCAGGATTAAAATTATGAGGATGGAACACAAAATAGCAATGTATGCAGACAATACCATACTGTTTTATCACATCTTTCAGAATCAATACCATCTGTAAGGGAGTTAGCGTCTCATTTTGGCAGTTTTTCCGGATTCAAAGTGAATTAAGAAAATTCCTTCATCCTGTTCCTTAGTGAACAAGAAAGACTGATGTGGTGTCTCATCCATTTGTAAGTATTTAATTAGTCGGGCACTAAAATTACCCCAAAGATTAACTATCTCAGTTTGGCCAGTTATGTTTATTGAGCTATCAGAATTTACTTCCAGAAGAACTACAACAGAGGTGTGACCAAGTCACTGCTTTGCAAGTCACAAGTAAGTCACAAATCTTTTCAGTCAAGTCTCGAGTCAAATCCAAGTCAAAGACAACCAAGCCCAAGTCGAGTCCAAAGTCAGCGATGAGGACGTCCATGTCAAGTCCAAGACCTTAACTTTGAATTTTCAAGTCATAATCAAGTCATCTGTCCAACTTCAATTTAATGACAATGATAATAAATAAATTCAAGAAATAAAGCTTCTTAAAGCTTCATTTATTTGCTCAAACAAGCAGAAAGTGCAACTGAAACTGATTATAAACAAAGTGCTGCTGAAAGTTAGGATTAAAAAGGGACATTTCATTTACTTATCTGACTGGATTTAAAACTTCCATCATGTTTACAGGGACTCGGGTCGTAATCTGAACACAGACTCAGTGATTCTTCTGCTGCCACTGTCAGTGGAGGAGAACCTTAGTCCAAGTAGTAATAGACTCCCCTGCTGCTTGATGCAGACAAACAAAAACCGCTGGAAGCCTCTTTCTGCTCTGAGATCCACAGTGTCACCCACGCCCAAACAAATCATCACCCTGTCAGCTGTGTGAGGCCGAGTTAAAGTGGCACCGCCCTGAGTGATGCCACCACTGCTCTCTCTTTTTACTGGACACATTCGCTCCCCTCAGATTCACCATCACATCCTAAAGCTCATCTCTCAGACTCTGCCGTGGAAGAAAGTTGTCATCGCAGTCACAGACATCGCCATGTTTTTGATTCTTATCATAGCAGTTACCCTGATGGTTCAAAACGCCAAGGCCGATGCTCGTTATGAGATGATGGGAACCTGCCGTATGATCTGTGACCCTTACAATCGCAAATTGAGTGCTACTGAAGTCCTGCAGGACCTGACCTCTGTTCCATCAACTGCCTTTGTACAAGAGACAAAAGGTGAAACGGGTCAACCAGGAAAACCTGGGCCAAGAGGGCCACCAGGAGAACGAGGACCACCTGGTCCAAGAGGGCTGCCAGGTCACAGAGGAGACTCTGTCAAGGTGGGAAATCCGGGAATATTAGGCACAAAACTGGATGAAACTGGCGAAGAGCTGAGCGTTGGTGCTCAAGGAACAAGAATCGCCTTTTATGTGGGTCTGAAAAACCCCCACGAAGGATATGAAGTGTTGCATTTTGATGATGTTGTCACAAATTTGGGAAATAGCTATGACCTGGCAACTGGAAAGTTTACATGCAAGGTGTCTGGGATTTATTTTTTCACCTATCAGGTGTTGATGCGCGGAGGAGATGGAACAAGCATGTGGGCAGATTTATGCAAAAATGGACAGGTGAGTGCTTTTGTTTTTACATGTCTTTAATACCTGTGCTGATTTAACAGGTGTAGCTTTGGCTATAACCAGTCTTGCTTGAGAATCCAGGCAAATTTAAGATTTACCCACCTGGACCAATCACAGACAGCCTACCTTTGCTGGTGTGACTGGAGCTTGTCAGATAGAAAGATTCAGCTTGAGTCTGAAGACCCTCATAGATGCATCATGCTTTTACTTCGCAGGTCCGAGCCAGTGCCATTGCACAGGATGCTGACCAGAACTACGACTCTGCCAGCAACAGCGTCGTCCTGTATCTGGATTCTGGGGATGAGATTTATGTCAAACTGGATGGTGGGAAAGCGCATGGTGGGAACAACAACAAATACAGCACCTTTTCTGGTTTTCTTTTATACCCAGACTAATGTTGAACATTAGATTGAGTCCTCCGCAGAGGAAGACTTCAGCTTCACTGTTAAAGTATAATCCAACTAAAGTATTTAGTTACTTAAAAAAAAGACTTTAGTTGGATGACGTGTCATCTAAATAGCATCAGACAAAAAGTTCACGGGAAAAAGTTTATCAGTAAGAAGGGCCTAAGGAAAAAGGTTGTTTTGCCTGTTAAACTTTTGTCTGACAGACTTTTTCCTGACCTTCTTTTCAGATCCCTCTGTGTCTAATGGCATCAGAAGTCCGATGTCTGACACATGAGGATGTCCTAACATATATACCATACAGCTAGTTGGAGTCTTCATTTGGTACCATTCGAGTACATTTGAAATTTTGGCAAGGCATTTTATGGCAGGCTGGGTCACAAAGAGCTGATGCTGTAGATGTAAGAAAATCCTGACTGTTGTCCAATTTTTCATCAGTTATATATTTTAACCGTTTAAAATTGTAGCAACCTGAACAACACCTAAAACCAGTTTCCCCGAGAAATGTAATTTTGTTGTTTTTGAAATAAGATCAGCCACTCCAACCCCTCCCTTCCGCCAGATGCGTGAGAGGTGTGTGACATAATAAAGACGTTTTACCCACAACAGGCAGCGTTTCAGATGTGAAACAGCATTCCACACAGCTGGTCCCATGAGGTCACAAAATCACGGGAGAATTACAACTCTGCACGTGATTTTGGGAATCCACGTAATAACAAGCAAGGAGAAAATCTGCATGGCTGCATGTATCCAAAAAGGTCTATGGTTAATTTCTGTTCCTTGTCTATGGTAGATCTCCTCGTGTGATTCTGGCTCTTGGTACTGGACTCGATACATTTCTGTAACATGGAAAACAGTCACAAGGATACTTTGGGCTAAAACAACAAATAAAACTTTCTAATTTTATTCTGACACAAAATTCCTAATGTTTTTACCACCAGGGAGTAAGCACACACACAGGGAATGTCCACTACTCTATTTTGTCAAATGCATTTAGCACAGCTTTATGCAAGAGCAGGCAAACAGCTCAACATGACATCTGACTGGTTAGTAATCAACTTCAAAAGCAACAGTAGTAAAATCAGAACTGAATACTCACATTCATCTGAGAGCTGAAACCCTCAACTTTTGTTAGGAATCTTTCATTGGGTGGATGGAGAGAAAAGGCTCATAAAATCTTGATCATGGACGTTCACTTTCTTCTTCTGCTGGTTCTGCCAGGCGGCCATCCTTTCTGTCCCGAGGTCCAACTGATCTAAGCCCTCTGGGGTGTGGATTTACTTTGAGAAAAAGCCCAGGTGCAGTTTGTTGCCAACAGTTGCACCTCAATGAGACTTAAATAAGTTTAGAACACTTGGTTAATTTTAGATAAAACACATGCGGGTCCAGAGCTCTGAATATAAAAGCTTACAAAGGTTTATGGCCCCTGAACGTAGCACACATAAGAAAAGACCACAGAATATGAGACTTTAAGTGTAAATCTGCTATTTCTATCTTAGGGGCAGTTACATTTACAGCTGGTTTTAGAACATAAAAGACGCAGATACTATTTACATGTTTATAATTACCTGTTTTATGGAAGGCTGATAACTGGTAGAAAACACACTCACTGGACCAAGCAGAGGAATTAGCAGTACCGGGAGTTTTATACCTTTTCATGAGATATTTCTGTTGGACAGGCTGTGATAATGTGAAAACAGAGTAAATATCTTATAAAGGTTGTATTCAATCTGCACCATTTTGCAACAAACTAATAAACAGCAAACATTTCCAGAGCTGCACAGATTTCTGGGAGGAAAAAAAACCCAAACACTGAAGATATTGGGATAAACCTTCTGTTTGAGGTGAGATGTTGCTGGATCTGAACTCTTGAACTCTGAGATACTAACTAAAACTTTATTTATATTGCGCCTTCACGTGGCCCAAGGACCAAACTAAGCGCTGCACAGCAGAAATAAGCATTAAAATAATAATAATAAATAAGTAAATAAATAATAAAAACATATAAAATCATTTAAAACCAGCAAAAACATGCAGATAAAATCTAGATATAGATAAGAGATAGTGCAGCAGGTTAAAAAGAGATCAGTTTTATTATTATTTTTTATTTAATTATTTATTTTTGCACTGAATCAGCTCAGGACTTTATACACAAGAGCCAACAGGTCTGTGACATGTCATGTTCTGAGGTTTCCAGTGACAGGTGTAATCAACCCAATAAGCATGAGGGTGTTCGATTTGTAACCAGAGCTCATTGGAAATCACTTTATTTCTACTATTAGTGTTTGTTAATCTGTGAGTGTGCAGCAGTCAGCTCCTATCTGGTTGATAAAGTCAGTGCAGACTGAACCTAAAACACACAATGCAAGAGTGCCACCTAGTGACAATATTTAACACTCCACTCACTCCTTAACAGATCTCCTTTACTGTAACTGTTCGAACATGATCCAAACACTTATAAAAATAAATAAACAACTTTGGTTCTGTTGCTAGTTTAATTAACTTAGATTATACTCCAACATAACATGCTCATTATTTACAGGTCATGTGTTTCCACCTGTTTACTGGGTTTTGGAGTGTGACTGTACCCTGGTTGTGCTCATATACTTACCCTTAGCATAAATACAAACATTTCTGCGTAGCTGCTGCTAAAGATGTGCATCCTGTCTCATGGCGTGACTGTTGGTTATTTTCTTGTTTCCAGTAAATTCAGAACCTTAAATCAGCACAGCATGCTGTTGTAGATGATGACCTGTCAGGATCACAGTTTCCTCTGTAGCCTGTTCTTATTTTTTTACATGCTCCTGTTCATTTTTACCGTTGTACCTGAACATGTTTAATTGTGTTTTAGGGTTCCATTGTTGGCTCTTCATAATGATGAGATAGTTCACAAATCAAAGTTAATACATGTTCTGGTGCATGTAGTAAATTAAACTGTCCCATCGCTTTATCTTTCCTGGGATCTTTCTTTTCTTCAGGATTGTCAGAGTATTCAAGCTTCTTTTCATTTTGGAGTGTTTCTACTTTTTTATATGCATTCCAAACTGTTGTTGTATTTTGTTCATGTGTGAAAAATTAGAACAAGCCCGTGTATTTTTGTAACAATGGTGGATATGTCAATATTTAATCTCAATTAACAGTAAGGTGAGTTTCAAGTAATATAACTAAACAATAAAAACTGATGAAAATTCTTAATTTTTTTTTTCTTTACCTGGAGACAAACACCTGAACCTGCAAGCTGTCAACCATTGCATCTTTCTTCTGTTTTCCTCTATTTTTCTCTATTATGACCCCGAGGTCAAAGCCTCTCGGCAACGCTTGTGAGTGATTTCAGATATTACAGCTCCTCAGATGTGGAACATCTAACTTGCAGACCCTGGTTGCATCTCATGGCCAGTGAAATCTGAATTCAAAGGGAACTATGACTCTTTGATACGGTGGCCCTGAAGTGCAAACCACAAAAACAAATCACTTAATGCAAAAACAAATCACAAAACGCACAACAAATTGAAAAGCGCAAAAACAAATTCACTAAATGCAACAAAAAAATCACTAAGCGCAAAAACAAATCACTAAACGCACAACAAATTGAAAAGCGTGACAACAAATTCACTAAACACAAAAACAAATCACAAAACACGCAACAAATTGAAAAGCGCAACAACAAATTCACTAAACACAAAAACAAATCACAAAACGCCCAACAAATTGAAAAGCACAACAACAAATTCACTAAACACAAAAACAAATCACAAAACGCAAAACCAAATTGAAAGCGCAAAAACAAAAAACAAACCGGAAGAGGTAGGTACCAATGCCGCAACAACAGGCAATAATACCTAGCTACAGCCCCAGCCAAACACGCCCCCCTGTTGAGCTACCCCGGAGCTCAATAACGGCGGCCCTCCCAGCGAACAACACAATTGAAAGAATATGTTTATACGCCAATAATGCTTAATTTTATATAAAAGTGTTTCAGAAAAAAATTACGAATGCGCTATCAATCAAACTACAGTGGGGCAAAAAAGTATTTAGTCAGCCACCGATTGTGCACGTTCTCCCACTTAAAATGATGACAGAGGTCAGTAATTTACATAATAGGTACACTTCAACTGTGAGAGACAGAATGTGAAAAAAAAATCCATGAATTCACATGGCAGGATTTTTAAAGAATTTATTTGTAAATCAGGGTGGAAAATAAGTATTTGGTCAATAACAAAAATTCAACTCAATACTTTGTAACGTAACCTTTGTTGGCAATAACAGAGGTCAAACAATTACTATACGTCTTTACCAGGTTTGCACACACAGTAGCTGGTATTTTGGCCCATTCCTCCATGCAGATCTTCTCGAGAGCAGTGATGTTTTGGGGCTGTCGCCGAGCAACACGGACTTTCAACTCCCTCCACAGATTTTCTATGGGGTTCAGGTCTGGAGACTGGCTAGGCCACTCCAGGACTTTCAAATGCTTCTTACGGAGCCACTCCTTTGTTGCCCGGGTGGTGTGTTTGGGATCATTGTCGTGTTGGAAGACCCAGCCACGTTTCATCTTCAAAGCTCTCACTGATGGAAGGAGGTTTTGGCTCAGAATCTCACGATACATGGCCCCATTCATTCTGTCCTTAACACGGATCAGTCGTCCTGTCCCCTTAGCAGAAAAACAGCATCAAAGCATGATGTTCCCACCCCCATGCTTCACAGTAGGTATGGTGTTCTTGGGATGCAACTCAGTATTCTTCTTCCTCCAAACACGACGAGTTGAGCTTATACCAAAAAGTTCTACTTTGGTTTCATCTGACCACATGACATTCTCCCAATCCTCTGCTGTATCATCCATGTGCTCTCTGGCAAACTTCAGACGGGCCTGGACATGCACTGGCTTCAGCAGCGGAACACGTCTGGCACTGCAGGATTTGATTCCCTGCCATTGTAGTGTGTTAATGATGGTGACCTTTGTTACTGTGGTCCCAGCTCTCTGCAAGTCATTCACCAGGTCCCCCGTGTGGTTCTTGGATTCTTGCTCACTGTTCTCATGATCATTTTGGCCCCACGGGATGAGATCTTGCGTGGAGCCCCAGATCGAGGGAGGTTATCAGTGGTCTTGTATGTCTTCCATTTTCTGATAATTGCTCCCACAGTTGATTTTTTTCAAACCAAGCTGCTTGCCTATTGTAGATTCACTCTTCCCAGTCTGGTGCAGGTCTACAATTCTTTTCCTGGTGTCCTTCGAAAGCTCTTTGGTATTGGCCATAGTGGAGTTTGGAGTCTGACTGTTTGAGGCTGTGGACAGGTGTCTTTTATACAGATAATGAGTTCAAACAGGTGCCATTAATACAGGTAACGAGTGGAGGACAGAAAAGCTTCTTAAAGAAGGCTTAGAGGTCTGTGAGAGCCAGAGATTTTCCTTGTTTGAAGTGACCAAATACTTATTTTCCACACTGATTTACAAATAAATTCTTTAAAAATCCTGCCATGTGAATTCATGGATTTTTTTTTCACATTCTGTCTTTCACAGTTGAAGTGTACCTATGATGTAAATTACTGACCTCTGTCATCATTTTAAGTGGGAGAACTTGCACAATCGGTGGCTGACTAAATACTTTTTTGCCCCACTGTATGTCTTAAACGTTCAAATTTAAAGTACAAAATCTTCACAAGTTGTAAAAATATAAATCTGTCTTTACCTGAAACGTCATTTCCATCTCTTGCAACACGCATGCGAGTTCTCATCTTCATACATGCACGCGTGTTTTGTACATAGGCACGTTTGGCCGGGGCTGCGTCTGCAGCTAGACCTTACTCATAGCCACAGCGTCCAGTGAACTCACCACTCATGCTGCCTTCCCTCCGGACCACCGAGAGCGACCGTCATACAAGGGTAACATAGACTCTGCACAATGGTGTTGGATGGTTTTTTGAAAAATCTCTAGCTTATCAAACCATGCAGCCAAACTGATTTTACAACCCAGACATCAAAAGATCTGTCAGATACTTACAAGGTTTTGCTATAAACATCTAGCTTACATTCCATCATTTCATTCATACTTCGTCATGTATAATCACTAGTTTAGAAAAATTGACCTACTTTTTTAAATAAAACTATATACTTGACTCTGTCTGAATTAATATGAAATGAGTGTTTCCCTGAATAGTCAAAGAACAAAAAAGTAATATTAAATCAAACATTCAAAGACCAATCAGATTGATAATTCATGCTTATGTGGAATATCACATCTTATTGATCATTAATAAATGTAGCTAATCCTCACTGCTACACACCTTTAAGACAACATGGATCCCTTGTTCGTTTAAGGGCTCTCACAAACTGCTCTATAACAGAAAGCTACACACATTTGTTGTGGGCAGTGAGCATTCAGTTTGCTAACCCTCACATCTGCACATTTTCCACACTTTCAAGATGTTCGTCCTATATGCTATAGTCCACAACACTATTATCATTATCATAAAACATGCACCTCTGATGTTTGTTTCTTTTGATGTATTGTATTTTTGAACTGTCTCAGTAGTGCACTCAATACATAGAACTGTTTTGATCAAAGCCAACAAAAATTCCTTCCTGGGATGGCCTCCAATGCACTTTGGGTGGTACAGCTCACACATATATATATATATATATATATATATATATATATATATATATATATATATATATATATATATATATATATATATATATATATATATTGCATGCTTTTTGGTCTGACAATACGATTTAAACTTTTTCCAAAACGTTTATCTCAACTTGTGCACCTTGGTGGGTAGCAGCATGTGTATATAAATTATATACATATCCATGGGTAGCAGGACCACAATCCGGTAAAAACAATTTAATAATAATAATAATAATAATAATAATAGAGGAGGAAGCGCTCAGAAATCGATTGGTCAGGTCTGAACCATCTCAAAGCGTTCCGACGGTAAACAGACCGGTCCGGTCGGCGGTTCTCGCGGAACATGGACTCTGAAGCTGTGGTCACGGTTCGGCTGGTCCGGTCTTTCGAACACAGGAATTTCAAGCCTGTAGTGTTCCACGGAGTCAATCTGGACCAGACGGTCCAGGACTTTATGCGTGTCGTCAGAGAAGGTGAGTCGAACCGGTGTTACGTTTAGATGCGCCCCCTTGTAGTAAAAACAGTTCCTTCTGTAACTTTTCTCATTTCTGCCATAAAATTGTTTTGATTCAGTATTCTGAGAAAACCTCTACAACAACAGATCGTATTATTTTTGTTGTTTTATTCACTGTAGCAGGAGACGCCATGATGACTCGGAGAACTGACACTGCTCAGAAGGAAAACCAACACTTATTTTTTTCTTACCTGTTCATTTGTTGCATTTTAAAATAATTTACATTTAAATGTTCGTTTCTTCAAGTGGAACACTGCGTATCGGGAGGACACACATAGACACAGCACCTGATGTTTAATGGTAAAGCTAAATACCAAGTAAAAAACTTAAATTTAACCAAAAGTGGCTAGTAGTGGTCCAGTCTGAAGTCCCGGATGTTTTATGTTCCCATCATGCATTGGCGTTGAGTGAGGATCTAACAACCTTTAGGTTAAAAAGTGTTTCTTTCCAACTGTTGTATATGGTGATGTGTTTTGTCAGATAAACAAATGAGAACAAATTCTGCTCTTAGGAATTTGTTATAATTGAAATTTAGGTGAAACACACCTGAAAATGATGGTGATAGATGGTCTGGCAGGTTTTGATGAGGACTATTCACCATCATTACTATACCATACCATACCACCTTTATTTATATAGCACTTTAAAAACACAGCCATACGGCCGACCAAAGTGCTGAACAGTCACACAATAACAGAGATAAAAACATAAAACAGAGCAATAAAATACAGTCAACAGCCAATAAAAAAGTTCCGATAAAAACCTCACAATAGTTCCGATAAAAACCATTACAATGGATGATAAAATAAGAGTAGTAAAAACCAAAGTAACAGCTAACTGTTAAAAGCAAGGGTAAAATAGTGGGTCTTTAGTCTAGACTTAAAAACTGTCAAGGAAGATGCCAGTCTCCAATGATTAAAGATCTGTAATCTTAACTTCCATGGATCCAGACTACCATGCCCCAGAACCAGAACTGCACCATGACAAAGTGGTCATCATGTTGTTGGATTACCTTAAGACACGGGCTGGTGGTTGTGGTCCATTCTGGGAGTTCTGACCATACTGTGTGTCAGAGCAGAACTTGATTGTGTCTCTTAATCTCTTCCAGACATATCAACAAGAGCTGGGCTCCCTCCGCCCTTCAGAACCTTTCCCTACGGTACCCGCCTCTCATTTATGCCTGAAACTTGGTGTCAGATGTTAAGATCCAGTTCATGTGCCAGACCAGGGTCACTGAGTTCTATACTGGGTCTATAATATTTAAGGATTTGATGTCTTAAGAAAATCTTTGGATGAACTAAAATAATTGTACCCATGAACATGACATATGAGCCCCTTGGGGTCAAGGTCCAGCCTTCAGTGTCTAAAGTCCTGCCAGGGATCAGGTCCAGATGGGGCAGCAAGAAGCTCAGGAGTTACAGCAGGTTGTAAGATTGATCCTGGCTCCTGGCAGAGAACTCTGCTGTTGTGTCCTTGGGCAAGACGCTTAACCCTCCCTGCCTGCTGGTGGTGGTCGGAGCGACCGGTGGCGCCTGTGCTCGGCAGCCTCGCCTCTGTCAGTGAACAGCTGTGGCTACATTGTAGCTCATCACCATCATTGCGTGAATGTGTGTGTGAATGGATGAATGATACACTCTAGTGGAAGCGCTGACTCTATACACTCTATATGCATGACTATACAAGTGCAGGTCAGTTTTCATGGTTCTGTCAGCTATACGTTGGGTTTTTGACTCTGATTTTTGTATTTTCAGACACGATGAAGATCATCCATCAGGCTCATGGAGCTAAGGTACTGTCACAGTCTAGATCCAGTTCTTAGCATCTGGCTCTGGGTTTGTCGGTCTAGATCCATTTCTGTCAGGTGGTTTAGGTATCAGCCAGGATTCAATCCAGTCCATCTGGATCTTGTTCTGTAGCTATGGATGGATAATTCAATCCAGTCTGCTGACTCCTTTATTCAGGAGCGGTTTGACAAATTGACCTTTTATAAACGATCTCTTTTTATTAAACTTTAATAATCTTTCTGTTAAAGTGTGTTAAAGATGTCTTTCCAGTCAGTGGTTACTTTATCCATGCTCTGTTTAACTCTTCCCTGAGTTCTGGTATTTTCCATCAGGTTTTAATCATGCTGTGGTTCGGCTTCTACTCAAAAAAACCCACTTGGATCCCTCTGTTCTCTCAAATTTTTGACCCATTTCAAAAGCTTGTTTTTAATCAAGTTCAACAATTTTCAACACCTCTATCATAAAAACCATCCAATCTGGATTTGGATCATGGCACAGCACTGAATCGGCACTCCAGAAGGCTCATAGTGACAGTAGGCTGGCCATGCTGGACTATTTGGCTGCCTTTGATACGTTTGATCATAAAATTCTTGTCTCACACCTTGAAGACTTTGTTGGTTTTGGTGGTAAAGTCTTAAAATGGTTTGCTTCCTTCCTACCTTGCTTGTACATATTGTAAATGGTAACAGTCCTTTGTCTTAATGCCTAACTGTTTTATCTTATTTATATCTTGTATGCTTTTATCTTCTTTGTTTTTCTTTAATGTAAATCTAACTACGTGTCTGTTTCTGATGCCTCTTGGCCAGATTGTTGTTGTGAATGAGAATGAGTTCTCAGTCGACTCATCTGGATAAATAAAAGTAAAATAAATCAACCTCTCAGATAGGACTTTCTCAGTGATGGTAGGTAGGTGATGTTTTCTCTGCGAAAGCCTCTCTTTCCAGTGGTGTTCCTCAGAGATCAGTTCTTGGTCTGCTGCTCTTTTCTTTATACATGCTACCACTTGGAAGAATCATAACTAGACATAACCTTTGTTTTCATTGTTATTCTGGCGATGTTCCAATATATTTACTAATCAGTCCAAATTCCAGTGTCACTATAACGTCCCTGCTGAGTTGCCTCGATTACCTCCAGCTGTGGCTCTCTGATAATCTCCTGCTCTTAAATAAAGAGAAGACAAAGTGCATTGTTTTTACTACAAGATCATGTAACAAGCTTTTCCTTGAACTTCCTCAGTCCAGATATAAGCCGTAGTGTGATTGCTCTTTTCAGTGGCAGCACCTGGACTCTGGAACAAGCTCTCCACAGACCTGCGTCTACAGAATTGCCACTTTTAAAAAGCAAACTCAAAGCATATATTTTCCAGCAGGCTTTTTACTAATAAAGTTTTTATTTTTTACAGCGGACCTCTCGTTTGGCTTTGAGACTTATTTTATTTGAGTTATTGATTTTAGGGTCTTGCTATTTATATGTTTTTATGTGATCTTAAATAGATTTTATGTTTATTTTTGTGGGGATTTTCTCTACCTTTCATTCTTATGTTAAGAACTTTGGTCACCTTCCAGGGTTGTGGAAAGTGCTCTATAAATGAACTTGGATGGTTGGTTGACCTTCGCAGCAGCCGGTTAGTCTGAATCTGGGCCTGATTTGATTTGGATATATTGTTATGTGCAGCACATAAAGATGACTGGTGCGTCATGAATAAACTGAACTGAAAGATTTGGGTTTGGTTTGCTGAACTGTAAACGGTTCTGAGGAAACGAGTCACCTGAGGGATTACTGAACACAGACCAAATGAGTTTTGATTCAGTCTTTGGTCTGAAGCAGCCCCCTGAACCTCTGACCTGGTTCTGTTTTCCAGACAAACGAGCTGGTTATGAGTGTGGATGAAGATGATAAGCTCATCCTGCAGGATGGACAAACCCTGCGATCTGCAGGAGTTGGTAAGAATCTGTGACCTCTGACCCAGGTCTGACCCTGACCAATAGACTAGATCATACTAGACCACTACCATAGTCACTTTGGTCTTCTGTCCTGGCTCACCCTCCCACACATGGACCTCCAGAGGAGATTGTAGACCAGTAACTGAGAGGTCCTGCATGGCCAGAGGAGAATGTGTGTCTGATCAAATCTGTGTTCTGTGTTTTTGTCTCCAGCTAATGAAACAGAAGTGGCCTTCTTCAGGAAAGAGGACTATGGTTTGTACAAAGCAAACCCCAGAACCTCGTGGTGACCTGGTGACTGAGGTTCCAGCAGGCAATCTGGTGCCAGAACCAGAAAAACCAACTGGACCTTGATGTCTCCACAGAGGAATCTTACGGTAGCCCTGACCCGTCTCCAGATGTTTCACTTCCTGTTCATGTAAACAGAACTTTGGGCACTTACTGGTTCATGGAAGCCTGACTTTGCTTTATTTGTGTTTATTAAAGTGTTTCACTTGATGGAAACAGCTGAATGGGTCAGACTAGATCATGTGGACACCTGGACTACTGCAAAAATAATAACCATGTAATAATAATTAACCATTAGTCCCCATTAACAGGAGCAGGGTGTTGTTTATAAACCTGGCTCCTAATGAGGTGAAAAGGTTTTCTGCACAATGACGTTAATAACCTTTATTACCAATATGAATACATGTGTGTTTTAAGCCCACTAGGTATTTATTTAGTGGAGGTGAAACACCTAAACCAATAAGCTTCAGGACTAACATTAATATTCAACATTTTTGCTCAGGTTGTTTACCTGTTTGACTTCTTTGACTCAGCTCCTATCAAGTACTTATAAAAATGTGCACACATGGGTTTACTAAAGGGTTAGTAATAGTTTTCATTAGTTGCACATAGTGTTCATTTAAAACTCAAATGTTCCGTTTTTGTCCGCCTTATTTTGTATTTATTCTACTCTTTTATTATGTTGCCTTCATCTATTTCCATCCAAATAAAGAATCTGTCCAGACTAGTTCATCATATGGTCCTACAGGTGTTTCATTTCTTCACATGGAGACCGTTTTTATTTGTGTTGAATGGAAGCATGTGTCCAACATCTGCATCTTAAAACCGTTGTACCATTACTTCTTCTAAGGAAACAGACACTTCATAGGTAAAAAGCAGGTAAATATGTTCCACAAAATAAATACACGAATGAATGAAGGACAGATTTCAGCCATCATTTTTAGAATCATGAAAGGAATAGTTTAAGGACATTTAAAAAATTGACTTGAATGAGATTCATTACTTGTTTAGTTGTCTATTACTGTGTTTTTGTTTATTTTTGGGGTGAATTTCAGAGCTTCTGTGGATTGGGGTCAATCCTAATGACCCTAAGGACCCAGAGCCTGATTGGGTGGTACCAGAGATTGCGTATGACGTCACTCGTCAACTCATAACGGTTGGTCCGATAGGGGAGGAGTCGGACGGTCGGTGGACTTCGTTCGTCCTTTCAGACATCTTCCAGCTAGACCACTGCTGTCAGGCTAAAGATGGCGGACCTGCAGGTATGTGAGGACAGGGTTTTTACAGCGCTGCGTCCCGATACTGAAGAAGCTGGTAGGTTGTGTGAAAAGGTGCTGCGGTACCATCGTGGAGGCAGGCAGTGGGTTTGCTGTTTGCCACGGCGGATACTGGATGATAACACGGCTCGTTTAGCGTTTTAAATCACGTGAGTGAACTTGGGCATTTTCATGTTGTTCGGTGCCTGTTTGGACCGGGTTCGGACCGGCTGGCCCGCTCAATCAGCACCGGCGTGCAGACCCGTTAGTTCTATTAGTTCTAGAGACGTGTCGTAAAACAACTGCACTTTGAACCCACACGGCAAAAACGGCCTCGCGCGTCCACCGATCTGAGGCATGCATTAATGATTAATCCTAATTGTTATTAAATTTCAGCGAGTGTGTGAAGGGCTGTTTCCTTTGTGTCCCTGTGATGGACCGGTTTGCTGTCCACGATGTCCCCGACTCTGGTGCGGTGGCTTTTGGAGACACCTGCTCCGCGGCAGCGGTGATGATGAATGAATACATGATGTATTACGGTAGAAGGGCGGACCATTTTCAGCTTCTGTGTGAAAGGTGTAGACACCTGTAGTCAGGGCCAGATTAATACTTTGTTGTACCCTGTTCAACAATATTCAAGGGCCCCATCATCACGACCCAAGGATCACCATAATATGGTCACATACAGAATATTTTACTGTAATATGCAGTAAATATTCTCAATACTTGAATGCCTGACATCACGTAACCCACTCAGGGTAACCTTTGACCCACCTTGTGTGGACTGACCAATGAGGAGAGGGTCTTAACTTGAGGCCCTCTCTTCATTGGTCAGTCTGCATGAGACTGACTCTCAACTGACGTCCAGTCGTAGGCAGCGAAGCGTCTCTGTGCAGCGAAAAAGCCCGGGTGGACAGTTTGTTTAATGTAGGGTGACCATATTTCCATTTCCAAACAAGAGGACAGGGGATCTGTGCCTATGATGTCACACTATGGCAACGCCACACAAACCACGCTGGGACCCATTTTTTGTAAGAACTAAATTAATATCAGATTCTGCCAATAAAAGGGCTCGAAAACAATTCATATGTAAATATTTAGCACATTTACTGCAAAATCTCATTTTTCTGCTTTAGTGCTGCAAAAAGGTTTTATTAATAATAAATTATTATACCTTTTGTTTTACTACAGCATCGGTAAGCTTCCTGTGCACAGATCATTAAGGATGCTTGTTTCAGCTGTGAGATTAGACGATAGGATCAATGAAAAAATAAGTTGTCACAAACTCCATGGAAACTTTCAGAGAATCCACAAATAGTGGCTTTCAGATGGTTTTGTTACTTTTTGCAAGTTTAGAAAATCAGCAGATGAGACCGCGTGTCTGATAATTTAGTTTTTCATCTGATAACATGTCAGTAATGTCTGAGGAGCTTTTATAAACACTGTATAACTAACACTCCTGGAGAGGGTTTGGAGGCTTCTGGGGAGCCCAGTTGGGGGGTGGGGGGTCATTTTGCCTTGGCCCCCAAAATGTCTTGAAACGGCCCTGGGTGTGTGACTGAGTTTTGAAGGTGATCTGAATTGTATCAGATGTATAAATATTACATGTGTGTAACTTAATGTTTTATACAGTTAAAAACGTGTAGTGGAGATAAATCTACCTACATTTTACTTTTCAACACTTTGTTTTGTTTTCTTGTTTTTATTTAACCATTTCCTGTCCTGTCTGTCTCTCATCTTCCTGCATCTCCTCTAAACTCTCCGGAAAATCTGCTGCCTGGATTCTTACTTTTTCACCTCATCAGTTACTTTTGAGCAGATCAAAGGGATCTCCTGACCACAAAGCGCAGAGCGCGTTTCGATGCGTCAGTGAGGTGAAATCACCGCAGCACAGGGCTCCGCAGTAGAGCGCTTCAGGTGCAAATAAGACAGAAAGTAGAGAATATGTGCGGACATGAACGATCGTGTGCTAATTATAGTTTTTTGGTTGCGCCACTTTGAGAATGGACCTTGCACTGGAAGCAGCTGCCTGGAGCGCTGCGCAACAACGCAGCGCTGTGCCGCTCTATGCTCTCTGCTCAGAAGAGTCCATAAATGATGTAATATAGGTAGAAAACTTTTTTCCGGCTTCCCTGGATGTGTAGGATATCCAGCTCCCCCATATTTCGATCCCTGCTCCTGAATGAAAAGCCGGACATTTTCATCAATACAAGAACCCCCAGTCCGGACGCCCCGGACAGAGAGTGAAAAGTGGACATGTCCGGGGGAAACAGGACGTACGGTCACCCTAGTTTAATATAAAGCGGGAGATTACAGATAGGCGTACAGTATTTTGCTCGTACCCTTGCTGCCCTGGGCCCTTTAGAGTTCGTGGGCCCTGGGCAATTGCCCAGTTGCCCATATGGTTAATCCGGCCTTGCCTGTAGTTAAACTACGTGTATCATGGGGGACACCCTGGACAAGTCTCTAATCTGTAGAGACACAAAACCAGATACTCTCCATAGGGACCTATGGTCTCCAATAACCTAACGTCCATGTTTTTAGGTTTGTGAAAGATATCAATGAATTATTTTTCAATACAATAATTGATAATGTGTTTCTGAGTATTTTCCTTTATCTATGATCTATGATCTAGAACTTACATCTCTGTCAACCAATGGGACTTTATGACTCATCTGCTCTTTTGTTGTTACCTGGTGATAAAGTATCAACAGGTGTGTAGAGGTGAGTGAGAGAATGACCTGAAAACTACTGCTTCATAACAGATTTCCTGTGTCAGGACACCAGAAGCTGATCACCACTGAGTGGTTGTGTTAACAGTGTGCTACTGGAAGGTGTTGCAGGACAGAAACTCAACTTTAAAAACCAGACTCACACTAAGGATTGCTGTTCCGTTTCAGTCAGTTATTGAAAATTTCCACATTTTTGGTGTTCATCCTGTCCTCTGCAGGCTCAGTTTGATACAGCAGCAGCTGAGGTGAAGCAGCTGAAGGCCAAACCTTCAGATGATGAGATGCTGCAGATCTACTCCCTGTTTAAGCAGGCTACAGTGGGAGATGTAAACACAGGTGAGACTTTATCCTTACAGAAGCACACTGCAGTCATCAACAACTACAAAAGGCATGGTTTAGCACCAAGCTGCGATTTTGCGTGATTTCTACTCACGACAAAAATAGCATGAGGGGATCAGTAAACGGTGTAAGGTAACCTGTAGGCTCCACAGAAACGCATCTTAGCTGAATTAATTATAGATTCAGTAGGATAAATACAATAAAGTTTATTTCTCGCCAAATAGAATATTTAAGAAATCACAATATAATGATAGAAACATTACTTGGTATATACATGTCCTTCTAACAAAATTAGCATATTGTGATTAAGTTAATTAATGTCAGTAATGTACTGATAAACATTACACCTTCATATATATTAGATTCATTACACACAACTGAAGTAGTTCAAGCCTTTTATTGTTTCTAATATTGATGATTTTGGCATACAGCTCATGAAAACCCAAAATTCCTATCTCAAAAAATTAGCATATTTCATCCGACCAATAAAAGAAAAGTGTTTTTAATACAAAAAAAGTCAACATTCGAATAATTATGTTCAGTTATGCACTCAATACTTGGTCGGGAATCCTTTTGCAGAAATGACTGCTTCAATGCGGCGTGGCATGGAGGCAATCAGCCTGTGGCACTGCTGAGGTGTTATGGAGGCCCAGGATGCTTCGATAGCGGCCTTAAACTCATCCAGAGTGTTGGGTCTTGTGTCTCTCAACTTTCTCTTCACAATATCCCACAGATTCTCTCTGGGGTTCAGGTCAGGAGAGTTGGCAGGCCAATTGAGCACAGTAATGGTCAGTAAACCATTTACCAGTGGGTTTGGCACTGTGAGCAGGTGCCAGGTCGTGCTGAAAAATGAAATCTTCATCTCTATAAAGCTTTTCAGCAGATGGAAGCATGAAGTGCACCAAAATCTCCTGATAGCTAGCTGCATTGACCCTGCCCTTGATAAAACACAGTGGACCAACACCAGCAGCTGACATGGCACCCCAGACCATCACTGACTGTGGGTACTTGACACTGGACTTCAGGCATTTTGGCATTTCCCTCTGCCCAGTCTTCCTCCAGACTCTGGCACCATGATTTCCGAATGACATGCAAAATTTGCTTTCATCCGAAAAAAGTACTTTGGACCACTGAGCAACAGTCCAGTGCTGCTTCTCTGTAGCCCAGGTCAGGCGCTTCTGTTGCTGTTTCTGGTTCAAAAGTGGTTTGACCTGGGGAATGCGGCACCTGTAGCCCATTTCCTGCACACACCTGTACGCGGTGGCTCTGGATGTTTCTACTCCAGACTCAGTCCACTGCTTCCGCAGGTTCCCCAAGGTCTGGAATCGGTCCTTCTCCACAATCTTCCTCAGGGTCCGGTCACCTCTTCTCGTTGTGCAGCGTTTTCTGCCACACTTTTTCCTTCCCACAGACTTCCCACTGAGGTGCCTTGATACAGCACTCTGGGAACAGCTTATTCGTTCAGAAATTTCTTTCTGTGTCTTACCCTCTTGCTTGAGAGTGTCAATGATGGCCTTCTGGACAGCAGTCAGGTCGGCAGTCTTACCCATGATTGCGGTTTTGAGTAATGAACCAGGCTGGGAGTTTTTAAAAGCCTCAGGAATATTTTGCAGGTGTTTAGAGTTAATTAGTTGATTCAGATTATTAGGTTAACAACTCGTTTAGAGAACGTTTTCATGATATGCTAATTTTTTGAGATAGGAATTTTGGGTTTTCATGAGCTGTATGCCAAAATCATCAATATTAGAAATAATAAAAGGCTTGAACTACTTTAGTTGTGCGTAATAAATGTAATATACATGAAAGTCTAATGTTTATCAGTACATTACAGACAATAATGAATTTCATCACAATATGCTAATTTTTTGAGAAGGACCTGTATGTTGTGTGTGTGCGTGTGTGTGTGTGTGTGTGTGCTCTGTCTTGTCGATCCCCAGTGAGTCGTGGTGGATGGCTGCTTATTCTGAGCCAGGATCCTCTGGAGGTTTCGTCCTGTTTAAAGGGAGTATTCCTCTCCACTCTCGCTGGATGCTTGCTTAGTATGAGGATTGCATGTAGACGGGTTGGGCAAATTCCTACGCACCCTCCAGGATCCCCCTAAAGGTCTAGAGCTGGTCCGGTGTTCCACGGCCAGGACGAAAACCACATTGCTCCTCCTGAATCTGTGGTTCAACAATCCGACAGACCCTCCTCTCCAGAACCCCTGAATAGACCTTACTAGGAAGGCTCAGGAGTGTGATCCCCCTGTAGTTGGAGCACACCCTGCGGTCCCCCTTTTTTAAATAAGCGGACCACCGCCCCGGTCTGCCAGTCCAGTGGGACTGCCCCTGATGTCCACGCGATATTGCAGAGCCGCGTCAGCCAACACAGCCCCACAACATCCAGAGCCTAAATGAACTCCGGGCGGATCTCATCCACCCCTGGAGCCTTGCCACAGAGGAGCTTTTTAACCACCTCAGTGACCTCAGCACCAGAGATTTGAGAGGCCAACACAAAAAGTCCCGAGACTCTGCTTCCACACTGGAAAAGTGTCGGTGTGATTGAGGGGGTCTTCGAAGTATTCTGCCCACCAATCCACAACATCCTGAGTAGAGGTCAGCAACACACCGTCCCCACTATACATAGTGTTGGTAGTGCACTGCTAAAAAGACCTGATAGGACTCTTTCTTCAGCTTGACAGCATCCCTAACCGCCAGTGTCCACCAGCGGATTCGGGGATTGCCACCACGACAGGCACCGACAATCTTGCGACCACAGCTCTGGTCGGCCGCCTCAACAATGGAGGCACGGAACATTTGCCTCCCCCGGAACATTTTGGAAGTTCTGTCGGAGGTGGGAATTTAAGCTACTTCTGACAGGAGACTCTGCCAGACGTTCTCAGCAGACCCTCGCGATACGTTTGGGCCTGCCTGGTCTGACCGGCAGCCTCTCACACCATCTGAGCCAACTCACCACCAGGTAGTGGTCAGTTGACAGCTCCGCCCCTCTCTTCACCCGAGTGTCCAAGACATGCGGCCGCAGGTCAGATGAAACAACAAAAAAGTTGATCATCGAGCTGCGGCCTAAGGTATCCTGGTGCCAAGAGCACATATGGACACCTTTATGTCTGAACATGGTGTTCATTATGGACAATCCATGACTGGCGCAGAAGTCCAATAACGAAACATCACTCAAATTCAGATCAGGGGGGCCGTTCCTCCATCCACACCTCTCCAGGTCTCACTGTCATTGCCCACGTGAGCGTTAAAGTCCCCCAGCAGAACGAGGGAGTCACCGGAAGGAGCGCTCTCCAGCACCCCCTCCAAGGTCTCCAAAAAGGGTGGGTAGTCTGAACTGTAGTTTGGTGCATAAGCACAGACCACAGTCAGAACCCTTCCCCCCACACGTAGGCGGAGGGAGGCCACCCTCTCATTCACTGGGGTAAACCCCAACGTACAGGCACCAAGATGGGGGGCAACTATATGCCCACCCCTGCTCGGTGCCTCTCAGTGGGAGCAACTCCAGAGTGGTAGAAAATCCAACCCCTCTCAAGGAAACTGGTTCCAGAGCCAGAGCCATGCGTTGAGGTGAGTCCGACTATATTTAGTCGGAACCTCTCAACCTCACACACCAACTCAGGCTCCTTCCCCACCAGAGAGGTGACATTCCATGTACCAAGAGCCAGCTTCTGTAGCCAAGGATCAGACCGCCAAGGTCCCCGCCCTCGACTACCACCCGTCACACACTGCGCCCGACCCCTTTGGCCCCTCCCACGAGTGGTGAGCCCATGGAAAGGGGGATCCACGTTACCTCTTCGGGCTGCGATATCGCAATATTAAGCACTGCTATCGAATATCGCAGGTTTTCCTAATATCGTGCAGCCCTAGTTGTAAACAACAAAGCGCGCATGTGTCGCCGGCAACTTCAGCAGATGATACGGTGGCTGGTAAGGGTCATCGCGCCCACACCGCAGCCACGGTAACCCACCGAGATAATATAGTTTTTTTTTTAAAACAAGACGGTTATTATTATTGTCAACTTTTTTACCGGGGTTTACCGCTACACCGGTTACCGTGACAACCCTAGTTCCAGCAGCACCTCCCGCTCCCGTTCTCATGCTCTTCTATGTTTCTGATTCCTAAAACAGGATGTCCAGACAGACTCCTGAATTCTGTCAGCGCTTCTCCTCAGGAACATCCACACTCGACGCTCACCTCCGCTGACTCTGGCGTAGGAGACGGATTTAATGCTCCATGACCGCTCAGACTGCGGTCGCTTTCAAAAACATCAGATATGTGTCGGAATCAGTACCACATATGAACGTGACCTGGATCAGATTTGAAAAAATTGGATCTGTGCATTCAGACTGTCATAAAAATATCTGATATTGGTCACATGTGGGGGGGTATCAGATTTGATGAACTTTTGCCTGCAATGTGAATGTAGCCAAATACAGTTTTACTAACCTGATCTGGAGTGCTTCCTCAATCCACTTCAGGAAGGCCCTTGTTCTAAATTTGACTTGGTTAATTTAAGGCTAAAAGAGCTACAATGCACTCTTGGATTTCATCATCCAGTAGATGCCAAATTCTGTTTCAGATGATGGTAAATCCCCGCTTTTCTAAATCATTCTTCCTGTCAGGAATTGTTGATAACTCATCACTATTCATCAAAACTTTAAAAGTTTCTTCATTTCGAAATCCATTTTATTATTTTATTTAATTCCTCTCTTCAAATATTAAATGGTTTTTGAAGCAGATTTGAATTGAATTACCAGATGATTTATTGACAAACCTCGGAAGACTGATTTTATCACTCCAGAACATGTTTGTAAAACTTTCCCTTTAAAACTGATTAATCCAAGTCATCTTTGAGTTTGAATACAGGTCAATGTGAAGGAGGACTTCATACCTTCAGATTATATTAGATTTGAGTCATTTCAATATAAACTACAGTATCTCCTATGAGAAGTTCTCCTTGGTTCTCAAACTTGACTTTGATAATAAACTCAATAATCTCTAAAACAGATGGAATTTCTTCTTGGTTTCTGAAACCAGTGTGTTGTCTCCTTCCAGCTCGTCCAGGGATGCTGGATTTCACTGGGAAAGCTAAATGGGATGCCTGGGAGAAGCAGAAAGGTTGGAGATCATTGTTTACTGCTGTCAGTGTTTCCAGAGCTGCTGGGGCTACAATGTAGCTCATCACCGTGTGTGTGTGTGTGTGTGTGTGTGTGTGTGTGTGTGTGTGTGTGTGTGTCTGTGTACGATGGTACTGTAAAGCACTTTGTAATCTCCACGATAAGTGCTACAAAGATGCAGGCCATTTACTAAATATAAAGGAAGTCACTGTTGAGACTTTGGGTTATTTGATGAGTTTTAAGTCTATGTTTTCTCTTTTGACCAGGCAAGAACAAGGAGGATGCCATTAGTGAGTACATCAAGCTGGTGGAGGAGCTGAAGCAGAAGTATGGAATCTAAAAATGACCGTCTGGACTCGGACCTCTCTACCCAGCCCTCTTCATGCCAATGTAGTGAAATGCCTTAAAGCCTGAGGAGCTCACTCTTGGTGACAGGATGAGCGATCATGAAGGCCTCATGAACCACCAGTCCTGTTCTGAGTTCATTCTAATGCCTGTGAGAACCTGTCTTTCTATGCTCTGATCAGCCTGTTTCAAAATAAAAGGCCTTGTCATTTTACACTGTGTGTTCTGATTCTTCGGTGAGAGTAACTAAATCTGTTAATTTATATTTTATTTTTTTTCTCCAGAAAACTATATAATTATAAAAATGTTGAATGTGGGAAATTCCTCTCCCAGTAAACCAGGCAAATATGGCTGCAGATTTACACCTGGAAATCTGCAAGCAGCTTCCCTGAAAATATAGGGAAACTCACCATGGTGGGGAGTGCACATATAAACCTGAGCTGCTCGCTCAGATGTCGCAGGTGAAGCACAGGCACCACCACTGCTGTTGTCTGGTACTGATGGTTGCTGTCATCAGGACATGACAAAGACTTTTATCCTAGCCCAACACGAACAAGGAGTGGACAAGCTGACTGCCACCTACACTTGGTAGCAAATGACCAATGATTGTGTTGTAACATCCTCCATGTGTCTGCTCGCTGTCAGAGACTCTCTTGGTCAGCTTGCTCCCCACACCAAACCTTCTGTCAGGAATCTTGGCGTGACCTTTTACCCAGCTCTCACTCTGTATTCTCATGTCAGTTCTCTTGTTCGCTCTTCCTTCTTCCATCTCAGGAACATTGCTAAGCTGAGTCCCATTCTGTCCCGCTCTGAACTTGAGACAGTTGTCCACACCTTCATCTCCTCACGCTTAGACTACTGTAACTCTCTTTTCACGTGTCTGAGCAGAACCTCCCTGAACCGTCTACAGGTGGTTCAGAATGCCTGTGCTCGGCTTCTGACCAAGCCCTCCAAACACACCCACATCACCCCGCTTCTCCTCCAGCTTCCTTGGCTGCCAGTCAACTTCAGGGTTCATTTCAAGATCCTGGTTCTGGTCTATAGGGCCTTACATAGACAAGCACCATCTTACATTGGTGATCTTCTCAGTCCCTACACCCCCAGCAGGTCCCTGAGGTCCAGTGATCAAAGCCTACTGGATGTGCAGCACCAGGCTAAAGACCAAAGGTGACAGATCATTTGCTGCTGTGGCCCCCAGACTCTGGAACTCTCTCCTCCTGAGCCTGAGATCAGTGGACTCAGTGGTCTCCTTTATAAAACAGCTGAAGACTCACTTGTTCAAGCTGGTTTTTGCATGACCTTCTTCACCACTCTCTTTATTCTGCTCTCCCCACCTATTCCACCTTCCTCAGGATCCACTGATTTCCCTCTTTCCTGTTCACTCTCTCTCTTTCTTAACATTTTTTAATCACAATTGTCTATTTTTGCTCATTTTAAATATATTTTTAAACATTTTCTAAATGCTTTATGTTTTTACAATTTTTGTTTTTGTGAAGCGCCTCGTGATTTTTATCTTGAGAGGTGCTATAGAAATGATATTTTCTTCTTCTTCTTCTTCTTCTTCTTCTTCTTCTTCTTCTTCTTCTTCTAACATTCACCAAGGGAGGAACTCAACCTGTAGGTACAAGAGGAGAATGTGTCTTGAAGAATTAGGAAGTTCCCTAGTTAAGGCACACTCTGAGCTGCCTCAGCTTTAAGGAAGCTGCACCGAGCTCTCCATCCACGCCCACAGGAAGAGCATCAGTGTCAGCAAACGCCTGTATCAACAGCTACAGTCGTAACCCTGTTAGACCCCATGATTCTAAAAGAAAGGGATGTTAAGGCACATCTAGCATCAGCAGCAGAAACACACACTGCTGTCATTGCAAAAAAAATTATAATAATAATTCAGCCAAACCACTAAAAGTTGCACATTTTGCCACACATGCATCAAAACACACACGTGCATGTTCTTACACAGAGACATTTTATCGACCTAGAACAAATATGCCGTGCCTCTGCTGAAAACATGAGCTCTGCTAAGATCACCTTAGAGGGATTACTCTGATGCACATGCATACCACTGCATGGCCTTGCACCATTTTAGGTTATTTGTTTAACCTTGCAAATCTACATTTTATTAATGTCTTGCCTTGTTCCTGTGGTAAGTAAGTCTTTAAATTGACCTGTAACACCACAGATGTTACCATAGCTGTAAGAGGCCATAATACAAATACTAAAAACCAACTTCTCATGGATACAGACTAACAAGAAACACATTGGATGATAAATAATAATATATTAAATAGATATTTTTAAATAGAAACATAAAGCTAACACAAGAGGAAGGACCTGTGCTGTGGGCGGAGTTTGTCAGGGTTCTGTTTCCAGTAACTCCGCAGCTGCTCAAAAAAAGCACAGTGAAGGCTCTGGTGAGTTGACAGCATTTTCTTATGTCGTTATTATGAGTTTTGCTGAGAATTGCTGCAAGCCAATTTTTTTTTCAGAATCTTTATTTATAATCTTTTTTGTTGTTAATTATTATTATTCATTTGCTTTTTAACAATCTTTCATTTTATTGGTTGCCTTTTAATCATGTTTTAAGTTTGATGTGGTTTCCTTGGTGATTATTTCTGTGATGCTTTATAAATAAGCTTTACGTACTAATCTACAGACAGAACTGCACCAGAAGTACTGTTGGTTCAGGACCTCATTAAACTGAAGGCTGTCTGGGTTGGTCACCTTTTAGGGAACATGAGTGAGGCCAGTTTTCTGAAACTGTCTTTTGTTTGGTTTGAAAGCTCATTAAATGATTGTGTCTGAAACTGGATGAACTTCCCAGTTTGTGGTTTTAAACAACCTGTTGAGGTTTTCATGTTGGATGAACAAAGCAAAATCCAACTTTAATTGTTTTGTTTTAAATACTCTGTCAGAAGTGTTTCCTTTTTGAGAATAGAGCAATAAAACAGGAAGTTAGTGGGGTTGTGTGAATACTTCTGTTTTCAGGAGAGATTGCCCTCTTTTGGAAATGAAAGTAGCTTCATGGCAAAATGTGATTGTTTTCCTGTGTTTTAAATAATAGCCCACTGATATTTTGCAAACTTGATGGTGCCTTGACCCATCCCTGTGGGACACCAGGGTGATGCTCATGTGAACTGGCAGGTTTTACAGAATGTTTCTAACTTGAGTCAGAGCAGATGTCACATTACTGTGTTTCAGGTTTAAGTTTAATAACTCAAGTTAAGATTCAGGTAAACAGAGGATTCAGCTGAACCGGTTAAGCCCGGGTGAGAAACAGGAAGTTACAGTAACTCAGTTAGATCTTCAGCCTCCAGCTGCTTCCTTTTATGGTGTGAAGTCGTGACAAACTGCAACCGTTCGCTTTTAGTTCATCACAGAACTCTGTGGCTTTTACACACAGCTGCATCACATCACAGATATTTTGAGCCAACGGCAGAGCATGTATGAATGTACATTTGGTGTATGTCCATCTTAGAACTGGACAAATCTTGTATGTTGCTTTATGCAATGAAAATAAAGTATTCTATTCCATTCTTGCTGGTTCATTTTGTTTAGATTATTGTAAAAAAAATAAAATAAAAAAATACAGCATGGAGAGAATTCTGTCTGAAATGCTTCAGCCACACTGAAATTACCCACCAGGAAGAGCACACCAGACAAGAGAACATCCCATATCAGTCCCCACCACATGCATGTTATCCTACAAGGGAGCATTGGCTCAGTCTCCCTTTCAGACATTACTCATCTATTGGTTTAAACACAAATGAAATCAACATTATGAAAGGTGAATTAAAAGAAAAAATTCTGGATGTAAACGACAATGAAGAAACTAAAAAAATCCTGAAGAAATTTTGAAGGGGCCAGCCAGCTGGGGCGTGAAATTGTAGGGGGCAGAAGAACCATGTTAAGAGTATTCTGCTGTGCCACCATGAACCAGACAGGAGTGTGATCAAACAAAACTAATACTTGGAGTGCATGGTATGGTGCTTATTTCCTATGTATTTCAGGAAAAGCTCCCTAATCAATATTTTACTAAACTTTTAATCAAAGGCTAAAAATGGAACCTAGAATGAAATATACATAGAATATGTGGGACAATGAGTCAGGCTGGGAATTTGAGACCATCCCAGGCCACCACCTAAGTAATGCAAAAGGTGTCACTGATGTCAGAGTGTAAAACAACTAAATGAAGGCTGCACATATGCAGCCGGTTGATGTTGTACAGTGTCCATTTTCACACTTTAGAGAAGGTCATCTGATATAATGTCCTTGTTGGCCCTTCATAGGTGTTTGTTACTGTCGTGTTGTTGTAAAGGTTTTACCATCAAGCAGGCAATGAAACTCCTTAGAAACACTCATGGAGGAAGCTTTATTAACCCACCCTGCCTGCTGGTGGTGGCCGGAGGGACCGGTGGCGGCTGTTAAATGCAGACAGCTGTCAGTGTGCCCCAGGGCAGCTGTGGCTACAATGTAGCTCATCACCACCAGGGTGTGAATAGGTGTGTGAATGGGTGAATGACTGATTGTGTTGTAAAGTGCCTTGGGGGGTTCCAGGACTCTCAAAGGCGCTATACCAAATACAGGCCATTTACCATTTACCATGGAGTCTTTCTCCCGTCGGTCATCTACCGTTCTTCTGGGTCACATTCACATCTTTTTTTAACTGATGTCAAATAAATAAGTGTATCATTATTATTTCCGTAGGTAAATGACATAATAACGGAGGATGCAGCTTGTTTCAGTCTGAGTTCAGCAGCATCTGTTTCTCCTGTGTAACAGAAAACTCGTGGAAACTGGTGACTGTGCACCACTTTAACACACGTCTTTTAAAGGTACGTGACTAAAAATCGATGAATGTGTCAAAATAAATAAATCACTTGAAAAAAAAAATCATAGTTTAATATGAACAAATGTGTTGAAGGGGCTTTGGTCTGAATCCTTCATCAGTAACAGCGAACTCTTACAGAACATGCCAGTGTGTTGAACTTTTACAGCTACATAATCAACAGGCACTGGCATCTGATGTCTAGGTGTTCCCTTCCTGTTTGCTAACAGCTGCCGGCGTAATCGATGTTAACACAAGTCACATGTAAAGGTGTAGTCCCAACCCTGCTTCAGTCTACCATATGTTTTCCACTGCACCTCCTTTTTCAGTTGTTTCCATTAGGAGGAAGGATAGTAAAACACTCATCTTTTTTGCTGTCACTACTTAGCTTACATAGTTCTGTTGGGAGGAATACTAAACAAAAATGTATTCTGCTCACCACTAATGGAGGGTCACGTACCTGTGGTGGTCTGTGACGTTGTGTACGTGGTTGCAATTATTAAACTGTCAATGAAATATGAAAGGTATTCAACAGATGTGATGTTCCTAAAAATTATTAATCAATAATATTATCGAGCCTTTAATATCCAGTTGACACTGGAAACAGTTGACTTTGGGTAGCCAGGGAACCAACACTTACCAATAATTTGACACAGACGTAAATAGTTTATAAAAATCTATTTATTACTATATTTCTAATGATCATACAGAATAAGTGTAGATAAATGGCTATTTAAGGTAAAATCAACTGAGACAATAACCAAACTTAAATGAAACTTTAGTTTCTAATTAAGTGTTTTAGAAAAGGATGTGATATCTGGGATTATAAAAATAATCTGGCTAAAAGCAGTGATGTTTAATTAGTTATCAAATTAATTAAAACCCATCAAAAGCCAGTGTGCAGAGCTATGGTACCCGTGTGATGAGGGTTCTTGGCGATGCGGCGGGTGGAGAGTCTTCTGAGTAAAAGAGTTGCTTGACTTCTAGATATCAAAGGCCGTAGTCGTCTGAATCTGCACGGCTGGTCAGTGAGATGCTCCCCTGTGTGACTGCTGGAAGCTGGCGGGTCATTTTGCATCTGATGCAGTTTTGTTAAACAATTAATAGTTGTTTGGTTTATAAAAAGGATGGTTCGATGCCGCTAAAAATTTTCTGTTAAAAAACCTGGTTTGATCTTCCAAAATATGTTAATTTCGTGTTTAGGCAGGAACTGCTGGAGACAAGGAATCGTTCCTCAATTTTAAGGGTGCGTTGAAGCTGGACTAATCAGAGGCCAGATAATGTTGGAGGCGTTAACAAAGTCTGTCAGACGTCACATCTTTTTATAAGAAACTCCCCAAAATCCTATTTAATTTAACATGTGAAGTAAATATGATATAACATTAATTTGTTAATTTACTAATTTTAATATGTGACATAACTGATAATAAAACCATCATTAAATCATCAAGTAGATTTGTTTGGTGTATTTAACATCTGAAATAATGCATTTCAACAATAAACAGTTGTTTTGATTCATTATTACTGTAAAGCAATCAAAACATTATTAAATCACTTTAGATAAAACATTCATTGTATAAAAAAGAATATGATTGTAAGTAATCTGTAAAGTGAGGAAATAACTTTAGGAGCCAGAATGAGATCCTTTTTATTAAAGTATTAAAGTATCATCTTCTTAAGGAGACATCTTGTGACTTCTAGCAGATAAGGAAGTCAGGAGATGGGATTTTATTATGGTTTCCTCACAGATGGAGAGGTCATTATGTGATCTGGTTTGAAAATCAGACAGTTAACCTGTAGCATGCTGATGAAGCTGGCTGTGGACGGTGTCTTAACCTTTGCATTCCATGGCCTTCTTACGTTTAGCCCTCTGGAGGCAGGCGTTGCAGATTTGCAACGTTAAAACCTATCTACCTGGTTACTCCACATACGTATTTCATGAGGATTTTTTAACTCAGAAGTACCCCTGAAGGACTTAGTTGTTCGTCCTTTTATCAAAACTTTTTTGAGCCTGAGAGGCACTTCAACAGTTCTAGGTGGAGGATCAGATCACAGCAACACGTGACAACACAGGGCATGAGCATGGGAAGGAGGAGCCAGACTGGTGACCAGTATAAGGAGGAGGAGCCAAGTTATTGTGACTGTGTGTGGATCTTCCACATGAAACTAAAGACCCAACAGGGTGAAATGTAAAAATGACAATCAGTTTTTCTGCTTACTGATGGACAACAGAATCATCCAATCCACCAAAAAACTAAACCAAAACTTTAATAAAATGTAGTTGGATTTACTTCATCTCAGTGTTTCCTGCTTCTGCACTCCTGTGTCCACAGGTGAAACTCAACAACCTAAAATATGGTGCAACAGTCCATTTATTTCAGAATTGATTGTAGACTGAGAGACCATCTAAAGACTTGGGAATCCTTTGCAGGTGTTTTGGATTTATTAGGTGATTAGAGACTTTGAGTGTAGAATATTGAACCTTTTCACAATATTTTAATTGTCTGAGATTCTGAATGTGGGGTTTTCATCAGGTGTAAGCCATAATCACCACAATTATAACACATAACGGCTTGAAATATCTAGCTTTGCATGGAATGAGTCTATCACATATATTAGTTTCACCTTTTAGGTTGAATTATTGTCATACCTCCCAGTTTCTCTTCTGTTGTCAGCTTCTTTTCTTCTAACTGCTGCTAACTTTCTGTTTTGTGCAGAACTTTGAGCTCTGACCCACTGCATGTTTTCTGTCTCCAGGTTATGGATATTCTCCCACTCTTGTTGCTGCTGCTGGTGTGCAGAAATGGTAAACTGCAAAGGAATTTAAAACAGAACTACACAATGCAAGAGGCATTATGTTTGTTTTTACTCCAAAGCCATCTTTATCAGAAATAACAACAAAAATAATGACAAGCAGAGCATTTTCCAACATATAAGTATGTCTATCCCCCATTTACTGTGCCCGTTTGGTGACATTCAGGGAAAAAATGTGTGGCCTTGAGCATATAACTTGTGTTCACGACTCATACAAATGTTAAGGATGTGTTCCAGAGATCAGCTTTCCTGAAAGGATCTCCTCTCAAAAACCCAAAAATAGTTAACTATTAGCTAATATTAGGTTAGCATTGTCATGTTCTGAGGTAAGTGCCTAACCCAAGACATGCAGAATCATGCTTGAGACCACAACTGGGGGAATAACAAAAATTTAATGGAAAAGGAATGTAACTGAGGGCGCACTGACAACATCAGGGACAGGGCTGCAGCTCCAGTGCAGGTTGGTGGATGAGAGAGGTAGAGGCTCAAAGGGAGGACATGTCAGGTCTGAGGCTCTCCAGGGCTTGGTGGGAGTCCAGGGGATCTGAGAAGTCCAGGGGTGGGTGAACGGAGGGAGAGCAGGTCGGGCAGAGAGATGGGAGGAGACGTGGCCTGATGTGATACCCAGTAGATTATGGCTTTGAGGAGATAGCACGGCTGTGTCTGCAGCTCACCGCTCCCCCAGGGGATGGGTCAAATGCGGAGAACAAATTTCGCACACACACCTGTGTGTGTGACAACTAATGGGACTTTAACTTTATAATGCAGAGAGCAAGATACCTAGGGTCGTACACAGAACAAGCGGTCAAAAACAGGCAAAGGCCCACAAAAATATAAATAGTCCTGAGGCTAAGTCACTAAAGACAAATGGCGAATGCTACCCAAAGTGAGTAATCATCCGGCAAGTTGAAATCATCTCACACCTCTCTTTATAGTCCATCTGGGTGATGGAGTAACTAGCTGCAGCTGTCCCGCTCTCCAGCTCCGCCCACCTGTAAGTCAAGCTCAGAGTTATTTCAAGAGAGGAGCTCACCTCATACCGGGACCAGCACAGACTTTATTAATCCCACAATGGGAAAATTCACTTGCTATCATCATAAAATATTCATCACAAGGTTACTGATATTTCTTCTAAAAAATACTAACCAATTGTTTTATTTAATAAATCAAATCATTCAATGATGCTGGTGACCCCATCTTTTTTCTTTCAGCACCATGGACAGCAGCGTTATATTTTGTGTCCAGTGACCATCCATACGTCAGTCGCTTGGCATGCTTTTTTTGACTATCTTAATATGGAAGAACTGTGCAGGGGATCACTGTGACGTTACAGAATGAGAAACTTTTTTCCTGATATAAACAAAACTGACCAGCATATTATCTTGAGTATGTACTGGAAGTATTTGTTTAAGCCAGCTTCTAGTTCCCTTCAGCCAAAGTGTCTAGCTTGACACCACCCCCTTGTACGTCCTGTGTTCAGCCTGACTGGACTGAAACTAATTAAAGAGAGTTTTGTTGAAGGATAGATCTTATAGATTGTCTTTAAAAAGTTAGAGTTAACCCCTTAAATTTCCAGGTTTAATGAATGCAATGGGGTTTTGCCCCATGTGCAGGACGCTGGAATGCTGAGGGGTTAAAGTCCCATTAGTTGAGACACACACTGATGTGTGTGTGAAATTTGTTCTCAGCATTTGACCCATCCTCTGGGGGAGCGGTGAGTTGCAGCTGCGCTTGGGTACCATTTGGTGGTTTAACCCCCAATCCAACCCCTTAAGGCTGAGTGTCAGGCAGGCAAGCATTGGATCTCATTTTTTTAAAGTCTTTGGTATGACCCATGAGATCATGTATTGCTTTGAAGGTGTTGAGGAGGATCTTGAAGGTGGACCTAAATGTAACTGGAAGCCAATGAAGCTGCTGAAGAACTGAGGTGATGTGGAGAAAGGAAGGGGATCCAGTGATAACATAGGCTGCTAAATTCTGGACCGGTTGCAGTTTATGAAGGAGTTCATTGGGGAGACCAAAAAGAAATGAACTGCAGTAGTCAAGACAGGAAGTGACATGTCTGTGAACAAAAATGGCTGCAGCACGAGGGATCAGAGAGGAGCAAAGGCGATATTAATGACACCAGACGGGCACTGTACACATTTTCTATGTTCTTAACTATCTGTATCAACTACGCATCACTTTATTCTGCATGTGGTTTGTGTTTATTTTTTATTTTATTTTTTGCAGGTTTATGTCAACAACAGGAAGAAGTTTGTGCAAAGTCTGTGATCAACTCCTGTGGCGACTGCATCAGAACAGGGCCATTCTGCTCCTGGTGCAAACAGCTGGTAGGAGACCATGTTCAGGTGTTGTTCAGACATGTTGGAGACAAATAAACCTACTCACACACACACACGCACGCACACACACACACACACACACACACACACACACACACACACACACACACGCACACACACACACGCACACACACACACACATACACACACACACACACACTCAAATTGTGAAAATTGTCAGTGTTTGTTACAAACACACAGAAATCACAAATCTGGATGCCAAATCAATCAATCAATCAATCAATCAATCAATTAATCAATCAATCAATCAATCAATCAATCAATCAACAATTGTTGTTGATGATGTCACTTGTATGCATATTTCTATAATTTTTTGTTGTGACCAACTCACAGATGTGAATAATAATCATACGGGTGTTCATACATGACAGTGGGTGTGCATGTCCATCCATTTTCTTTTGTTTTGGCCGCTATAACCAGCCTGCTTCTATGTGTTCAATCTGCCATCTACATTTTGATTCCATGCATGCATCTCACTAATCCACCATAAATACTGCCCCCTTGCGTGATTTGACACAGGAGCAATGGTCAGAGGAGCAGGTGAGATTGTGTCTTGTCTGTGTAGTGGGCCAAGACATAGTTTGCACTCTGAATGCAGGGTGATGAATCTCACCCCTTCTGATGCTCTGATAAGCAAAGAAACAAGGAAACTTGTTTAAATAAATAGAGTTTCAAATGTTTTGTTGCCTTTCTTGTTTACAGAATTTCACCAAACCAGGTGAGCAGGAAGCAGTGCGCTGTGACACTAAAGCCCAGCTGGTAAAGAAAGGCTGCAACATTTTTGAAATCATCGCTCCTGAAAACAACAAGACAACGATCAAAGATGTCCCCCTGAGCACATTGTCGAGCCAACAGGAACCAGTCCAAATGAGTCCACAACACGTCAGCCTGAAGCTGAGACCAGGTCAGTCAACATCTTCTGTAGCAACAACTGACAAAGAAATAACAACTTACAATATAATGGCATGTTCATTGTGTGTTCCAGATGTTATGGTGTAAAACTAAACTTAACCATTCATCACACCTTACTGATCAGATGGGTTCGGTTTTCATGTCAGACTCAGAGCAGCTTTTTCTTCTTTTAAAGTGTGAATAAGTTCAACATCATTTTTAAATTAGGTTATTTTCTGTTGTCTGATGATGTCACATTTAAACTGATGAAACCTGAGGTCTGATGCCATTCCTGGTTCTTTGTTGGATCCTTTCTAGAACTGTTTCAATGCTGTGTTTTTGCAGGACTTCCTGAAACATTCACAGTTTCCTTCAGCAGAGCTGAGGGCTACCCAGTGGATCTCTACTATCTGATGGATCTGTCCTACTCCATGAAGGATGACCTGAATAATGTCAAAGGACTGGGGCAAGATCTATTTGCTGCCCTTAAAAAAATCACTAAGGATGCTACCATAGGTAATTAAACTTAAGAATCTGATCAACACGATACTCTTCACAATAAAACCAGATTTGATTCTCGGTGGATTCAAACAAACCAAAGAACAAAATAAAGACAAACTTATTTAAAAAAAAAACTAATTTGCAAACAAAGGTACTTTGTTATATTTGGGATTGAACACAATAATACAGCAGGAACAACCCACCTTAATTCCTTCATTTAAAAGTGTTGTGATTATCAAGGTTATATTTTTGTCTGACTCCTTAAATCCTGGCAACAAATGCATAAAGGTTCTTGTTGAAATGTTGAACACACAGGATGACTTGAGTGTTTGGGGTTATTCAGCTTTCGTGTAATTCCAGGTTTCGGTGCCTTTGTGGACAAGACAGTTCTTCCCTACACCAACACCAACAAAGAAAAGCTGCTAAAGCCGTGTGATGAGAATGATCAGCAGTGCCAAGCTGCCTTCGGATACAGACATGTACTCAGTTTGACCTCAAGTCAGGATGATTTCAAGGAAAAGGTGTCCAGTCAGTTCATCTCTGGAAACTTAGACTCTCCCGAGGGCAGTCTGGATGCCATGATGCAGGCCACCGTCTGTGAGGTACACTTCTAACAGAACACTGAAAGCTCATGGAACCTTGAGGAACATCTTTCAGATGCACCCTCGGAGAACAACAAAACTGTAAAGTGTGCGGGTGCACCATTCAACTGTGACTGCTGCTCTACCTCCCGAGTTACTTTGGTTTGAGGATCCTAAGCTATAGAATCTCTAGCCAGTAAAACCTCCAAAAGTGACCATCTGCAGCCTCAGCTACAACCTTCAGCTGATGATTGGTGAACCAGTTTACTCAAAGTTGCAGTTGTAATTCTTATAGAAATTAATTCAAACAAGTTGAATTTTGAAAAACAAACACTCTAAGGTCCAACCCCCTTTGTTCAGCCTCTCCCCTCCTGGAGTCACAGAGTCTGATGGTCACAGGAAATGATGTAATACATGATGCAACACACACAGTCAAACAACCACAAAAATGCATCTTACGTTTTCGACCTTTTCTGTCACAATTCCAAACGTACCACACCTATGAAACAATTTAATATGCTAGTTAATATAATGTGATACTTTTACGATTAAAAAATAAGGTAGTTTTCAGGTTTCTTGGTTTATTCTCAACTTCAAAATCACAGCAGCCCAGAGCCACAATATGGGAAAACCCCACAACCACCATGTCAAAACTTCCAGCACCCACCCTGGTCAGAGGGCAGTTTGACGGATGGATCAGGACCCCGTCATTTAGAATAGGATGATGAGTCTGTACCAACACAAAATACAGCAACCCTCAAGTTCCCTGTCAGGAACAGCGAGTCTCAGAGTATTAAAGAAAATGAAGATTCCCCAATCAACACAGAAGAGTGGTCACACAATCATTATTATTGTCACAGCTTTCTGTGTTGTTTTGTAGAAAATAATCGGCTGGAGGAACAACAGCACTCGACTGCTTGTACTCGCAACAGATGCTGGATTTCACATGGCCGGAGACGGAAAACTGGCTGGAATTTTGGACCCCAACGATGAACAGTGCCATCTGGAGAACAACCTGTACACCAAAAGCAATGAGATGGTAAATAACAGATTAGGCCGTTAGGGATAGGTAGCAATGTTACTGGTTGCAAGCTATTTTATGTTCATGCATTTATTTAATTTCATTGTTTAAGTGTAGCATTAATGTGGTCCAAGAATGTGTTATGCCCTATCAGGTTGCATTAGTTAGAAAGTAATTTTGTTTATCATTTACATGAACTCCTTTAAGTTAACTTGTGAATATTTTAGAAGAAAATTTAGCTCACCTTTAAGAGTAATAATACTTTTTAAATTTACTTGAGTAGATTTGTCAAGGTGTAGCTGCACTCTTACAGCTGATTACAGAAAAGCCTGATTATTTACCTAAAATGTGTTTATAACTATCTGAAGCTGTATTAATAAACACCATATAATTTTAAATATAACAAGACTTAAAGTATTATAATTAAAATATCCTTGTTTAAAATGTTTAATTGTCTATTAACAATGTCTTAAAAATACATTTCCTTAAGACAGCTATGTTTTTACTGCTTCTTCAGAGAAACTAGGAATTGCCTCTCATCTAATATTCTAGTGTGTCTGATTACATTGTTTCTAAAAGTTACTTTAGTTAAAAGTTACTTGCTTTGGAAAGAATGGTCTAGGCATGCTCCATTGTAACCTCTGCAGCTCCTACCAGGACTCTGGCTAGCCAATCACAGCTCTCTAGAGGGGTTTCAAACACATAAAGAGCTGTGATTGGTCCATAATGGTGGGCCAATCATAGTGCTCTATCTGCTTAGTGAACAAATCACAGAGCTTTATCCGCTTTGTGGGCCAATCAGGGCACTCTATATGCCTGGTGGGTGGGATGATGCAACAGAGTGAAACAAGAGTATGTCACATTCATTGTCCAGTGGAATGCAGAGATCATTTGAAAGACAACGGTAGAACCCGCCCCACAACCGAGAGCCGTCAATGGAGCGTGGCCAGACTAAATAATACATTTATTTAGTCTGGCTTGCCAGGCTAGCCCAGGGCACCAAACTAGTAAGGACCGCCCCTGGTCACAGCTAATACTGGACACCATTACAACCCCTCTGCCTATTGCAGAGGGGTTGAAGGATGATGTGAAAATCTAGCCAAAGCTAACATACAGTAGCATTTTTGCTACTTTCTTGACTATTGCATCCTGGGACAAAAGGAGCCTGCCCTCATCACCAAGCCTGGGTTTTAGCTTCTGCATCAGGTGAAATAAAAATAGCTGAATTTTCATGTATTGCAATGATCATTTTCAATGCACTCGATAACGTATATTGTTAAACACTGAGCTCTATTTTAGCCATTTGTCTGCCTGTTGAAAAGTTTAATTCAATTAAATTATTTTTAGGGTCTCTAAAAATTGAATAGACAGTACAGGACAAACATTTGGACACACCTCATTCTTTGTTTTATTTTCATGACCATTTACATCGGTAGATTCTCAGCAGCCTAAGCCAAGACACCTAGACTTCCCGCTCCCCAGCCACTTGGGCCAGCTCTTCCGCTCAAGGCGTGCCCTGCCCAGCTGAGAGACATAGTCCCTCCACCGTGTCCTGGGTCTTCCCTTTAGGTCTCCTCCCAATTGGACGTGCCCAGAAAACCTCTCCAGGGGGGCATCCAGGAGGCATCCTAACCAGATGCCCAAGCCCCCTCAACTGGCTCCTCTCGATGTGGAGGAGCAGCGGGTCTTCTCCGAGCCCCTCCCGGATGACTGAGTTTCTCACCCTATCTCTAAGGGAGAGCCCAGTCACCCTGCAGAGAAAGTTAATTTCGACCGCTTGTATCCGTGATCTCATTCTTTCGGTCACTACCCAAAGCTCATAACCATAGGTGAGTGTAGGAATGCAGATCGACCAGTAAATCAAGAGCTTTGCCTTCCGGCTCAGCTCTCTCTTCACCACGACAGATCGGTAAAGAGAACGCATCACTGCAGAAGCAGCACCAATCCGCCTATCGATCTCACGCTCCATCTTTCCCTCACTCGTGAATAAAAACCTGAGATACTTAAACCCCTCCACTTAAGGCAGGACCTTGTCCCTGACCTGGAGAAGGCAATCTACCCTTTTCTGATTTAAGACCATGGCCTTGGATTTAGAGGAGCTGATTCTCATCCCAGCTGCTTCACACTTGGCTGCGAACCTCTCCAGCAACAGCTGGAGATCACGTTCTGATGAAGCCAACAGGACCACATCATCTGCAAAAAGCAGAGACCTGAGTCCTCAGGCCACCAAAACGAATCCCCTCAACACCTTGGCTGCTCCTAGAAATCCTGTTCACAAAAGTTATGAACAGAATCAGTGATAAAAGGCAGCCTTGGCTTGTTTTGCATGATTTATAAATTAATCTGTGTAACATGATTTTATGCTTGCTTTAGAGTTATGGTTAGGGTGTAGGTTATTTTTTTGTGAGTGGATGGTTCCAACTTGCAGGTGGGTTAGGGTGGAAAACACAAATCTTGATGGGGAAACTCATATCGACATAACACCAGCACAATCACTCGTAGTCGGAGTTGCATGTTCTAAACATCGCTCTTCTAGCTACCAATGCAACTTTCTCTGATTGTTGGTTCAGCTGCGAACAACACAATATGTTCCAGAACTGCGCGAGTGCATTTTTCAGGGACTAGTAGTTTTTAAAATCCTCTTGAAAGGTTCAAATAAACTGCTACGGGAAATGAAACTTCTGTATGCAAACCAGTAGCATTGCACTACTTCCAATATCGCCCTGGATGTTGCTCGCATCACCGTTTCTAAATGAGCAGAAAGAAAAAGGTGGATAGTTAATGAACTCAACTTCATATTCTAGTAAGAGTTGACAAATCTTCTCAGATGAGAAGCAAAACATCAGGAAACCAAAGAATTCAGATTGCCTTTGTCATGTTCTGTGTCCCTTTGGTCCCCAGCCCCCTGCTGTTCTTCCTCCAGGTTCCCCTCGTGTGTCCCCGGTCTTCTGTGCCCCTTTTGGTCCCCAGCTCCCTCCAGGTTTCCCCCCAGGTGTCTCTAGTTTCAGGTTTATTCGTTTGCTTATCTTTAGTTCTCTGTACATTTAGGTTATTTAGTCAGTATCTTCATTTTGTATAATGTGATTCTCTACCCCTTAGTTAAGTAGTCTCTCCTGGTCACTTTGGTGCAACCCCCCCACCCCCCCCACCCCGCTTGGTTTTCCCTTCCCATTTAGTTCATTGATCTCACCGTTCTCTCCTCAGTTCTCTCTCCCACGCACCTGCTCCTTGTCTCCTAATCACCCAGCCCTGTGTATAACACCCTGTCTCGTCTCTCAGTGTTTGTTGGTCCATTGTCTGTGTCAGCGTTGTTTTGTTTTGTTCCCCCACCAGGTCTCTAGTTATCTGCTCAGAAAGCGAGCCTTTGGTTTTGTCAGGGTTTAGATCTTTGGCTTGGCTTCCTGCCCTTTTGGATTTTATTTTTGTTCCCCATCCTAATAAAAGGAATTTTCATTTTTACATCCGCTCCTGCCTCGTGTCGTTCTGGGTGTTTTGCATTTTGGGTCCTAACCCCCCTTGCTCTCAACGTGACAGCCTTCACTCAAAACCACTAGAGTGGTCTAAGAATGGTACATGGCCAGGACAGCGGTTTACCCTACAGCACTTGGATTAAAACTAAGGATTATAGTTTAGGTCAGTCCCTTTATCTTCCTTATAATAACTATCCTGTCTATTCACTACAGGACTACCCATCTGTTGCACAACTAGCTATGCAGTTGGAAAAAAACAACATTCAGCCTATATTTGCAGTGACAGAAAACGTGAAGACCGTGTATGATGTAAGTATTTATTTTTTTATGAAACTTTCCTGGAAATGATCAGATGATCAGATATGTTCCTTGTTTGTACAGGAACTCTCTAAAATGATTCCAAAATCAGCTGTGGGAGTCCTGTCACAAGATTCGGGAAATGTCGTTGACCTGATTGAAAAGGCCTACAATGTAAGTTTAGCATCATGCATCATGTGAACAGCTCTTTGGCGTTGTGGCCACATTCAGCTCATCCAGATCCACCTCCCTTTTAGTAGTTTGGTTTCAGCCTAATGCAAAAATAACAGCAGGGATTTTTCATTCATCTAAGCTCAGCGTTACACATTGAAAACAGAACGTTGAACTACTCAGACTTGTATGCCCAAGTCTTTTTGGGTCTGAGGCAACTTGCTGAATTCGGTGTTTTCTGACATTCGTCTTTATCTTCTGGAGCTCATTTGTGTTGGATTGGGAACGTTTGGGGACAGCTATCTCAGGACTCTTCAGATAAGTCCAAGTGAACCTTGGACCTTGTCAGCAACTCTAAGCAACATGAAACAGGAGAGATTAGAATATTCCTTAACAACATTCTTTAGAAATATAATTATGGCAAAAACATTGGAAGTAATTATTAGTAAATTAACATTTTTTGCAGATCAACATATTTATTTCACAAGACAAAACAGTCAGGGATGACATACCGGTATGTGCAGAGCAAACCGTGCAACGGTGACCATCAAGTTTTTGTTCGCTAGTAACAACTCTGATGCTCAGAGAGGTGAAGCAAGGAAGAGTCCTGGAAATCCCAGGAATTCCTTTGCAGTTAGAAAACTTTTGTGCAGCAAAATGTTTCATAATCCGTGTGTGTGTGTGTGTGTGTGTGTGTGTGTGCGTGCGTGCGTGCGTGCGTGCGTGTGTGTGTGTGTGTGTGTGTGTGTGTGTGTGTGTGTGTGTGTGTGTGTGTGTGTGTGTGTGTGTGTGTGTGTGTGTGTGTGTGTGTGTGTGTGTGTGTGTGTGTGTGTGTGTGTAGGAGAGAGGCACCTGACCCAAACATGAAGTTTTCTTACTTTCTGAAGGTCTGTAGATTTTCTGAACAAGAACTTCTTTGAAAGATTCATTTTATTTTGTTTTTCTCACAACTTTTGCAGAAACTCTCCTCCAAAGTCACGCTGACCCAGGATGTTCTTCCTGACAACATTAGAGTTGCCTACAAGCCAAATTGTGCTAATCCTAAACAAGAAGGCAGCAACAAAGGAGTTTGTGACAATGTTCGTGTTGGAGAAAAGGTCAGTGGTGCAACAGAAACATCTTTCTCCTCCTCTAGAATGTCAAATGGATGGTTTTATACAAAGGATATTTTAATGTGTAACAGAAGAGTTGCAGGTTTGTGCCCCACAATGTCTGTGGCAGTTGTGTCCATGGGCAAGAGAATCCACCCTAATGCATGCTGGTGGTGGACAGAGGGTTTCTGAGCACCCAGTTTATCAAGAAGATGCAGGTTTTTAGGAGCAATGCAAGTAGCCCCACATCTACAGACCAAAATACTCCATCAGCAAAAAAAGTAGATCAACAGACTTACACCCTGGAGAACAAGGACTCTTCTGGGTGTTAATAAGGATGTCTTCACACCATCACGTCAGATCTTCTTCCTGTCTAGATGCAGACTAATCTCTGTGAGTTATGAGTCCAACCACTGCTGTGTCATCTGCAAACATGACCACAAGGTTATTTTTGTGCCAGGCTCTGCAGAACTGAAGTCCAGCAATGCAGCCACACATAGGAGTCCTTGTTCTCTGTGTGGGACAGACCCCGGTAGATAAGGGTGGACATGGCATCAGCTGTGGAACGTTCTGCAGGAATTCATACTCTTATGAGGTCTAAGCTACATTGAAAGTCATCTTTAATGAAGTGTCTCACCAGCTTCTTGGAAACCTTCATGGTCACAAGAGTGAGTGAGACTAGGTGGTAATCAATGAGACAAGATGGAGGGCCCGGGGCGTGAGGTGCAAGCAGTCCACATAGTTGATAGACTCATGCAGTGTGGTTAAATTAGGCCTTGTGTCTGATGTAGACAAACACATCTGAGGCTGAGTATCCGGTGAAAAGCAGAGGCAAGAGCAGAAAACAGCAGAAAATGAGCACATTGAGAAAATGATGCAGAGTGAGCGTGATAGATGGACTTAGTCGATGTGACTTTTGCAGTGTAACGGTTATTCAAAGAAACACGTAAAGTTCTGATTCCCTGTCTAAATGTGACACTGTTGATCTACCTGAGAAACCTCCCCTCAGCTCATCACCGATGCTTCCCAGAACTCGCAAACCACTAAAAAACGTAGATAAACTTGTTCTAGATCACACACACACACACACACACACACACACACACACACACACACACACACAGTGACCAGCACAACACTTGAGAACGAAAAAGCTTTCACTCTGGTTTTACCAGAAGAAGCCAAGGGAAGCAACATTTTGTTTTCATCTGTTAGAAAGGTGGTTGACCGCTAATCCCTTTTGCCTTTTCCAGATATCCTTTGATGTTACTGTCACTGCAGACTCTTGTATGGATAAGGAGAAGTCCTTCATCATCAGTCCTCTGGGGGTCAAAGACAGACTCAATGTGACCATCTCCACCAGCTGTGAGTGTCAATGCAACGACCCCACCCAAGAAAAACACGCTCACTGCAACAATCAGGGCAGAATCAACTGTGGAATATGCAGGTAGACCTTTATCAATTCTGAATCATACTGATGGTTTCTGTGTCAAAGTTAGAAATGGTTATATGTGACCCATTTGATTGACTAATTTATTTTAATGACCACTTCGCCAGGCCGGTAGAATTTCATGTCAAAAGCAGGTTCCATAATAAAAGTGGACAATAAACCTTCACGCATACATGATATAACATGTTACCATACAATATGTAGACAAGACTAGACCAGATAATGAACAATGTTCAGCTTAACTGCAGAGGGGAAGAAACTGCTTTGAAAACAGGAGGTTTTGGATGCAATCGTCCTGTACGTCCCAGAGGGTCGTAGCTGGAACTCGGAATGTGCTGGGTGAGTGGAGTCGGTACATCCTCTGAACAGCCTCCATTCAGAGAAATAGGGAGCCCAAGACTCCTCCCTTTCTGGTTGGCTCATGAGTTACAGGAAGAATGAAATAATGAATGAAAGTCATCGGGGCTACAGGAGCTCTTTTCAAATCCCCTTTGCCTTTGGCCCTGAATTACACATTTGTTGTACTTCAGTTTAAATGAAAAGTAATGATGTGTGTTTCGGCCACGCCCATCACGCACTTTGATATTTATCAGCTTGTAAAAGTTTGTAATTACCATGATGACAAATCAGACATTGGCACATTGCATATATGACAAGTCCTCTCCTCTAGCGTAGCTGCTACCACATGAACAGAGTTATTGTGGTTCTTTCCTCCTGAAGTTCACTTAATTTACAGCCGTTACATAACCCATGACGTCAATTTGGTGACGCACATTTGTAGTCCGGTACGTATTTTCACACAAAACCTAAAACAACTTTTGCCCTCGTTCAAAAATAAGCACTTTCTTTGCATCAGAATGTGTCTTTAACATTCACGGATATCGTATAAAATCCATGGCGTATAACAAACAGGATAGAAAATAGCTTTTATGGCCCCACTGACTTACATTCAAATTTTTTTTTTACTTCCAGAGATCCATGGTCCAGAAGTAGAAGGGCATGACTTAGGCTCTTATCCCTATCCTTATCTTATCCTTCAGGATTATTGAGCTAAAAGCTAGTCTGAGCTAATGGCTAGTCCAAGCTAATCCCTGTTCTGAGTTAACAGCTAGTCCAGCCAAAACAAAAGTGCTACAGACCTCTTATCTACTCATGTGATGCTATAGAGATGAACTACTGCATAAAAGCAAAAACATCATTAGCAGAACAGAAATATAGTTATTCATCCAGGGTTGATGTCTGGAAAAATACTCTGAATAATTCTGCTGAAATAATCCTGTAATGTGAAGCGGACAGTGACAGTTTTAGAGAATGATAACTCACTAACCACTGGAAAATCTTTGAAGCTGTTTATGGTTCACAGCAGTAAGCTGCACTAATTCTTAGCTGCACTTAGACTATGGTCACCAAAGGCTCATCAGTTTTGAACGTTATGAACTGTTTATTTTCTGATAACAGATATGGTCGGAATAAAAATAATTCAAATATTTTCTATAGAATCACTTCATAAGGAATTAAATGTTTGTTTAAAGGAATGTTATGTGCATCTCCATTCTTCCTTTTCATTATTTGTTTTAATAAAGCAAAAACAGATACAAAGATACAGATTGAATTGTTACTTGTCTATGTTAAACATTTTGTGCTTTTAAATGTCTTTTTCAGCTGCTTGGATGGATTCGTGGGTCAGCTCTGCAACTGCTCCATTAAAGATAAAGACGAACAATCCCTGCGAGCATCCTGTCGGAGACACAATGGCACCGAGTGTGAGGGCCGAGGAGACTGTGTGTGTGGGCGGTGCAACTGTCACACCACAGAGAAAGGAAGTAGCTACTATGGAAATTACTGCGAGTGTGACGATGAACACTGTGAGAAGTTCCAGAATAAACAATGTGCAGGTAAACTTTATTTCAAAGCATATTTTACACGCTGTACACTTTGAATATCAACTTTTTACTTTGGTTTTTATTCTCTGTCGAGTCTTCTGGTCGCAGCTAAGGAGTGTTTTATGCATCAGTATTATTCAAAACTAGACCAGGAGTCTCCTTCTGTTAAGTAAATCTAGCTGACATGAGCTGTCATGTTAGGCTTTTGAAAATGGAGTCTGAGAACATGTGGGGCCACAAGCCCCGCCCACTCGCTCGGATGAAAGTTCCATCCAGTAACCTGGCCAGTTGCCACTTTGTTATTACTTCCAGACTTAATCATTTCAATTCTTTGATGTCAGGATAATCAAAAAAATATTTATCATCCATTGTTACTCAGAATGCTGCTGCCGGAGTTATGATGACAGTTAGGAGGAAGAGTCCGATTTCAACACAAAGAATCATTCACTCGTTTTTTTCAATACATTTGCTGTGGTTTTTAGTATAAATGAATTAATACATTGTCATTTTAAGAGGGGGAACAGGCTTTTGTGCTTCTGTTTCTATAAGTTGAAGTTAGTTAGAGGAGAGGGTAAAAAAAACAGCAGGCTTATAAGTCTTACTCATCATATATGAACGTTTGCCTCTGATTTACAAGCAGCAACGTCGCTCTTTCACTGACTTTGTTAACCAAAATACGATGACAACTCTTCCTTCTTGGGAAATAACAACATTGGTGTTATCTTCACAAATCCGCCATGTTGACTTGCTAATGCTAATGCTTAGCTTCTACTTGCCAAGCTCTTCTCTCTCCTAGATGCTAAATCAATGCAGCCTTCTGCAGCCATGAGCTGCAAGTCCACTGATGTAAACTTACAGTGTTACATGGAGCTTGTGGCTTTTTCTGACCCAAGCATTTCAGCACATTTCTTTCGGCGACTAATGCAGGAAATCAAGGCTGATTTCCACATGCATGCAAGTGAATGACTGATCACATTTGAAAAAGAACATGTTTATATGTCTGTAAGTGAACCTCTGCAGTAAGCATCACTGTAAGATCCAAGAATTGATCTTTAAAAAGTTTTGACTCGTGGGATTTCATAATTCTGTGGTTCTTTTTTGTAATCTATTAAAATACCCCGATTTCTTCTAAATAATTACAATTACAGTAGACTTTTTTTGTTATTGCTTGTTAATTTTCAAATTCAGGGATGTTTTTTTCTGACTCTGCTCTCCATTGCTCCCTGTCTTCAGGAAATGGTCAATGCAAATGCGGTAAATGTATTTGTAATAAAAATTTCCAAGGCTCAGTCTGCCAGTGCTCGGGCTCTACGGAAGGCTGTCAAACAGAAAACAATTCTGTGTGCTACGGCCGAGGGACCTGCACATGTAATCAGTGTGAATGCAAGGAAGGGTACCAGCCCCCACACTGCCAGACATGCCTCGGGTGTCCCGATCCATGCCAGACCAAACTGTAAGGATGTTGTTCAGCACTTTGTTCAGATCCTGATTGGTGTTTCAGTTGGTGTTTTTGACTTTTTCAACTGAATTATTTTTTCAGGAATTGCATTGAATGTCTCCAGTTTAATTCTGGTCCTTTTCAAAAGAACTGTAGCTCTGCCTGTGTAAATGTTTCTCATACGACTGTGGAAAAGTTTACCATATCAAGCAAGGAGTGCCGCCAGAAGGACAGCGAGGGATGCTGGATCACCTTTAAACTGGAGCAGTTGCTTGGAGAGGATAACTACAGGGCTGAGATCCTGAAGCAGAAAGGTACACTGCTAATGGGAGCATTTATAACACAGTGTGCTCCAAATTCATTTTTCACAAAAGTCACCAAATGTTTTACACAGGAAAGTGGAATCACCAGCGATACTATGATATATGATATGATCCTCTAGTAACTGAGATATCAAATATTTTAGTTCAACAAAACTTTTACAGTGGCTAAAGTACATGTTCAGACCCCATTCAATTTTTCACTTTGTTATATTGCAGCCATTTGCTAAAATCGATGAAATTCCTTTTTTTTTCTCTCATTATTGTACACACAGCACTCCATAAGGACAAAAAAATAAAATAAAAACCTGAATTTTAGACGTTTCTTCATATTTATTAAACAAAAGACTGACATATCAATTGGTCCTAAGTATTCAGACCATTTGCTGTGACACTCATTTTAACTCAGGTGCTTTCCATTTCTTCTGATCCTCCTTAAGATGGTCCTACACCTTCATTAGAGTCCAGCTGTGTGTGTATACTGATTGGACTTGATTGGGGAAAGCCACACACCTGTCTATGTAAGACCTTGCAGCTCACAATGCATGTCAGAGCAGGCTGCTGTTTGGTCGGTTGAGAGGGACAGCTGCTGGTGGAGGAGAAGGAGCGTTACAGCAGGCTGGGGTTTGGGCTGACTTTGAGGGGTGTTCGGATGGTTGGCCGATGGCCTATATAGGCCCATTAAGACAGCGGCCCGGCTTTGCTTCGGAGCAGCCTCGATTATTGCGGACAATGGGGAGGAAGGGGACGATTAGGGTTGGAGCGCTGGTTCAGCCGGTGGGGCCGGCAGTGATGCGTCTGATGGTGACTGGGTTGCGCAGCTGAAGCAACAGAGGCCGGAGGAGGGTGGCTTTGTGATACAAATTAGGGCAGTAGGAGGTGCACGTATTGCTACCTCTAACCCGCTGGTGGTGTCCCGGGAGCTGAGTGCCGTGGTAGGGGATGTGCTAGATGCTACCATGGTGTTCAGTGGGCTGTTGGTGGTGGTGTGACAGAATAAGTCCCTGTGCCACAAAGCGCTATGGCTTGATAAGTGTCTGGGGTGGATGTGTTGGTTTCTGAGTCAAGGTCTGGTTGTGTGATTGAGGGTGTGGTGTACGGCATTTCCATCGAGGTCACTGAGTCAGAGGTGTTTGGTTTCATGAGTGGGGCGGCGGTGGTGGCTGTGTGGCGTCTGGGTTTAACGCGCGTGGGTCCACTCCGCTGCTGATTACTTTAGACGCAGTGGAGCTCCCTGCTCATGCCCAGTTGGGCTTCCTAAGTTTCGTGGTGAGGGCATACGAGGAACCTCCGCTGAGGTGTTTTAGGTGTCGGAAATATGGCCATGTGGCCGGTGCCTGTGTGGTGGGGGTGCGTTGTCAGAGGTGCGAGGGTGACCATGATGGCAAGAGTTGTGATTTACCACTCCGATGTTGTAACTGTGGTGGGAACCATGAAGCAGCTTTAATTTAGGGGCTGTGTGGTGTATAGGGCGGCGGTGGAGGTGGGGAAGGTTCAGGCTGAGCATAAGGCGTTGTATGCTGAGGCGGTGCGTTGTATGGGGGTGCGGAATAGTGGTGCAGGTGGTTGGCCTTTTTCAACTGGTGGTGGGGATGAGGGGGCTGGTGTGGTGGTTGAGAGGGATAAGAGGACGTTTTTGGCATTTCTAGTTGAGGCCTTTTGGAGGGTGAAGGATGGAGCGTCCAACAAGTCTGATGTAGCTCATGAGTTGACAGCAATGTCAGGGGCCTTGTTGGGTTTTTCTGAAGTGTCCCTGAGGAGGTTTGGGGGGCAATGTGTTTGTGGGGTGTTGGGGGTTCTGAGTCTGCTGTGGATTGTGGGATGCCCTTGGTGGTGGGTGTTGATGGTGGGAGTGGGAGTATGGGGTGAGCCTCCTTGTGGGGTTGTGCGGTTTCACTGAGGTGTGAGCGGGTGGTGGGTTTTTGTTGATGGTGGTTCTGTGGGAACACGGGGTGGGATGGTTCACGTGCCTGTTGTGTGCAGTGGGTTGTGCTGGCTCGATGTGTTGGCTGGTGTGCCAGCCATTCGCCTTATGGGCATCTAGCCTGCCTATTTTCAAAGAAGAAAAATAATGCATGTCAGAGAAAATGAGGATTGTGAGGTCAAAGGAACTGTCTGAAGAGCTCAGAGACGGAATTGTGGCAAGGTACAGATCTGCCAAGGTTACAAAAACATATATGCTGCACTTAATGTTCCTAAGAGCACAGTGGCCTCCATAGGCCTTAAGTGGAAGTAGTTTGGGATGACCAGAACCCTTCCTAGAGCAGGCTGTGTGGAGCCTTGGTGAGAGAGGTAAAGAAGAACCCAAAGATCTCTGTGGCTGAGCTCCAGAGATGCAGTCAGGAGATGGGAGAAAGTTGTAAAAAGTCAACCATAACTGCAGCCCTTCACCTGTCAGGCCTTTATGGCAGAGTGGTCCGTTGGAAGCCTCTCCTCAGTGCATGACACATGAAAGCCACCATGGAGTTTGCTAAAATACACCTGTAGGACCCCGAGATGGTGAGAAATAAGATTCTCAGGTCTGAGACCAAGACAGAACTTTTGGGCCTTAATTCTAAGCAGCATGTGTGGAGAAAACCAGGCACTGCTCATCACTTGTCTAATACAGTCCCCACAGTGAAGCATGGCGATGGCAGCATCATGCTGTTGGGGTGTTTTTCAGCTGTAGGGACAGGACGACTGGTTGCAATTGAGGAAACAATGATTGTGGCCATGTACCGAGATATCCTGGACAAGAACCTTCTCCAGAGTGCTCAGGACCTCAGACCGGGCTGAAGGTTTACCTTCCAACATGACAATGACCCTAAGCGCACAGCTAACATAACAAAGGGGTGGCTCCATGGCAACTCTGTGACTGTTCTTGAATGGCCCAGATGAGCATCTCTGGAGAGATCTAAACATGGCTGTCCACCAACGTTCACCATCCAACCTGACCGAACTAGAGAGGATCTGCAAGGAGGAATGGCAGAGGATCCCCAAATTCAGGTGTAAGAAACTTGTTGCATCTTTACCAAGAAGACTCATGGCTGTATTCGCTCAAAAGGGTGTTTCTACCAAATACTGAGCATACTTCTAGGACCATGTGATGTTTCAGTTTTTACTTTTTTAATAAATCTGCAGAAAAATCTAAAATTCTGTTTTTCTGTCAATATGGGGTGCTGTGTGTACATTAATGAACAAAAATGAATTTAATTGATTCTAGCAAATGGCTGCAGTAACAGAGTGAAAAATTGAAGGGGGTCTAAATACTTCCATACCCACTGTGTTTCTGTGGAACTTCAGTCTGAGGGTTGTAACCTAAATGGTTCAAATGTTTTGTCCTCGTGCACACAGCAATGCCATTCATTCCTGAAACCACTGTTTCAGATTGTCCGGAACCCCCTGATGTCACAGCGATCATAGGAGGTTCCATCGCTGGTGTGGCTTTCATTGGCATCCTGCTGCTGATGCTCATTAAGTTACTCATCTACATGAAAGACCTCAAAGAGTACAAGAAGTTTGAAAATGAAAAGAAGAAATCCAGATGGGCAGAGGTAAGAATGTTAGAGTAGAAATGCAAGTCACACATCAGATTTATCCATGGGTCCACATTATGGACAAATGAGAAACGAGGCACACAAAGGGTTGAGAGTTAAATCTGTTTGGAAGCTTCAAAGCCCTTAGAGTAATCTACTTAAAACGTGGTGTTATAGTTAGCTAAAGTAACTTAGTGAAGACTTCTTAATGTGACAGTGTGAGCGTCCTGTCAGTGTCCCGATTGATCATGCGCCCTAGCCACTTGGCCAAGGGGATGTCCCTTTGGTTGACTAGTTAGCGCGCATGACTCTCACCCGGGAGTCTGGGGATTGAATCCCGCCCAGGCCCTCGTTTCTCCACCTTGCCACATGAACTAATATATTTGAACATAGTGTTGCTGCTGCATCATTCTGTCCTCTGTTAACATGCACATTGCTCTCATGATCCTCAGCTGTGTAGAAATGTTTTTTTCATATGTGGGTTAGGATGAACTTAAGCCAAAATGTCCCAGAGCACCTGACCCCCCCCCCCCCAACACACACACACACACACACACACACACACACACACACTCACACTCACACTCAACAGCTACATTCAGAAGAAGACAGACAGTTCTGAATAATCACTCACTTTTATTTTTCTACAGGCTGACAACCCCCTGTTCCAGAATGCTACCACCACTGTGGCCAATCCTACTTTCACTGGGGAATAACGACACCCACATCACCCGATCCCTCCTTTCTTCCATCCCAGATATATTTGTGTTTCAGAGCTCATGTTCACATTGGATATATTTAATGTCATTAGTCCTCTAGACCAGTGTTTCCCAGTCCTGGTCCTCGGGGCACACCTACCGGAATGTTTTCCATGCCTCTGCTTTAGCACACCTGATATACATCACCTTCTCAGGATGACATCAAGTGCTGCAGCTGCCTTTTAATCACTCATTCATTATTTCATGGGGGCGACGGTGGCACAGGAGTTAAGTGCTCGCCCCGCAATCGGAAGGTTGCAGGTTCGAGCCCCGCTCAGTCTGTCGCTGTCGTTGTGTCCTTGGGCAAGACACTTAACCCACATTGCCTGCTGCTGGTGGTCGGAGGGACCGGTGGCGCCAGTGCTCGGCAGCCTCGCCTCTGTAAGTGCGCCCCAGGGCAGCTGTGGCTACATTGTAGCTCATCCCCACCAGTGTGTGAATGTGCGTGTGAATGTGTGTGTGAATGGGTGAATGACTGATTGTGTTGTAAAGCGCCTTGGGGGGGGGGGTTCCAGGACTCTAGAAGGCGCTATATCAAATACAGGCCATTTACCATTTAAGTCAGGTGTGTGGCAGCAGGGAAACACTGGCGTTTGAAACGGCAACATGGAAAACATGCAGGAGAGTGTGACCTGAGGACCAGGGTTTGGAAATGCCGATCTAGACTCTTCTAGTTATTATGAAGTATTGCAGTTCCTGCCCAAGTGCCTTTTTAAATATTAGTTTCAAGTTCTAACATAGGTGATATGTAATTAAATGCCTATTTCAAATAATGTTATCAAATGTTTGTTTTGAGTTTTAGTTAAATGATCTGTACTCACACCCTCATCAGCACTCCAACCTCATGGGCACTTGGCTTGTTTATTTTACAAAGATGCACTCAGAATGATTTCTAATCATTTTTGAGGCCAGGGGTACACTTGTGTTTTTAGGGATTCTGTTTTAGGTGCAATAAGTAAGAATTATACAGTGGTCAGAGGGGCTGGTGGTGCCAGTGTATGGCAGCCTCACTTCTGTCAGTGTGCCCCAGGGCAGCTGTAGCTACAATGTAGCTCATCGCCACCAGCATGTGAAGGTGTGGGTAAATGGCTGTATGTGTTGTGAAGCACCTTGGGGGGTTGTAGAACACAAGAAGGTGCTATGCAAATACAAGCTGTTTATCATTTACAAAAGTTTGTCTCAGTCACGTTGAAAGGAAGGTTAGGTTTTCGTCTCGGTTTGGGGGTTGTCAGTTTTTATCCTTTCAAGAGGCCAAAGAGGGATTGTGGCCCAAACCCAATACTCGCGCTGTGTCCCGTGGTCTTCTGTGAAGTGCATTTGGAGAAAGTGCACAGTAAGGCTTCAAGTGCGTGGTACAAGTGTGCAAAAAAATGGCTAAACTAGGACAGAGCATTGCCTCATCGACCATAATGCGTTCTGGGACGCTGGTCGCTGTAATACTTTATTAAATCTGAACAACTTTCAAACAACCAACCATTTATTTGACAAAATGTACATTTACTGCTTTCCACATTAAATATTTATCAAACATTAAGAGCATCAACCAATCATCCTAAAATGAACTACTTTCAAAAGGCATTTCAGCCTTTGCTTCCGTAGCAATGGATTGTGGGTAATACCCTTCACTTAAGTCTGCATTGATGCAGACTTGGGTCAAGTGTGGATGAGTGCAAAGGGGGCATGGTCAGCATCCACACTTGAGAATCGGGACATCCTACGCACTCGCACCCCTGAACAGGATTGCGCAAGGGTGGAAGTGTGAGTATTTGGATTGGGCCATAATCATTGTTTACAATCTGTCCCATTTCCATACTTCCTGGTTCTACAGCCAATCATTAGTGAGCCTTTGTAGTTGCCAAGTTTAAACACTGCTGTGCCTGCATTTGTAATTGGATGCTGGTCAGCAAAAAGCTGATTGGTTGAAAGAACCTAAGCCAGTAAACAGGAGTGGCTTCTTTTACCCCTAAGAAGCCACAACATCTTTGTCGTTTAATATTTGGCAAAGAAGGCCAGAGGCTAATGTTGAGCTAAAAATGCTAATGTGAATTAGAAAAAAAATTATCAGCTCTAAAAATATCTCAAGCTGACTTTTTCAGTTACCAACCACTTGATGTTAGAGTGAATGTCTTTATCTACAGCAGCAACAAGATTGAAAAACATTTGTCTAAAGCTGGGAACACACTTCACCCCTTTTACAGTCTTTCTAGGTTATAAAGTTAGAGACCCATTAGTTTGCATTGACCCATCCCTATGGGGAGTGGTGAGCTGCAGCAGTGGATGCGCTCGGGAACGCTTTGGTGGTTTAACCCTCCAATCCAACTCCTTAATGCTGAGTGTCAAACAGGGAGGCATTGGGTCCCATTTTTAAAGTCTTTGGTTTGACTTGACCGGGTTTTGAACCCTGATCTCCCAGTCCCAGGGCAGACACTCTACAACTAGGCCACTGAGGTGACTATGTAGACTAGAGTATGCACTAGCAGACTGGTTTCACAAGATTATACGTAACGGAAGTCTGTGGGTCTGGACCAGGACCTGTTCTTAACGCTCATAAAACAACTTACTGGGATTTCCTTCTTCCATCTCAACCATCTTTATTCTTGATGATTATTATTTTATCAGGATATTTAAAAACATGTTTTTTCTTCAGAACTGGTGCCAGAATCCTGATGAGTTAACCTCTGGTTAGCTGAGACTTTACGACACAATGCAGCTTTACTAAACCTGATCTCCGTTTTCATGGCTGGCGTCTTGTCCAGACAAACACTGATCAATAAATAACCACTGAGAGGTTCTGGAAACAGAAATTTTTATTCATGATTGCTGAATGAAGAAAACTACAGATATCACCCAAAAACAACTGATTACACACACGGTCATGCTGAGAGTCAGCAACAGCAGCAGACCTTCTGACAAGTCTCATTATCAGGAACTAGCTCATTAGAGTCAGGCAGTAATCATTAGTAACTGGAAGTTTTAACGTTTTATGATGATGGACAACTGGGCTCAAAGGGATCTGAAACTAAAGCCCTCTGCCAGTATGGCTGCTTTAAACCGGTTTGTTGTTAGAAGGTTTAAAAATAACCATTCTCAGACTGGGACTTTCAACCTGATGGAGAGCCCGTCATGAACAACACTCATGTGAATCTGAAAACTCCACCTCATCAGAGACTGAGTAGAATAAACTAATTGATAACAGAAGACCCTGGTGAGGGAAGAATTACATCTGCTGGGTAGAGTTCCCGTTCCAGGTGTTGTTGTCATCCTCACTGTCATCCTGAGTCCGAAGCCTGCAGATTTTTCCATCTTTCTTGAAGTCCCGGGGCTGGGTCTCCAGACTGCGCTTGGAGGGAGTTTCTCTGAACGAGTTCACAGAAAACACGAGTTCAGCTACAGAGAAGAAAAGTCTTGCTAACAGGGTCAAAGGTCAGCATTGAACCACACGTGGTCAAACCGCCATAAATCATGTCTTCTTAGTTTAGAAATGATTCACGCTCCTCAGACCTGCATGCATTTACAACAATCTTAGTTCAACAGCGTTCAGCTTTTGTAGTTTTCCTGATTTTTACTAAATAGTATTTAAATAGTTGAAATTCACTTTTCCTTAGCATTCTGATCATCTTATTGGTTTAGGATCTGTAGTGTTTGCTGGTTGTGCACACTTAAAAAAAAACTACTCCTGGCACCGATCTGCTGGAAACCGTTTTACAAGGAACTCTGCAGCAGGAATATGGAGTCCCATACCGAACAGCACTGTGATTGATGACTGTTCAGCCTTTAAACAGGTAGACTGAATAATTACCAGGTAGAAGACACCTGTGATGCAGACTACAGAGTTTAGTTTACATACCGTAAATCCTCTAATACAGGCCCGGGCCTGTATTTGACTCAAGCTCATCAAGCTCCAGGCCTTTATTGGAAGGAGGGCCAGTATTAGAGGCAGGCCTCAATTTCTATTTGAGCAAAATGAACTAATGGTTCGTTGGAGTTTTTGACAATTAAAATTGCGCCCACATTTTCAAAGTTAAACACATTTCTTTTAACAACGGTAGTTTCTGCTTCAGCCCTCTCCCCCCTCCCCCTGCGCAGTGGCCGCAAACTCACTGATGCGCCTGCAGCCTCTCGGAGTTCCTGCTGCTCTAAACATTAAAATAATTATTTCATTTTCTGTTCCTCACTTCTGATTACCTTCAATGGTGTCTGTTTGTTGCAACAGCAGGTACAAAAACTAACTTGTTTTTATTTGACTATTTTTCTGTCCTGCCTGTTTATTATCTTCCTGCATCTCCTCTCAATCCTAAAGAGAAACTGCTACCTGGGTTAATATATATTCACCTCATGAGTTACCTTTGAACTGCAGTTCTAAAAGATCTACCGACCGCAAAAACAGCGGAGCGCTCGCTGTTAGGCGGCCGTATCAGTGATCAGTGCATCGGAGGACAAGGTGAAGCGCCCCGCTCCACAGCAGCGATACACATCAGGCGCAAATAAAAGACAGAAAACATTAAAGGAAATGAACCGACATGAACGATCGCGTGTCAGTACCTACGGTCTGGCACAGCGCGTTGCCCCCCCCCCCCCAACACACACACCCCACCCCCCGAGCGCAGGAGCTTGTCACCTGCTGACAGCAGGCTGCTGTCTTTTCCGAGGGCTGCATCTTGCCGGTCATTATCACGTGACAGCGACTAGTCGACGACAGGCATAAAAAGTCACTATAGTGAAGTTGACTAGTTCATACAACCCCTACTGCTGCTCCCCAGAGTGTTCTGCAGCATAATCAGCACGTTCTCTTTGAACTTGATAGTGTAATGACCTGGCTGGGGTTGTAAGCCAGGTGCATTCTGGGTATTGTGTTATATGTGTTTCCTATCGTTCTGCTAGTTCCTATGTGTTGATTTGCGTGTTGTGTGAGTGTTATGTAAGCCACAGGGAAGGTGATGTGTGTTCGGTGGAGCGGGTTGAATTAGCATGGTTAACTGACACCGTGACTCTGTGTGGTAGGAGCGTGATAGAGGATCGTGTCTGTAGCGTTACAAAGCGTTGAAGAAAAAGCCTAATAAAGGTCTGTGTGAACCTCTATTGCCTCCTGCTGGTTGATTTGGGGACTATAACCCTGCCGCTGAGACGCTCATACTTGCTTGTTACCACATTCCACCCGGCCACAATAAGAGACCGGCCATTATTCACCTCCGCTGACTCCGACACCGGCCAAAATTGGAGACCCGGCCTTTAATTTTATACCGGCCTGTATTAGAGGATTTACGGTATTTTAAAAAGAAACCATCGTTTTAGTCCAGAGAAATAGTTTGTTTATATAAATTATTCTGTTGAACCTAAACTTCTAAAATAACCGCTGACTTTCATCAAATGACCTTTGTTAGTTTTTGAGCTATTTCAGACCCATGGAACAGAATCAACTCTTTTACACACATAAAGGTTTCTACTAAAACGAGAACTAGACGGCCCACCTTTTAGTTTGGTCTGAGGGGGCGTTGGTGTGAGAGCTGAAGTGTTGGCTGGGGTTCGTTGAAACTGAAGCAGAAGAGGCTGGAGTAACGAAGAAGGAGCTGAGGAATCTCCACACCGCTATCAGAGGGTAGAGCAGAGAGCCCAGCACAGTCCAGAGAATTGGGCCAGAGGACTGGAACACAGTGTTAGGAGGCCTTCCTAACTGCTGCAACACAAAAGGTCCAGATGATGGAGATACAGGCAGCACTCCTACATACCAGTACTTGTGTTCCTTTCAAGTACTTGGTGTCTTAGAAAAGCACACAGATCGAGTTTTTCAGGGTGAAAGTTTAAACAATTGCTAATATTGTTCAAGTTTCTTTCCCAGGAGCCAGTTCTCTGGGTCGTCTGAAGGACTTTCATTTTTGATCTGGCTCTTAGTTAAACATAACAGGACACTACTCCACAACAATATAGACAGTGGAGAATGGAGGAAGCATCAGTATATAAGATGGACATGAGCTGAGATGTTTTAGGACAAGGAATAAATCCATCAAACACCAGAACCAGGACCAGGACCTGAGAGAGCCTTAATGTTTAATTTTCCAACCAACAGCTGTTTGAATCAGCTGATTGGACACCAAATTTGTTTTGGTGCATTTGTAGCTTGGTTCCACTGCAGGGTTCGGGGCAGGGCAGGGCATCGTGGGCTGGTGTGGACCGGTATGGGGCAGATATTTCAGGAAAGCGTTTCAATCACAGTTCGGCCTCTCACTTGGCAGGCGGGGTTAAACGTACCGTCATGTGCCACGTGCAATTTCATGAATAAGCTGTGCAACGAATCCGTATGTTTGTGCTGCGGTGAATGGTCTGCAGAGATAAAGGCTGAACATAAATGCTTACCAGCAGGCTCCCCGTGCGCCTCGTGGTCGCTGAGGCCATGCCTGCCTCGCTTCGCCGGTCTGTGGCCATGAATCATGTCCAACACATACCACCTCTGTGTAGTTCTCCCATTTCCACTTAGGCTGTTGCTGTCCTTAACTTTTCTATATTGCAACTTGCTGGAATTTTCTCACATCAGTGTACAATTAATGAAAATACAAACAATGGTGCTCCAGGGTTTGTTTTGATTGTTGCAGGTAGTGATGTACAGTGGGGCAAAAAAGTATTTAGTCAGCCACCGATTGTGCAAGTTCTCCCACTTAAAATGATGACAGAGGTCAGTAACTTACATCATAGGTACACTTCAACTGTGAGAGACAGAATGTGAAAAAAAAATTCATGAATTCACATGGCAGGATTTTTAAAGAATTTATTTGTAAATCAGGGTAGAAAATAAGTATTTGGTCACTTCAAACAAGGAAAATCTCTGGCTCTCACAGACCTGTAACGTCTTCTTTAAGAAGCTTTTCTGTCCTCCACTCATTACCTGTATTAATGGCACCTGTTTGAACACATTATCTGTATAAAAGACACCTGTCCACAGCCTCAAACAGTCAGACTCCAAACTCCACTATGGCCAATACCAAAGAGCTTTCAAAGAACACCAGGAAAAGAATTGTAGACCTGGACAAGACTGGGAAGAGTGACTCTACAATAGGCAAGCAGCTTGGTGTGAAAAAATCAACTGTGGGAGCAATTATCAGAAAATGGAAGACATACAAGACCACTGATAATCTCCCTCGATCTGGGGCTCCACGCAAGATCTCATCCCGTGGGGTCAAAATGATCATGAGAACGGTGAGCAAGAATCCCAGAACCACACGGGGGGACCTGCTGAATGACCTGCAGAGAGCTGGGACCACAGTAACAATGGTCACCATCAGTAACACACTACAACGGCAGGGAATCAAATCCTGCAGCTCCAGACGTGTTCCGCTGCTGAAGCCAGTGCATGTCCAGGCCCGTCTGAAGTTTACCAGAGAGCACATGGATGACACAGCAGAGGATTGGGAGAATGTCATGTGGTCAGATGAAACCAAAGTAGAACTTTTTGGTATAAACTCAACTTGTCGTGTTTGGAGGAAGAAGAATACTGAGTTGCATCCCAAGAACACCATACCTACTGTGAAGCATGGGGGTGGGAACATCATGCTTTGGGGCTGTTTTTCTGCTAAGGGGACAGGACGACTGATCCGTGTTAAGGACAGAATGAATGGGGCCATGTATCGTGAGATTCTGAGCCAAAACCTCCTTCCATCAGTGAGAGCTTTGAAGATGAAACGTGGCTGGGTCTTCCAACACGACAATGATCCCAAACACACCGCCCGGGCAACAAAGGAGTAGCTCCGTAAGAAGCATTTGAAAGTCCTGGAGTGGCCTAGCCAGTCTCCAGACCTCAACCCCATAGAAAATCTGTGGAGGGAGTTGAAAGTCCATGTTGCTCGGCGACAGCCCCAAAACATCACTGCTCTCGAGAAGATCTGCATGGAGGAATGGGCCAAAATACCAGCTACTGTGTGTGCAAACCTGGTAAAGACCTATAGTAATCGTTTGACCTCTGTTATTGCCAACAAAGGTTATGTTACAAAGTATTGAATTTTTGTTATTGACCAAATACTTATTTTCCACCCTGATTTACAAATAAATTCTTTAAAAATCCTGCCATATGAATTCATGGATTTTTTTTCACATTCTGTCTCTCACAGTTGAAGTGTACCTATGATGTAAATTACTGACCTCTGTCATCATTTTAAGTGGGAGAACTTGCACAATCGATGGCTGACTAAATACTTTTTTGCCCCACTGTATTTCTGTTCTCCACTGATCCACTTTGTCATGGACCTACAACAGAAGTGGTCCCGAAAGTGCCATCAACCCAGTTCGGTTGTGCTGACTGCTTTTACAAGCGGTACAGAAAACCCTCGTCCCAAACCCCACAGTGGAACCGAGATCTAACTAATGAACCAGAGTGTCTCTGTAATAATCTGCTGGCTCCAGCCTGGTTCTGTGCCACGTTGTCAAAGAGAATGATGGTTTGATGATGAAACCGTTGCATGAGCAAATTCCAGCCTATGTTCCAAATGTACATTCATTCTTTTCTGCCCCCTTATCAGGGTCTTGAGGTAAGCAGAGAAGCCCAGAAAACACTAATCGGACTTTCAGAAACCCTGAAAAACATGGATCCAGGATTACAGAAGGTCTGGCTGCTGGACAGTTAAACATAAAGAGCACAGATGTAGAATCTGTTTAGAGTTCTTTAAAACTGCTGAATATAAAATATATAGTGACAACTCTTTTATCGGCTTATAAGTGGGTAAACTTTAATCTGGACCACTTACTGGCAGGACCACAATGGACGCACTGGGATTCAGCTCCAGCTCCAGCATGGTTCTGCTTAGATCTTCACTGGTGAACTCTCGTCGAGGAAACATGGTCGCTAAAGAGAAGTGCCCATAGCGATTTCCCACTTGCTGAAAAAAACAACAACAAACAAAGTTTACAGAGTTAATTAAACAGATAGAAGAACTGGCGGGTCTCTCAGAACAAGGGTTTACCAAAAACCGCTCCTAGTTTTAGTGCAGGGTTCAAATACAGGAGGACTATTCTGTAGGTCTGATCTGGTTAGAAGAATTTTTCATGTTCAAACTGATTCAAGATCAGGTGCGACACCTATTAGGTGGTTCAACCATCCATCCCTTTTCAGCCGCTTATCCGGGTTTGTGTCGCGGGGGTAGTAACCGAAGCAGGGAGGCCCAGACTTCCCTCTCCCCAGCCACTTGGACCCGCTCCTCTGGAGAATCCTAAGGTGTTCCCTGGCCAGCCGTGAGACATGATCCCTCCAGTGTGTCCTGGGTCCTCCTTTAGGTCTTCTCCTGGTTGGATGTGCCTGGAAAACCTCACCCAGGAGGCATCCAGGAGGCCTCCTAACTAGATGCCAGAGCCACCTCAACTGGCTCCTCTCAATGTGGAAGAGCAGCGAGTCTCCTCCGAGCCCCTCCCAGATGACCGAGCTTCTCATTCTATCTCTAAGGGAGGGCCCAGCCACCCTGGGGGAAAATTCATTTCAGCCGCTTGTATCTGCAATCTCCTTCTTTTGGTCACTGCCCAAAGCTCATGACCATAGGTGAGGGTAGGAACGTAGATCGACCGGTAAATCGAGAGCTTCGCCTTCTGGCTCAGCTCTCTCTTCACCACGACAAACCGGTACAACGCCCGCATCACTGCAGACGCAGCACCAATCCGCCTATCGATCTCACGCTCCAGTTTTCCCTCACTCGTGAACAAGACCCTGAGATACTTAAACGCCTCCACTTGAGGCAAGACCTCATCCCTGACCCGGAGAGGGTATTCTACTCCTTTTCCAGTTCAGGTGACTCATCTGATCCATTTATTCATGAAGGAAAAATCTGAATGTTACTGAACTAGTCTGGATCTCAGGTCAGTTTTTTCCTGAAATAACCCAACTCAACCATCGTCACCACGTCGCTCTGGTTACACCCTGTGAGAGGATAAAAACAACAACAACAACATGGACAAGGAATGACACAAACCTCAGCGGCAAAGTCCCAGGCCTCCTGCAGCCTGGTCTGAGATGAGAACTGGTGGGTGAAGGATGACCCATCTGGGAGCCGGAACTGTATCCTGGCTACAGCACTGATCACACACACAAGCACACAACGAAAAGTCACACAGAGAATCTCCCTCCAGAGGTGTAGCTGGGGTCATCTCTGGAAGCTGGTGTCAGTGTTTAGCTCTATTTTAAGGTGTTGAAGACATTCTCCTAAATGTCCCCACTGAAAGACAATAAAAGATGTTTCTATTCTATTCTATCAAGACTGAGGTGTAAAAAGTATCAGTTATTATAAACAAATAGTCAAAAATGTAAATAGTTCATTTACACACTGACTGCACCTGAACTGGTGTAGAAATGAACTGAATGCATGTGAACTGTGACTAATGCAGACCAGTTCTTAACCTCCTGATGATGTTACCTCCTCTGTCTTAATCCTGCTTCCTTCTTGGCCTCCAGGTCCGCCTGCATGGCCAGTAAACGAGCCTGCTTAGCAGCATTTTCCTCCTCCAGTGTTTTGGCATAGCGGGCTGCTCTGTCAGCTCGATCCTGCACAGGGTTAGACATTAAACTTTATCAGGTTGCTGAGATGGCTGCATGGTAAAACATGGAGTTTTCTGACTGAGGTAGCAGGGAACAGCTGGTAAGTATGAGTAATGATCATGATCACTAATGCCGCTTCCACATTTGGCCCAGTCCGGTCCAGATGGTGTCATTCTGGGTCCTGCACAGGCAGGAGTTGATCTCAGGAAGGTTTAATCTCCGAGCACGTGGGCGGGGCAAAAGATGCACATGAAGGCGGCGGTGTTTCCCTTAAATTAAACAAAGGTGGCTGTGAGCAGGGTTGCTTTTGGAGACTCTGATTTAGCATCCTGTTCTGCTGCGTCTGTCCTTGTGCAGCACAGCTTAAGCCTGGCAGTGCTGTGTGTGTGTGTGTGTGTGTGTGTGTGTGTGTGTGTGTGTGTGTGTGTGTGTGTGTGTGAGTGAGTGAGTGAGTGAGTGAGTGAGTGAGTGAGTGAGTGAGTGAGTGAGTGAGTGAGTGAGTGAGTGAGAGAGCGTGAGCGTGAGCGAGAGCGAGAGCGAGAGCGAGAGAGAGAGAGATCCTCAGAGAGGGCCAGGGAAAGCCTCAGTCAGAGGACATGTTTACTCCTCAGAATCCAGAATGACAATGACTCGCGCATGCGGGACGCCCCCGTTGGCTGGTTTTATCTGTCAGTTGGAGGCTCTCTCTAATGACAGGCGTTGAATTTGAGGCGGCCGATAACTCAGCAGAGGGTGTATTGGATCAGTTCTGCTCGAAGCAGACTGCCTTGGGAAGAGGGTGGAAAAACTCCAGCCTTCGTGGCTGTGAACACTTTCTACCCAGTCTAGGCGCAGTGGAGCCGGTGCTAGTGTGGAAACCCTATAACTATGATTGCTGAGTGTAGGTAGTGAGATCAGTGAGTGTGATTACAGTGAGAAGAAGTGTGAAAATGACAATCTACAACCTGGGCTAATTCACAAAGGGACGGAGGGATGTTTTCTAACTCGGTGTTTACAGAGATTTTAAGCTTGGTTTATGCTTGACGCATTCACTTTGCGCTTGGTGATGCGGCTCGCGGATGGAACGCACTTCACAACTCGCAGCGTTTATGGTTCATGCGGCTCGTCTCTGCGGTGAGCCAATATTCTCCCAAACTGCAGGGGGCAGCATGGAGCTCTACGGCATGCATCCAACACTACACCATAGTAGAAGTAGAAATTACCGTTTACAACATGGCATTCCAGCATTTTTAACAGCGTCCTCGTCTTTTCCGACAGTGCGAGCCATTTCTCTCCAAGAATTATTAACAACATGTTGATCAGGGAGATCTTTGAGAGCTGAATCATACAAATGTCTGTATTTACGAACCTCTGCCATACTAGTTCTTGCCGGTCCGCCATGTTTTTTCGCGTCCGTCCGTCCGCGTGGTTACAAATTTTCCGAGGTGCGCGTTGCAGAAATTTTGAGCCGTGCGGAGACGCGGTGGAGGGGCGTGGTTGTTAAAATGACGCAAAATGACGCAACTTTTCCGCGCGGAGCCGTGCGGACCTCGCGGACGCGTCAAGCATAAACCAACCTTTAGTCTAAGCAGAGGGGGAATAAAAACATTTTTATAAAATCTTAACGGGTCCCACAGGGAAACATCTGATTTTACATATCAAACAGACAAAAAGAAATGGTTACCATGGCAATCTGTTGCCTGACCCTCTCCCTAGCAGCCTTCTCTTCGGCCTTCTCTCTGTTCCTTTCCTCCAAAATTCGCTTGTTGTTCTCCTCTTCCTGCTTCCTTTTAAAATCCTGCACATTCTTCCCCATCTTACGGCGCTCGATTTCTTTTCTGACTTCATTCTGAAGGAAAACAAACAAAAACACTGAAAAGGAAAAACATTTCTTTGTTTATGTGTGATTGTTTATTCTTAAACATCAGCAGAAGGGTGGAAGGACTTTTGTTTCATCTTGGAAATGTTTCACCTGCTTTCTGAGTCCATACGGATGCTCTTTAGTCCTCTGACTGGTTCAGTGTTTTGTCAGAATGGTTACTTTATAAAAACATCAGATGGTTTAAGAGTAACGGGATCCTCGGAGTAAAGTTTTTATTAGTTTTCTTTTCTAAAGTTTTAGAGAACAGGAAGTTAGACCCTTAAAAATCTAAATGACTCACCTTTTCCTCTCCTTTCTTTCTTTGCTCCCTTTTCTCCTCCAATACTTTGTTTAATCTGACAAAAACAAACAAACAAACAAATAATGGCTGGATATTTGATGAAGTTCTCTTCTGGCCTGTAGCCTGTAGAGAGAGTTAAAGGGACATTCTGTGGAATTGTTCACTTTAATCTCTTATATATACGAGAGAAAGATAGAGAGTCACTAACAGAGAGAAAGAGAGACACAAAGAGAGACAGAAAACAGACAGAGACAAGGGGAGAGAGAGAGAGAGGAGAGAGAGAGAGAAGAGAGAGACAGAGAGAGAGAGAAAGCGAGAGAGAGAGAGAGAGAGAGAGAGAGAAGAGAAAGACAGAGAGAGACACACACACACAGAGAGACAAGGGGAGAGAGAGAGAGAGGAGAGAGAGAGAGAAGAGAGAGACAGAGAGAGAGAGAAAGCGAGAGAGAGAGAGAGAGAGAGAGAGAGAAGAGAAAGACAGAGAGAGACACACACACACAGAGAGACAAGGGGAGAGAGAGAGAGAGAGACAGAGACAAGGGGAGAGAGAGAGAGAAGAGAGAGACAGAGAGAGAGAAAGAAAGCGAGAGAGAGACACACACAGAGACAAGGAGAGAGAGAGAGAGAGAGAGAGAGAGAGAGAGAGAGAGAGAGAGAGAGAGAGAGAGAGAGAGAGAGAGAGAGAGAGATTTTATTAATATTTTACACACAAGTCTATGGCCAGGTGTTTTGACACTGATCAAGGTGCTATTTCTGCTTTAGCGTATTAGAGCGTTTGTCAAATGTTTCCATGGTTACTTTATTAGATTTCAACAGTTTCGTAATCTTTTTCTGACAATTAAATGAAGCTAATGCAAAGACTTATTTTATTCCTACTTGGCCTTTTTTTTAGACCTCTGCAGATCACCTTAAATTCTGTCAACCACGTTTTGACCCCTCTATGAATTCTGACACTCAAGGAGATGTTGTCTTTCATGCTCCGACCTTTCTACTTTAGAGTCCAGGTCTTCTTCCCCCTCGGGACACTCTGCAGCCTGATCAGAGGTCTTCTCTGCAGGAGTCTGAATGCTTGAAGGTCTGCCTTCATCCTTGGTACCAGAGACGGATGCTACATGGTGAGATGTAAAGGACCGTGTTAACACCATCCCAGATCCGGCAAGAAAAACGTAAAAGCCTGATGTTAAACTGACCAGGTCACAGGCAAGCTGGCTAAAGGCATGAATTCGTGAATCTACTTGTGTTGTTTACCATGTTCTAAGATGAATTAGTTTGAAATTAATATTTTGCTTAGTGCATCAAATGGAGAAATTGTGGGTCAACTCTGCACTGTCCTTCCTTTTTTTTTTTACACAAGTACATAAAAGTTGGGTATGAGTGAACTATCAGGCTCTGCACACCTTCTGCTCCTCGGGATCCATCTGCAGGCTCACTGGCTGCTGGTTCCAACCTCGCAGGCGCAGGAGTTGAAGCAGCATCTGGAGCTCTGCTGGCATCCACAGGAACACTAGGTTCTGTTACTGTTCCACCACTTCCAATTTGCCGAGTTTGCATCTGTCAGAAAGCAAGTAGAACATTCATTATGAGGATCAGAAACTGAAAACTGTTCCCATTTAATGCCTACTGCCACTTTCCTGTGATAAGACTTTACAAAAAGATGTGCTGGTTTACTGTCTGCTCCACCAGGTCTCTAGTGGATTTCCACCAAGTCTTTACCTTACATACACCTGTTTTCTACTCGCTTCTCTGGAAGAGAATGTTTTGGTCTTTTGACTTTTAGTTATTATCAGTAAATCGAGGTGTGCCAGTCCTGGCAAAGCGCTGTGAAGACCATCATACCCGGATCTCTAGAGGAAGGAAAAGGTTTCCATAGGTGAAGCTTCAGAAGGATCAGTTCTCAGTAACCATCATAGCTTAGCATCACGGCTTCTCCTGTCAGGGCTCTCACTAGTTCTATGTGTGAGATATTTAGTTACACATCTGCCTCCTTAACTGAGAACAGTACATGGAATAAACAAGATCTATTATCTCATTGGAGCTTTGAAGTGAGGCTGATGTAAGTGGAAGGTCAGTTCTGCACTGGACAACCATCATTAGGACAACCTGGTGCTTGGTCCAATACTCTACCTTATTTATGCTTCCATGAGGTTAAATGAAACCACTGTTGGGTAGAGGTGTGGATCTTCACTAGTCTCACGATGTGATCCAATTACGATTATCACGTCAATGAGTCAATTCAACTCAACTCCATATCTCGATGCATCACGATTATTTCAAAAGAGGTTATTTTCATCTGTTTATTTATTTATTTTTAAATCAAAAACATGTTTGACACACCACGCCATGCCCCAAAAAGCTCTTCAGTCACAGCAGTCCTTTGGACAATGTAAAAGTGCAAAACAGTTTAAACATTTAACAAAGTAAAAAACCAAATCTGTGTCCTCATTCAACAGTCCCATCTCAGGCTGTTGGAGACACATGCTCTACCGGTGCTAAGAGAGGCTCAAACATACTGAAAAACTTTTGGACATGTCCAACCCTTGCCTTCCATTTAGTTGATAAAGTCCATCATGGGTTCATATATTTGCTTTTATTGTCTTTGGAGCAGCTTTAGAAGCTCGTATTTTTGCTACGGCTAAAAACAAACTGCATTACATAATAATTGATTATCGATTTGATTCATAATCATTTATGTCCGCATCTTTAGATTTATTTCCTCAGCTCTACTGTTGAGTGATAACTTTCATGGAGCACCATAACCAAGTGGCTGGGATAGTGTTCTTCTCACTTCCGGCACTCGAAGAGAACAGACACTTCTTCTTGTCCTCCTCCTCCCTACCCCTGCCTCGTCTGTCCCTCTCTATCCTGTCAGCCTATCTGGAGCACCTCTGCATTATTCTCTGGATTTTTTTCTTAACCATGGATCTGGTTAGCTCGTCTCTGAACGAACGCAACTAACAAAATATTTCCACATCACAAACGAAGAAGGGAGCTCCTTCCTTCCCTGATAGAACACACAGTCAGATACGAGTGAGTGCCTGTTGGAGAGCCCTTATAATGACAGATAATGGCATTGCATGTCTTCGTACCAACGCAGAAGTATAAATTAGGCTTAACACCGCAAGGACTAGAGTGGAGTGTCTGTGGTGGCAGACCAGGCAAGTGGTCTCAGTTTTTAAGAAAGAGGACCAGAGGATGTGAACTACTACTACTGGAGAGGGGGCTCAACTCAAAAACTGCACCACAAATTTTCTGTGGGCACCAAAAACAAAGCATAAGTAAGGACACAATTAACAACTTGATTACCTGACTGACTCTGCTGATTCTCTTCACCAGTTCATCAGGGGACACACATCCAGCAACCACCTCCAGAGGAACCCCACTGTCTCCAATAAAGAAGCTGGAGGGTATGCACACCACGGGGTCTTTAGACAGTTAGAGAACATATATACAGGCAGGATTGTGTGGACACCCCCACCCCCCACCCACACACACAGACACACACACACACACACACACAAAACTTCATATGAATGCCAAACAAAAAGAAAGGATACAGATCTGGGAAAACTGCACACATGTATCACTGAAAGACAAAACAGAATTAAACAATTAAATAACCTTTAATATATAAAACTGTTCATCACTGCTAAGATTTCTGGTTACAAAACAAATTACAGCAAGATTAGCCTCCACACCCACTTCAGCACTGCAGACTAAACTCCAGACCACCATTTTAACAGAGTAACAGAGACAGACTCTAGCTCAGGTGTGGAGAACCTTGGCACCAATGCTGCTGATTCAGTGGTTGAATCACCTGTTCAACAGGTCAAAAGGCCCTGCCTGGTAATCAGCTGGGGCCTCATTTATCAAGCTTGCTTACGCACAAAACAGGGTCAGAAAACTGTGTAAGCAACTTTCCACGCAAACTTTGGGATTTATCAAAGACAACTTAGCGGAAAAATGTGCACAAGTGTAAGTTAACTAAGGACCTGGCTTATGCACATTTTGGACATGGAGAGCACCTGCAGTGCTGCTGCTGAGATGATACAATTATGAAATCCTGCAGCATTATCACTTGTACTGCTTCATTTTCACACAGAACAAGACCCCCCCCCACACACACACAAGCGCGTACACACACATGCACGCACACTCACACACGCGTGCACACACACACACAGCCTGTAGTGCAGAATACCGAATGCAGAATATCAGCAGGGTGACAGATTGAGACAGAATGTCATGCGTCTGTGAGTGTGTGTGTCCTGTCACTGTGACCTGATTGATCATGCGCCCTGGCTGAATGGGGAGATCTCTGTTTGGCTCACTGGTTAGCGTGCGTGACTTTCACCCAGGAGTCTGGGGATCGAATCCCAACTGGACCATTTTTTTTTATATCCACCACAGATCTCTCTGAAGAACTCACAACATTGACGGCTTCAGCAACGCTGTGCCACTCCGTGGATTTTCTCCTATTTGTTTTGCAAAAGCACTTCCTTTCATTTCTCCACCTCACCCACAGGTACCTCAATTTCTGCTTCTATGAAATTGCGCTTCCTTGATCTGCCTTGATCTGCAGTCACCATCGTCACTGGCGGAGCGCTGCAACAGCCGGCTTATGTATATGCATGAGTATTTTCTTCTTCCGGCTCTAGGAGAGCACAGGCGCTTTTTTCTCCTTTCCTCCCTCGTTATCCCAAAGGCTCTTTGTCCTGTCGTGTGTGTACGGTGCTTCTGCATCTTTTCTGGAAACTGGAAATTACTAAAATGGACCTGGTCAGTTGGTCTCTCACCGCGACTGACAAAATTTTTCTCAACGATAAGAATGGGAGAAGGGGCTCCCGGATGCCCCTCTGGGACAGAGCCAGCTGGGCATATCATGGACTCCTGGAAACAGTGGAACCTGATCTAACTCTCTCAACTGTCTGTAGAGGATTCTGAAGATGTCTGGATATTCAAGGTTTTGGTGTCGGGTTTCCTGCTGTTTGGCCTGAGCGGTTACCTGGCTTACTGGAAAATTAACGAGCTTTCGAGGAATATTGGCTCAATCCCAGAGCTCAGGGATGGATTGCATTATGCTGTGAACGCACAAACTCAGATAATTGTCGAGATGAGTCGTAAGCTTGGAACTTTGGCTGAGATTCAGGCTCTGGCACAGAAGGTAGATTCGATCAAGGAGCAAGTGGACGGGTCAGCATAGATTGGAATAGATTAATTCACGCCATTATTGGATCTAGAGGGGTTGAGGACCAACAGAACATTAGGGCAGAGAGGAAATTATCTCGGTCTGTCCCCAAAACAATTTGTTATCTGAATCTGGTGCCCTTGACGCCTGTGAGGCTGAAGTGATTACTCCCCCTCAGAAGAAATGTGGAATGCTGCCATCGCCATGGTAACTTTCTCGCCTATCTCAGCCTGGGCGGGACTGTGACTGGTGAAGGCCGTGGAACCGTATCTAGGAGTCAATGTGCTCGCTAACCCATTTTATCTCCCTTCCCTGTCCAGTCGGAGGTGATAAACGCTGCCATCTGTGGCTGCACGCACTGAAGTAAGGAGAGTTTCCAACCCTACCTCCCCACCTAGTGGACACTTATGTTGTGTAATGTCTGAAGTCTGTATGCATTTCTGTCTGAGGTGATTTTTTGCATAGCAAAGCTGCCCTCTCTGTGGAGGGTAACCCCAGCTTTCCACAGGAGCCTCCAGCAGCACGTCTTGCTCGCGTAAACTGCTGCTTGGCCCTTCCCACGAGATGCGAAGCAGCAGGGGAGCAGCTGTCACCGACCGAGCATGAAGTCACACAACAACTTCATCAGTAAACACAACAACAAGCAGGAGAAAACTACAACATGGCTCCAAAAGGTTTGTGTTTTATGTTCTGTCCGTTTTATAATCGCCAATACGGACCTGAAAAACAAAGGAGACCGCTAGCTAGGTGATAACTTCTCACGGGGCAGCACATTTAGTAACTTTTTTTAAAGTAAAGCAACCGGAAGGCAGTACGTTTCTTTATTCTGAAAATCTCGGAAGCTTCTCTCCATTTCCGCGTCCGATTTCCTGTCTTTCCTTCCCAAAAATGTCGAACATGTCCCGTTTCAGAGGCGTCGCGCGTAGAAAATAGAACCGGCGCGTAAAGGCTGCGACATGCTGCTCCTGAGACGCGGCCGACTCGCGCTGCTGACGGCTCCAGTGGAAAAGGTTCTGTTGACCACAGCGGTTCCTATCAGCAGCTATAACGTGCTGCTGCAGTAACGTGCTGCTGACGGCTCCCGTGGAAAGCCGGGGTAACTCTGAAGTGCATTTTTTTCCCTCCCCCGACTCTATCCTCATATAAACCCTCTTGATCTATTATTAAGGTAGCGCAACTCGGGTTGCGAATGACCACAGTCACCAATTCTTATGAGTCTATGTATGTACTGTATGTCTAATCTCAGAATTGTGTGTACTGAAACTCTAATTTCCCTCTGGGATCAATTAAGTATCTTTGAATTGAATAGAATTTTGAATCCACAAGGCACTTTGCATTGATTATTTATGGCAGTAAGTGGGTGTGGTGAGGGTGGGATGTGACTAAAATGCAGCTGAGAAACATTCTCGTCAGTCTCCGATTTATGAAGCGGAGATTGTGTGCAGCTGTGCGTACTCCATGTTTGATAGATCACAAACCTACTTGGCATAAGTACTTTTTTTTTTTTTTTGCTGAACTTAAGTACGGTTTTAGTAAGGATTCTACGCAATGTTTGATAAATGAGACCCCTGCTGATTAAAATCAAATCTGGGAAACAGCTAAAACATGTAGGATGATGGCCCTCAGGGGACCAGGATTCTCCATCTCTGCTCAAGATAATCATGAAACGGATGTATAGGTTACCATGGTAGCATAGACTCAGCTCCACATCACCATGACAGAACTCCAGCAGGACCGAGCGCAATTTGTGGCAGCGGCAGCGCTTGTGGCACTTGCAGTGGCAGCTCTGATACTTCCGGGTGGTGCCACGGCTTTTAGTGGCACCCGCGGCTTTTAGTGGCACTAGCCACGCCCCCTACCACTGCTGCCATTACACTTCCGGGTGGTGCCACGACTTTTAGGAGTAAGGTCTAGCTGCGGACATTGCCCAGGAAAAACGTTTTTCCTGGGCAATGTCCGCAGCTAGGTATTATTGGATTATTGACTTTTAGTGGCACTAGCCACGACCCCCTACCACTGCTGCTCTTGACTTTTAGTGGCACTAGCCACGCCCCCTACCACGGCTTTTAGTGGCACTAGCCACGCCCCCTACCACTGCTGCCATTACACTTCCGACTTTTAGTGGCACTAGCCACGCCCCCTACCACGACTTTTAGTGGCACTAGCCACGCCTCCTACCACTGCTGCCACGGTACCTGCGGCTGTAGGGACCTCAGTAATTGCAGCACTTATTGCATCATCGGCCTCATCATGCCAACGTTTTTATTTTTTACTTTATTAACAAAATCAAAACAAACAAGGCTGTCACCGAAAATATTTGAAATATTTCAAGCGGTTTACAAATGCGTTTCCCAGTCACTTCATGCATATACAGTGTAATGCAATCAGAAGCGTTAATGCATTTATTTTTTCCATCATTTTTGTTGCTCCCCCAGACGAATCCGTGACAGATCTAGTGGAAGATCCACAGACACTTCCGGGTGGAAGACCGGCGGTGGGTCACCGGCCTCCGGTACAGAGTCAGGAAAAGCAGGGGAGCACCAGAGCCAGATGGAGAGCGCCAGAGCAGTTCTCAATTTCTGAAATAATTTATGACAACTGCTACCAATGTGGATTGTGGAATAAAAAGAGATAAACTGTTAGTTTTCTCAATATTGTCATTGCAATCGGGGCAGATACCGCCATCTGCCGGCTTAAAATGGTTATTGCAGTACATTTTAAACTTTTTTTTTAAACTATTTCAATCTTCGTTTTCACATACATTCAGTTTACAATGTAACCTACATTCAACGTACTGAAGAATAAAGCAAATAAAAATGACCTCAGTTGAGGAAAATAAAAATTACATTTAGAATTTGCAACAATTACCACATGACACTACACCATAAAATAAATCATGATGCAAAATAATAATAAATTAAAAATGAAATATCATCAACAAACAAAAAATGTTCAGAGGTTAATATTTCAGCATTATATTTCAAACATGTATGATTAATTGGACTGTAATTTAAAGAACAAGAAACTCAGACATTGTTTCGTACTACTCATAAATCCATATGCACAATACAAAACTTTATTGTTGTGAAACCACAATATCTATTAACAATAAACTACATCCCCAAATCCGTTGTAGTGACAAAACAGCCTTTTCACTCCCAAGTTGTTTAAAATGTACTGCAATACCATTTTAAGCCGGCAGATGGCGGTATCTGTCCCGATTGCAATGACAATATTGAGAAAACTAACAGTTTATCTCTTTTTATTCCACAATCCACATTGGTAGCAGTTGTCATAAATTATTTCAGAAATTGAGAACTGCTCTGGCGCTCTCCATCTGGCTCTGGTGCTCCCCTGCTTTTCCTGACTCTGTACCGGAGGCCGGTGACCCACCGCCGGTCTTCCACCCGGAAGTGTCTGTGGATCTTCCACTAGATCTGTCACGGATTCGTCTGGGGGAGCAACAAAAATGATGGAAAAAATAAATGCATTAACGCTTCTGATTGCATTACACTGTATATGCATGAAGTGACTGGGAAACGCATTTGTAAACCGCTTGAAATATTTCAAATATTTTCGGTGACAGCCTTGTTTGTTTTGATTTTGTTAATAAAGTAAAAAATAAAAACGTTGGCATGATGAGGCCGATGATGCAATAAGTGCTGCAATTACTGAGGTCACTACTACAGCCGCAGGTACCGTGGCAGCAGTGGTAGGAGGCGTGGCTAGTGCCACTAAAAGTCGTGGTAGGGGGCGTGGCTAGTGCCACTAAAAGTCGGAAGTGTAATGGCAGCAGTGGTAGGGGGCGTGGCTAGTGCCACTAACAGGCAAGAGCAGCAGTGGTAGGGGCGTGGCTAGTGCCACTAAAAGTCGTGGCACCACCCGGAAGTGTAATGGCAGCAGTGGTAGGGGGCGTGGCTAGTGCCACTAAAAGCCGCGGGTGCCACTAAAAGCCGTGGCACCACCCGGAAGTATCAGAGCTGCCACTGCAAGTGCCACTCGTGCTGCCGCTGCCACAAATCGCTCCTGCTGTCTCTCCAGAACTCCAGGTAGAATATAGGTTACCATGGTAGCATAGACTAAGCTCCACATCACCATAACCGAACTCCAGGTAGAACCATCATAGTGGAATATCTAATGGTTTAGTTTAAGTTGATGCCAACCAACAAGTGCCCAAACATGATCTGACTTTGTAGTAAAAGCAGCAAGTCAAACAAACATTGTCCCTACCTGCTGGCGTCCACTTTGATGGCCACACAGCAGCTCTCAGCCGCCTCTGAGACACGCTGGTCCTCCCAGGTAGACATCAGCTGCGCTGACTGCTCATCATCCCCTGAGACACGAGACAAAAATAGTGAAACACGAGACGTGGTGAATCTTTGTATTCTATCACCGAAACAGAATGTTGCAATGGTTAACAGTTAATCTGCTGACATCAGGCTCGGCCCGGACCCTGACCCAGTGCTAAGCCTGATCCCTCAGACCCTGAATCAAGTCTCCTACACCTAGACGTCATCATTCAGCTTCTAGAGGACTTCGGCTGTAGGAAACTCAACAGGTAACAAGGATATGGGTCTGACCCGAACCCAGAGGCTGATTCTGATCTGACTCAAAGGTAGAACCAGATCATGACCCTCCAGTTCTTTGACCGGAAGTTGTTACTGACTGCTGACTTAAGCTAAGGGCTAGTAGCCGTTGCTAGCTTTATGTTAGCACTAAATCCCGTAAATGAACGCGGGAAACCAGGACAACAGTACCTGCGATAACAACCACAAAGATAAAGGTGCGCTGTTTAGCATAGCTGATGGCGTCAGGAATGGAGCCCTGGAACCAACGCATCTCCGACACACGGTTATTCCTGACAGCTTCACTGTTGATCACTGGTACGCATGCGCACGCAGTCCTCTTCCTACTGTGGGTCACGCTCGCTGACGCACGTGCGTCTGTCCCTATCTGTAAAATCTATTATTATATTTTTGTCATCTGTTTGTTTTATGTTGTATAAAGAAAGAGCACATCATCACGTCCGCCATGCGGCAAAGTCGCAGTCTGGTTTTGTCCAGATTTATTTTTAGATACCTAACTAATGACTGGCCTCCCAACAGGGTAGTGGCGAAAAAATCACCATCATAATTTACCATAATGTGACTTTCCATAATAACATTATAATTTACCATAATATGACTTTCAATATTTCGAGAAAAAGTATTACTACATTATTAGCTCCATGGCCCCGGTCCGCAGGGGACATGCTTTTTTTTTCTGTCCTAAAGCAACGGCCTTTTTCCAAGGATCACTTTTATATCTATTTTAGGCCCTGTGTCCCTAATCACCGTTTCTTTTTCATTTGGCATCAGCTGGACTAGTTTTTCTACTTTTTTCTGCTATATCCATCCGCGCTGTATACTTCCGCCCCACGTCGGTCTTAACTTTCACTTTTGGTTTTGACATTTTACTGTAAACAAGAGTTCTTTTGGACTTTTCAAATCTTTGTTTCTTGTCAGATCGGAAGGAATTAAACGAAAACAATAAACACCGAGGTAAGGTGGTTAGAGTAAAAGGGTTCACATTTAAGTTTTATTTTGGCCAGCTTTCTGTTTATTACTATGACGGGGGACTTTTACTTTTGTAATTCTTCTTTTGAAGTTTGGACTTTCGCACTCCAAAACAAATAGTTCATACAGCTCCGAGTCAGTTTCTCTTCGATTAACTGGCATTTATTAATGAATGTTCATCATAGAAATCAAATTGCATTCACTGCTGTCATGGCTTGAAACTGGACCTTTGTATAATGTTTTATAGTACATCAAAGATAAGCTGAATTGGATAATTGGGTTGCAACAAAGTTCTGAGTTCTTCTGTGGAAGTAGCCTCTACATTTTGACTCTAATCTCAACTCTACCTCCTTGCTTCATGTTTTTTTCCTCTGACAGTGAACTAGTGCTTTTTGTTACTAGTTGGTTGCAGTGACATTTGTGTTTTTCAGATGAGTACTGCTGTACAGGAGGACAACTACGAGGAGGCCCTTAAAGAGCTGAAGGCGCTCCGGGTGAGAAACTCCATCCTTCCATCTTTGGCCACTTATCCAGGGTCAGGTTGCAGGGGCAGTAGCATAAGCAGGGTGGCCCAGACATCCCTCTCCCCACTTGGGCCAGCTGTTCCGGGGGAATCCTAAGGCGTTCCCTGGCCAGCTGTGAGACATAGTCTCGAACTTGTCCCGGGTCTTCCTTAAGGTCTCTTCCCAGTTGGACGCGCCCATAAAACCTCACCAGGGAGACATCCAGGAGGCGTCAACTGGATGTCAGAGCTATGCCCAAAACATGGAAGCCTGCTTGTTCGTGTTAAAAAAAGAACGGCATTTAAAGGAGTTGGCGTTAACTAGCTACTAAAGTCAGGATGCACCCACTTTTTTCCAAACCGATACAATACCAGGGTCTGAGTACTTGCTGATAGCGATTACCGATACTTCTACCACACACACAAAAAATGCAATGAATTGGAATACAGGTTTAATTTTCTTCTCTGCTTTCAACAGGAAAATACTGTGAGGTAGATAAAAAACTAAAATAATTGTCAGCGCTGCAGTATCAGCTCACAAGAGACACGGCACCCCCACACTCAGTTATGGTAAACGGTAGTTTCGCCCCTCCTTCCTTTGTTTTGAAAGGAGAAAAACTGACAAACCCCGTAGTCAGCTGGATATGAAATATGGTTCAGTATAACCTTCCTCCCTAAGTGACGGAAACATTAGACTGTTTTTGGATTTTCTCACTGTAAAATTCTTACTACATTCTCGCTACTTTCATCCAAAGCTGAACCAGCTGCAGCTTGACAACAATCCTGCACAAATCGCGGCTGGGCGGTAGAGTCAAAATCTCCTATCGGTGGCTAAGTTTACATCACATGAACAGCAGTTATACGGTGAACCACTATGTGGTATGTTGAATAAAAACAATCCAGGGTGGGACTTCAGGGTCTAAGAGATGAACACAACAATCCCAGGGACACACTATAGAGTCCCAAGGAGAGTCTTTTGAGTCAGATGGTACGATCTCAGGCTCAGATTTCCATGGAAGAAATTCAGAATCTCAAGGAGGAAGTCTTTTGGAGGTTTTAGTCCTTGGGAAAAACCATCAGGGACCTAAAATGACTGAATATAAACTAGTTGAGCTGTGCTGAACACTCATCTGGCTTTACTATCCAAGGAAAAGATCTCTAGCTCACTCCTAACATGAATGCTGCATGTACATCCAAGCTAATCTGAGACCTTGTTTTATTTGTTAGATCCATGACTGAGTATAATCAGACCTTTGTGGAGTTCAAAAATAGCATTCAGACTGGATGTGCTGTCTGCTGTTTGATGCATTAGAATAATAACAAAAAATTCACATCTGTTAAAGCTAATGCTAATATGACAACATTTTACTGTTGGCACTAAGGAGATGTCATCTGTTTTTAAAAATTAGTCCGTCCTTCGTGTGGCTCATCATTGTCCCAGTCCGTCCCTTACACTCACTCCCCAAACTATCCAGGTAGCGGTTAGCATTTTGGTTTCTCTTGTTTGGGTGGTTTTAATGTTGGAATGGTGCTCATTTGATGAAGTAATTGTTCTGAAAATCCACTGTGGTACTGGCAGAGGTTCAACAAGCAGTCTGGGAAATCGTGGTCACAGACACACTCATCACATTCTGGCTTGGTTTTTGAGAGCTCCAGAAGATACAGTCCAACCATTTCTGCTGTTTTTGATGAGGAACGAGTAATATAATATGTTCAGATGCTCCAAAAGGTTGATTATGCATGAAATAGACCCTAGAAAATTTGTCTTCAGGCTAAAGTAGAGAAAGCTGAAGATACAAAATCCAGGCTTCTGCTGGAAAAACTGGAAGAAGATGAAGCCAAGGGAAAGGCCCAACGGGAGATGATGGAACAGTTGAATAAGCAGAAACTTTGTGAGAAAGAATTTAAGCAGCAGAAGGACAAGCTGCAGGTAGGCAGGACATCGTTTGTCCACAGAACAGGAATTAAAAATACCATCTGCTGGGTGGACGAGGCATTAAATTCAACAACCTTTTTTTTCCCTCTTCTAAAGGATGAAATCGATCAGCTTTCCAGAAAAAAGCAGGATTTACAGGAAAAACTCAGGAAATGTCGGAAACAATTGGAGACAAAGAGAGCTGAATCTACCAAACTGAAAGAGAGATTCAAGGTAATTAAGCCTAACTCTGAACTCAACTTCTTGCACTCTGGTTCTTTTTAGCCACTGTCTAGCATGTTTTAGTTGTTTCTCCGTTCCAACACACCTGATTCTAATTTGGGGGATCACCAGGCTTCATAGCCTGGTGAATAGGGGATTCAACCATTGAATCAGATGTGTTGGAGCAGGGAAACCACTTGGGGCGCTCCAGGACCAGGACTGGAGACCGATGCTACTGGTTTCAGTCTGCAATCGAGACCTATTAGTGGCTTTAACCAGACCATTAACTCATTCTAATCCTGACTTGTTCAAATCTCTAATCCAGACCTTATCCAGGCATTAACTAAATATATGGCTGCCTCTGATCAACGCTCACAAACCAGTAGCATGTTTAGAATTTTTAGCTGCTTTAGCTGCTAACAGTCACCACAGAGAAGACAGGCAGGCAAACATAAAAAACGCTTTAAAGATGAAAAATCAGGAACTAACAGGAGGAAAAATACATGAACAGGGTTGAAGAGGATTTAAAGAGCGAGCTAACACAACAGTAGGATCGGAAAACCGATGAATGAATACTGAATGCTTAAACACTGAGGGATGTGGGAAGCTGACTGAAAAAGAAACAAACGGAACCAAAAACCCACATGCCATGACAGAGAAAGCCATTTTTGCTCCTGTAGCACATTAGAGCATTATCACCCATCCACCAGGTCCAGAGAGGAAATCTAGTCTGCAATTGTAGCGGTCGAAACATCAACTAGATCATCATTACTCAAGCAGGACTAGAGCTCAGGGGTGAATTCACCTACAGATGATACAGCTTTTGTGAGCAAACCTAATTTATCATTCCTGTCTAATTCATTAGGAGCGACTCTCAGATATGCTTCTCAGAGGCGAGAGCTGTTACTGCATTTAGTCTGAAAATGTGACTGCCTCTTTAGGCTCGGTGGTGCATGAGTCTCAACTAGAAAGAAGGTAAAGAAGGTTCTGTTGCCTTCACAACCAGTGAAGTGTCAGAATTCTGTAAATAAACTGAATGCTGAAACGTCCTTAAGTGAAAATAAGAAGAAGCAGGTCTGCAGAGCCCAAAGTTCCTCTTGATGTATAAATGTAATCCTTAATGTGAGTCCTCCAGAGGAGTGGGTTTCGTCTGCATCCATTAGGACCTGCACACTGAGAAACATTTCTGTTTTTCTGCTCAGATTTATGCTCCGATTCCACACACAGAGGTGAAGTTTCTGGCTCCTATGAAAGAGAAAGAATGCACTGATGAAATGAACCACTTGATCAGAGGAGTGTTTACCATCAGCCAGCAAGTTACTTTGCTTCTACAAGGAGGCCAGGCACTTCTCACCTTCGAAGAAGAGAAGGGTACGTAGAAGTTCATCAGTTGTTTCCTGACCTTTGTTGCTGTTAACTAGGTGTGTGTGTGAGATTCCTGCAGTAGGCTCGGTTAAGGGTCCCATCATTATGCTCTTAGACCCATGTGGGTCTTCTGGATAGATCCATCCTAGAGCTCCTAGATCAGGGGTGTCTGATCCTGGTCCTAGCACCACCATCCAGTATGTTTTAGTTGTTTCTCTAATCCAACACAAGTGGTTCAACTGCTGAAGGAACTCTTCAGAAGTTCACTAACAGTGGATAGAAAGCTTCAGCTGAGCAGGACTGAGAAAGAGCAGCTTGCTTGGCTATCCTAGACCTAGAGCTTTTAGAAGAAAATAAGTTGACCAGTCCTGGAGTTCTTTCCAGCTCTTGGATTAATTTGTTTAGGTAATCCTTCAGCTACCTGTATGAAGGAGTAGCTCTCAGAGTGCTGTCAGTCAGAGACAGAGGTATCAGGGTAGCTGTTGTTCCTGGTGAAAACGAGTATGTGGTGTTTTTGGTCCTCCAGTGGCTTCTCAGATCCTGAAAATGGCCCACTGCCGGGTGACTTGTGAGGGCTCCTCTCTGGATGTCAAACCTAAAAGAATCACCATGGAAACACCTGTGACGTTTGAGGTAACGTTTCAGATACTTCACAGCGACTTAAAGGAGTGGTTCGCTCATTTAATCAGTACATTTGCAGTGGTCTCTAGTAGGATTGAATGCCTCGTAAGTTATTCTCTTGGGGGGGTATACCGGTTCACCTTTTCTCAGATCTAAACATTTCCCACACCACAGCTGAGCTTCAGACGGCAGGTGCAGGAGTCTCATTTCCTGACATTTGGACATCTCGCACCAGATTGGATAACAGCAACACGACTCTACCACTGACTTGCAATGTGGGTATCTTGTCTCCACCAATAACACAAGCCTGAAGGAGTTCTGCTGTGTGGTGAAGTTGCTAATGCTAATAGTTAGCTTAAACTAGCCGAGATTTCCGCTGCTGATCTCTGGACGCAAAACCAACAACAAACTTCTTCGTCGTGATTCAAGATGGGTGAGTCCATAAATGTTAGGTGACAGTGTGACGTAGATGTGTCAGGATTTTCTAATCCTAAAATTTGATCGTCTATGTTCTATCAGAAGCTAATGCAGGAGATGGGTGTAGGAGACTATTTTCATGTTCAGCTTACAGGAAAATCCCAGAGGTACTGTTTATAATCAGAATTAATCATTAAAAATGGTTTTTCAGTTAACTCAACCTTTAAAATAAGGATTTAACAAAACTATATATATTCAAAAACTAATTTAATCTAAAATCAAATATGATTTATGTTGTTAACGCAGTAAATAAAAATGAAATAAAATCATAAAGTATCTATTTATTAAAGGAGACATACGGTATGCAAATGCCACCTTTTGAATCCTTTTGTGCTGCTGCTTGGTTCTCTACTGTCTATAAACACTCTAAACGTGAAAAAATCCATCCATTCGTTTTCTGTCAGAGATTGGTTTGGGGAATAGAATAGAATAGAATAGACTTTATTAATCCCACAGTGGGGAAATTCACCTGCTACAGCAGCACACACACTTAAAAAGGAAGAGGAAGATAATAAGATTACAGGTAACCACACAAAGGCAGTAAGCTATTATTTATTATTATTTATTATGTGCCTAAAACAAGCTGCTTCAAAAAGTTCTCATTTGTGACATTTGTAAATTGATAAAAAAAAAATATCTTCATTTATATTTTTGCATGCATTCTTTGTTGACCGCATTTCTTCGTGCCTGCCTAAAACTTTTGCACACTATTTGAGGCGCTGGTAATCTGCACAAGATAAATACCCACAATCCTTCTGTCTGTAAAGAAGTTAGATTACAGCCCAGTTCCACTTTTAGGACAAATTCTGGGATTGAAAGCTGGAATGGGATTCTTGGGTGGGATGCTGGGTTGGGTTGCAGGTCAGGTGTGAGGATGGGGTGGGCTTCTCTTATTACCATCAGAACCTCATTTCTAATAGTGATTTGGATGTAGGTCCACCTTGATATGTCCAGGAAGGAGCTACAAGTTCTGGATGTCCCTCCTTCCATGCCAGAGGAGAGGATAAAGGACAGACTGGAGATGAGTTTTTCTAAAAGCAGCCGGGGTGGAGGAGAGGTGGAGAGTGTGGATTACGATGAGGAGAGCAGAAAGGGACGCGTGATATTTCTACATCCTGGAGGTACTTTTACCTACATACTTCTGCTGTTGCTGTAGGTCGTGGTTAACTTGGACAGGTTTTGTGTACGCATTTTTCATTCAGCAGAAAATCCGTTATATCAGGTTCTGCCTCGGTAACAGGCAGCTTTAATCTGCTTATTAGGTCAACGCTCTGACATGCTTTTTATCTGTTGCTGCTTCCTGATTCTGTTTGGTCTGGTGATGCTACAGCTGCAAAAATACTATTTCAAACCACTAGCTACCGGTGTGGCTAGCTTAGCCACTTGTTGCTGTGTTTAGAAAGTATTCAGGCCCCTCCAGTACTTTTCTAATAATTCACTACAGATCTGAAGGCCTTTGGCGACTTTAGGAGACACACATGAAAATATGGAATAATCTCATTTCAGTGTGTGTGTGTGTGTGTGTGTGTGTGTGTGTGTGTGTGTGTGTGTGTGTTATGACTAACACCTATCTGTAGTTGCTGTGGACCTGGCCATGAGAGGAGATTACATCGTTGATCTAGAACATGAAGAACACCTGAAGGTTGAACCAACATATAGATATGATCTGCAAAAGTTTCAGGTGAGGAAAGTTTATTAAAGAACAGCCAGTCCTTCACACACTAGTTCGATTAGGAGCACGTGTCCCAATGAGATCTAAGCCAGAGAACATCAGAATTCCTGCAAAACCTGAGACATAATATTAAAATCTGAAAACAATTTCAGATTGAACTGGCGGTTGAACGTGTTAACATCAGTTATCATCTTGGTTCAGATCTGATGAGTCCTGCTCCTGATCTGCGGTAACACCTCCCTAACCCTCATGTTCTCAGTCAAGAGGAAACATGATAAATGACTCAGTGTCTTGCCCAGGGACAAAATGCCATTAATAAAATGTATCTGTGTTAGTTGTCCACCTGCTCATATTAATGAGCAGGTGACATTAATGTCATTCTGCTGTGTGGTCAAACGTCACTTTTCAGAGTGGCCTTTTATTGTGGCCAGTCTAAGGCACACCTGTGCAGATTCATGCTAATCAGCACCTTGGTATGCCACATCTGTGAGGTGGTATAGATGATCTCAGTGCTCACTGACACAGATTTGGACAGATTTGTGAACATTATTTGAGAGTCATGGGTCTTTAGTGTTTATAGTAAATGTTTCAGATCTCTGAGTTGAACTCATGAAAAATAAGAGCAAAAACAAAGTTTTGTGTTCATATTTTTGTACAGTGTACTTCTTAACTAAGATCTCATCTGTGTGTTCCAGACATTTTGTGGTTCTGTAAAACGAACCATCCTTCTGGACGGCATTGGGGGTAAAGAAGATGAGGAGGACCTGCAGGACCACCTTGAAATCCACTTTCAGAAGCCCAGCAACAGCGGTGGTGAGATTGAGTGCATTCGTTACATCTCCGAGGGCAAGACTCTCCAGGCTTTCTTCTCTGAGGACAAGATGGACGTGGAGTGAAATTGTCGTATCCTCAGTTTGAACGTTTATTACATCCTTCTGTAAAAAAAAAAACGGTTGATCATTAAAGCTATCTGATTGTTTGGCAAAAGTGGAGGGATTGTTAAGATGTTTGAGGTGGTTCTTGGTGGAGGAATTTTTGTTTTTCAATAATCAAAATCTATTGGAAATGTAAGTTTTTACACATTAACTTTGTGAGTTATTAAATCAAAGCTGCCTAGTTGTCTCTATAAACATATAATCAGTATCACACGCATCTAAACACCTAGAAAGTCCTGTCACTTCCTGACTGACTGTAGACGCCTAGGGACCATGTGGAGGGAACTGTCTCTGAGGCTTTTTGGAGATTTCCCACCAGAGCTCTGTCCTTTTCCACCACTGACCGTATGTGGTCAGCAGGATTCATCTGGCTGAGGGAGATGTCACTTATATGTAATGCTCTTAGTCTCTTTTCATGTTTATTAAATGCTTCTTGCTGAATTAATAAAATTGTGGATGTTTTAATGACTACAATTTTCCTGACAAGACTTGATGCTTAAAAGCAACCCTTTCCCCAGTGGGTTCAGATCAGAGGATTCTAAAGAACTGTCAATATTTTAACTTTAATACACTATAAAACAACTATTATATACAGGGAAAGCTGTGACAGTGTTATATTGAACTTAAAAAAACACTTGCTGCTCCAAAATAAAGCCTTAAATTGCCTGGTTTATATCTTAAGTAGAGAGCAGTGGGTTTGATTCCACTCTGTTAGGATCAACTTTGCCCCCTTTTGAGTTTATAAAAGAACAGGTTTTAAAACACAAGAAAAAACGGGTGGGAACATAAATTTTTATGCTCACTAATTTTTCTTTTGAACATTTAGGTGTTTTACCTTTTAATTCTTAGGAACCTAAATGATCCCTTTAGGTGTTGGTGAGTGTTTGACTGGCCCTTAATTCACCATGTGGCCCTGTGATGGACTGAGCATCGGTCCCGGGTGTCCCCCACCTATTGACCAATGAATCCTGGAGAAGACTCAGCTCCTTCGGGCCCTAGGAAAAGATGGTCAGATAATGAATAAATGAACAATTTTGCAGCTAATCATAACTTGTGTGGCATTGTAAAGAAAGTTCATTGAAACCAGCCACGCCAAGGAATTGCATCCCAGGAACTCTATAACCCGCGCAGGGTGTAAGAAATAAAGAAACCCTTAACAAAGTACGCGCATTCGCTCATGAAGACAAATATGGTAGTTCCAATCTCCCAAGTTTATTTGCCAAAACATAAGAAAAAGATTTTCTTCATTTAAAAAGAGGCCAGTGCTCTCACACACACACAGCAGGTGTGGCAGTGATTAACTCTGCACTGCCACACATGATTTTACATTTTAAAACTGTACTGTCTGAATACCAAAGGCCTAAGCTAGGACAGGCATTACTAATTAGTCTTGGCTCCAAATCTATATGCATAACATTTTCAATGATACACATACAATTATTAACTGTCCTTGTTGGACAAATGTCTAAAGAACTGAAACTTTTCATTTCCTGAACGTGTTCATAACTTGAGAGGTTTTGGTTATTTTTCATTGTCAAGAGTTCAAACTACTTGTAAATATTTCTGTGTCGGTATGCGGAGTGAAACTGGAACAAACTGGACTTAAAACACAAGCAATGCCAAACTATACATTGATTTAAACTGTTATATAAACATAAGGTCTGGACAAAGTATAGAGATGAGAATCCCTAATTTAATTTATTCTGTCGTTTACTCTGTCTTATCACTTATCGTTCCTTGTTGATATTTTTCCTTTACCATTGTTGGTATAATTTGTTGTTAAACTGTAAAAACTTTACAGTTGCCTGTAATCACTCTTATATAGGAAAATAATGATTGAATAAACAGTGAAGCTCAAGTTTACTCACTGAATGGTAATCTGGGGTGGGATTATGTAAAAAAATTTTTCTTCCCACTCCTTTTCAGGCAGAATTGCATGGCCATTTATGTTTATTCCTTTGCACTAAATGACTTATATTATTTAACTAATTGTTACTGTTACGATCCAGGCTGTCTAGGGGGCCTGGGGTAACAATGAGGACGCATGTTCTCAGGTTAAAAGTAACAAAACAACATTTATTTACATAAATATAAACTCAAAACACAGATTAACAAGACACATCAGCAGCAACGCAAAGCGAGTAACAACTAAACTCATATTAACCAAATTAATACAAAAACCACGAAAGACCATCACAGTATTTTTCCTAATTTCCGAGTGATGTCTTAATTAAAACAAGCGAAGGGGTAAAGTGTTCTTTACCCCTAAAAGACGAACGGTTAAACACAGAGAGTTAAGCTCTCAAAGTTGTTACATAAAATTTAACAAAACAAAACCAAAAGCTGCTGAGGAGACAACAGATCAGAGAGAACCTCCCTGGCCTGCTGCTCCCTGAACTGAGGGCTGGCTGACTTTTATGCTGCTGGCCTGCTGCTGGTCATCAGGATCAGCTGAGAGAATCTAACCAGGAGGCAATCTAGTGAGATTGGAGCCAGGTGCTGCATCTCCTCTCTCACACACACACACACACACAGGGAAAACCCCAAATGGCTCTGAGCCATAACAGTTACCTTGTTTAATTGACTGTGCCATTGCCTGAAAAAAAAACACACGCCTGCATGGTAGGAAAATCACAGCAGTGACTTCATTTTGCCTACCTGCCTATCATTGAACCTGTAGTTTCTACTCCCCAACAGAAGGGGCAGTACCGAGCACTAAAATGTTCGTAAACAACAGAATGATGCGCATGCGCACTCAGGCAGGACACCTTGAGGTTCAGGACTCCAGTAGTCTGGATCGTGGACCGATAGAAGATCTTTAACGCTTACGTTTTAAATCAGATTTGGAAAAGGGAGGAGTTGTTTTCCAGCCTGTTCTGTGCGAGAAGCGCAGGAGCTGAACTAAAGGCTGCTCCTGTGAATAGTTCTGGTTCCGGTTCTGCTCTGCATACACAGCCGACCGTTGGGTAAGATAATGCTGTTTGTTGGTGTGCTTGAGTCAATAATAAACCCAAGTGTTACCGAGTTTTTAGAACTTCGAGCGCGGACTGATACTTGAGCTGTTCTCTCACTACATGGTGGTCAGAATTTCAGTCACGTGACCGATAGGCAACCACTATTTTATTAACTTTTATTTAACTAGATAAAAACCAAGACCTATTGTTGATGGTGACCTGTCAGCAAACGTCATTTTACAAACAATAAAGTCTAGCAGCTAATAAATATTTTACACTCTGACAACTACCCTAGAGCAAGATGTTTAAAATTAAAGGTGATACACGAAATGTTCCAGAGCGCTGCTCCTTAAACAGAGCAACAAGCATCCAGTTGTGAAAATAGCTTCAGATCAAGGGTTTATAAAGTTTTAACGACCAGGGCCAAAATCATCAAATTAATCGTACTCGCTGGCCACTAAATGAAATTGTTAAGTTATTTCATTGTTAAACGATTCTCCACAAAACACATCTCAAATAGACATATTTGTATTATTCTGACTATAAAAACGTTATAATGCATCACTACCAACTGTTTTAGAGGCAGCACTGAAACTCTTTATCCAATATGATTCGTTTTCTCGTTTTATTTTAGTTTCCTGCAGAATAACAGATGTTTATTTTTTATATATTCACAAATATCTAGTACTTGTTCATTTATTATTTTTTTATACTATTTTGCTTGTTAATACTAGGACTGTATACTAAAGTAATTGAAATAAAGTCATGCTATTCATGCTTCTCACGTAATGCCAGAACCACTGGGAAACGTCCACCTGACGGGCTAAGCAGCATGGCTCTTCTGTCCACTAGCATGTGGAAGCATATGTGCAAACAAAATCATATTATTATACCGTAGCAGAAAAGATATTTCATTTTCATATTAACACTTCACTACCACTTCATATCACACACACACACACACACACACACACACACACACACACACACACACACACACACACACACACACACACACACACACACTCCTCTTCATGTAAAAACAGTGTGTGTGTGTGTGTGTGTGTGTGTGTTTAATATGGATGGCAGCATACAAGTGAGATGTAAACATGTCCAGGACCAGTATTATATGATGTTTAAATGCTCACATCATCAGGCTGAGGCTGGAGTCAGGAGGTCACAGACAGGCTCTCTTCAGCTCCTCTGGAGGTGGATGTAGAAGTGTGCTTTTCTGGCTAAAATGAAGAAGCATAACATTTGAAAATAATTTCATGTTCATAGTACACATCTGTGGCTGTCAGTAGAGATGAGGTGCACACCCAGATGTGATCCTTATTAAGTTTACTGGAATAAAATAAAACAAATAAAGTTTTGAGACATGAGATAAAGACACGTTATGCAGCGATAAGTATTACACACTGCCCTGTGATTGAGAAAGGCATATTTACATGTATGAATGTTGATGGCCTTAAATGAAATTTCATTTCTTGAACCATTAATGAACCTGAATGAACTCCTGAAAGGCAGAACCCAAAAATGGTCCTCTTCAGCCTGTTAGCATGGCCGCTAGTTAGCTCTCCAGTCAGGGGGAAGGGTCTGAGACATGAGAAATGTCTAATACCAGAAAAAGAAAATAGGGAAAGTCATTGCTTTTTTCACAGAGTGATTAAAAATAACTATAAAATCTTTTAAATATTAAATGTAGCTGTAGGGGGGCTTAAATGTGTGTGTGTGAGCGTGTGTGCATGATTGTTTGTCCTATGTGTCTCTTTGTTGCCCTGCGATGGACTGGCACTTTATCCAGGGTGTACCCCACCTGATTGCCCATTGACCGCTGGAGATAGGCACCAGCCCCCCGCGACCCTACGTGGACAAGCGGGTTCAGAAAATGGATGGATGGATGTAGCTGTGGGTGTCTTTGTCTGCATGTGTGACATTTTTCTGCAATGGAAGAGGAAGAAACAATCTTTCATATTTCGCCTCTCAAGGTAAAAAATCATGAAGCACTTCACAAGAACGAAAATCAAAATACATACTGTTAACATTCATGGACCCACCCATCTTGAATGTTGTTGGTTTGGTCCAGAAAACAGTAGAAGCTAACCATTAGCATTAGCAACTCCACCACACAGCAGAACTCCGTCAGGCTTGTGTTATTGGTGGAGATAATACATTCATGTTTCAGAGCAAACAGAGTCAGCGGTAGCATCGTGCTGCTGTTAGCCAGTTGGAGTGGAGATGTCCAAAATATCAGTAAATAAGACTAAACTCTGCCGTCTGAAGCTCAGCTCTCATGTGGCTCACTTCTACATCCTGAAACTGATGCACTGGAGCTTTGTTACCCCAGAGTACGACTTACAAGGCATTCATTCCTGCCAGACCACTGCAAATGTATTAAACAAGTGTTCCATGACTTTAAAAAAGAAAACATGATGCTCAGAATTAAAATGTGTCATAGAAAATTAAATCAATATTTAAACCCAAAGTAAAAAAAGTCCAAAGTGTGAAGCGTGGTGTGAGTTGGGCCTGGGTCAAATTTTAAAAATGAAAAAACTAGCAACGAGATCCGAGCCATCACCATGTGGTTGTTAAAATCCTTAACAATAACCAGTCTGGACCACTCTAGGTGGATGGTTAAAACAGTCTAAAACCTAACAAAGGAATGGTTTGTCCCGGGTGGGTGGTGCACCATCTCAGAATGAAAAGGACCCCGACTTCAAACAGCAGGAGCTCAAATGATAAACATGTTATCTGGGCTGTTGTGGGTTATTTTATACTTGTTCCGTGTCAACATATCGTTTATCAGGTTGAATTAGTAAATGTGCCAGTGACAGTATCATTTCCTCTTGTAGATCATTTACTGATCACTGCACACCAGCATGTCCTGTGTAAGTCAGGTAAGTGGGACATAGTTCCTAACTGCAACCTTCCATGTTATTTCCCTTTTATTACAAACACTATAAAACGTGTGCAGTAGCAACAGAAATGGATAAAATAATTGGTACCATCACGTTACCCACAATCATCACTAAAATTACTTAAAACAGACACAAATAAAACCCTGAAAATCAACTAGTGAACACATCATACGTTGGTTTTGAACTAAGGTTCAACAGAATAAACTAGTGAACTAATGAAAGTGGTCTGGACTAAAATGATGTAACCCATAACTGAATAGTTTGTTGCTCAGCCTTTAAAGACAATCATTGTTATCGAGTGATTTGTGTAACGCTACTTCTACAGGCACTATGGCTCGTTCCTCATTAACAAAATGCTTCAGTTTCGTCGGGGTGAAGGATTCTGTCTCCTGTAACAACATTGAGCTGGTCATGTGACTTTCCAAAAGATCCAGTTTTGCCTCAGCAACCAAAATGAGATTGTCCCAGAAGCTCCAACTGCCTCTCCCCGTCTTAATGAATAGCGTTTTTCTTCCTGCATTTGTAGTTTTGATCTGTTGGTTGTTACCCAAAGCCCGTTACCATACGTGAGGGTTGGAACATGAATCAACCATTCAATTAAGAACGTTACTGTTTGGCTTGGCTTGTTGCAGTAGTCTAAGCGTGAGGAGATGGAAGTGTCACCTACAACCGACAAACTAACATCATAGCTCCAGAGATTATTAGAGTACACAAACTCCACCACCATGATAACGCAGCAGTTCAAGGAGGAGGTTTTACATGGTCCCATGTTCAAAATGCTTTTAATAATTTCTAAGGGTGCCATTATTTTTGTCCAGACTGTTTGCATTTGTTGTTGTTTTTCTAATCTTCAGTCGAACACCAGCAATCTGAACTCTCATTGTGCAAAATAAAAAATTGTGTTTGCAACATTAGGCCGGGGGTTGGTGGTCTGGGTACCAGTGGTTTTATCTACGTCTGTATAGAACAGTTGGAGCAACAGGCTGACTCTTAAGTGAGCAGAATCTTTGTTGAGCTGTGAGTCTAGGAGTCTATGAATGAATGTCCTGAAACAAAAATGTAGTAGATTTCTAAATATTGTTGTGAAAGTTGTTGTTGTACCTTCAGGTTCTGGGCAACAGAACCAGGCTGGTGAAGTACCTACCTGGGATCCACGTGTTGGCACAAAGTCTGACAGGAACTAGAGCTGTCTCAGCTGAATCGTCCTGCTCCCATCAGCCCAGGGGGGGCATCACTCCTGTTAGCTTGGGTATGTTATATTCTGTGCTAGACCACTTTTCTTTTCCAACTCCTGTCTGCATGCATGCACTAAAAGTGATTCATTAAAAAAATTGATTTGCAAAATATAAACAGCAGTTGTAGGTTGTTGTACTTACTCTCCTTGTTTTACATGGTTGGATGTGTTTTTGAGGTTTTAGAAATGTAATGTTTACAAATATAATCTTGGTAACTAGGGAGGCACCGATATGTCATTTTTGGGCCGATAGCAGATATTAATACCGCTGTTATGGCCAATAACTGATATTGGTTGATATACAGACACACACACACACACCACATGCATCTATGGTTCTGAGATGATTACCATTTACTGTAATATGATTTAACAATTACCCATCATCATGTGTGTGTGAATGGGTGAATGACTGATTGTGTTGTAAAGCGCCTTGGGTGCTACATCAAATACAGGCCATTTACCATTTACATTTTACCCCCTCACCCTCTGAAAAATACAGAAATGGAAACAAAATGGAAAAAATATTCGGTTGTTAATATTGGCCCAGTTTTATTTATTGAACCAATAAGGTTTAAAAATGACTAACATCGGCCGATACCGATATTAATACCAATATATTGTGCATACCTATTAGTAACCTCTTGTGAGGACCCCTTGTGATTTGTAATGACCCCATCTGGGGGTCGCGACAGACTGGGAACCACTGAGTTGGAGGATGCTGGTTCCTTTGTTTCATTCAAAGCTGACATTATTGGTCCTTAGGGGAGGAGGAGAACTCTGTTTCTTTTTTCAGAACTCAAAAAATATCCAGAATTTTTATTTTACTTATTTCTCTGTTAATAATAAATCTGTGACTTTCCTCCAAAGAGAATTGACATATCCGTGATAAAATGTATTCATGTAGTAGTGATTAACTGTGCCCCTGTGGTTGTGACGCTTCAGGACTAGACCATTTTGGAAATCTGACTGGTTTGGGGGATTCCAACTGCAGCCTGAAAGCAGCTGAGGAGGAGAAAAAGCATTTGGTCTCACAGACCATGATGGATCTTCAGTCTTCGCTATCCAGCAAAGAGGGACACCCATTAAAACTGGTCCAGTTCACTGGAGAATTATCTGTAAGTCCATTTACCATACAATGCATCTAAATATTGATAAATGTACAACTATGAAAATAACTTTAGCTTTATTACATGCATCACTTTCTTGCAGCAAAGCCCCACGAAGGGCCTTCAGAGCACGAGAACCTCTTTATAATAATACAATTTTCTTCTGTGTGTTTTTCACTCATGACTTTGGGGCTCTGTATGCAGTATGACTATGTTTATGTTTATGTACTTAGCAGTCGTTTTTGTCCAAAGTGACTTACAAGTGATAATGAAGCTAATCAGTCAGTCCTAGTGTCACACCTGTTCTGTCTCCCCAGTCTGTTCAGTCCTGTGTCTCCTGATTACTCCCACCTGCCTCTCGTTTTCCAATCACCCAAGCTCCCAGCTCATGTTTTTAAACCCTCTCAGTTCTGTGTCTTGTCGGCTCATTGTTTCGTTGTCCTGCGTGGTTTATTAAAACCTTTGAATGTCCCGGTCTGTTTGCCTCCCTGCTTCTCCTGCATTTGGATCCTCACCTCCGCTCACCTCACCCACACGCCGTGACATCTAGGTGGCAGTAAAGCAGCATAATGAATTATAAAGGGAAGTGAACAAGGAGTAGACAGTAGAGTGCAGGGAGGGTCCTAGTGTAGAAGATGCTCTCTGAAGAGCTGAGTCTTCAGGAGTTTATTGGAAATCAACAAAGATGCCCCTGTTCTGGTAGTGCTTGGTAGGTCAACAACACATGAAAAGAGTCTGGATTGTCCTGATCGTGGTGTAGACACTGCTAGCCGCCAATCTTTTGATGACCGGAGCGGCCATTTGGATTGAGACAATGTGCCGTATGGGTGGTTTTGCTGGGATGACTTTGGTTTTTGAGAGGTTTAGTTGGAGATGGTGGGATTTCATCCATCTTGATATGTCAGAGAGACAGTCTGAGATTCGTGCAGAGACTGTGAGGTTGTCCGGCAGGAATGACATATAGAGCTGTGTAGGGTTTGGTAAATTGAGTGCTTTAAGAGCTCAATATATATTACCTCTACTTATGACCAATAAGCTGTGATATCTAAATATAGAATATCAACCTGCTTGGTCTTTACGGTGTTTAATCAGAAGAGTCTAGGATTCTTTATTTATCAAGGGATTGTACACACACTTCGTTTTGATTCAGAAAAGAGTCAGGTTGAATTTATTTTACCAACAATTAAAACATGACAAGTTAACTAAGCATTTACTGTGATGGATGGATGTGTGAATGTGATGTTAGTCAGAACTTCCCTGTCTAGGAGAGCTGAGTTCTGGATGCAAAAGAATTTGGTTTTCATTAAGCTATGATGTTGTTTATTATCAAAAGCACATCAGACGCTAAATGTGTGTCTACTTCACCCGTTCTGGAGACCCTCTTGGTGGATCCGAAGGTCAGAGGTAGGATGACCTCAGCACCGAAGGGCTGTAGAATACCGTGGCACTGACTCTTCAGTCCTCAGATGTCTCGGGTCACGACAGATTGATGGAACCGCGCGCCTGGGACTCTTTAAGGAGTCAGAACAAGATCAGTTCATTCTGCAGGAACTGTTTGCTGTGTCAGCTTTACAGGTGCAAAAAGGTTTTGACGACGTGTTTAAAGCTTTGATGGGTTAAAGAGGGTTTTGCTTCAGATGGCCGGTCTGAAGCTTTCTCTAGAACTGATGAATCACCAGAGTGATCTGGTTTTAATGTTCTCATGTTATGATTTGTGTAGCCAACCAGAGGTTGACAAGTTTGAGGAATATTACCAAAAATCTCAGAAACACGCCTTCTTTGATACCAGATGCTCTGATCTGGGTAAAGGACTATTTATGTGTCATGAGTTTAACTTAACCTTGCTTTGTTCTTGTGTGAGTGCAAGTGGTGATGACCTTGTCATATAAACATGCTGAAACATATTTCAATCACTGTAATCATAACATAACATTCATTTCAAACCTCAATCATTGAGCACAGATTAATGAAACATTTCATTATATTATAATTATTATATGAAACAATAAACAAACGTTTATTTAATGATTATCTAGCTTATAAGTTGTAGAAGTTCATATTTAATTTAGGAAATCATTCTTTGATTTAGCAACTAATCCGGGCTGCGGGTGTTCCTTATATGGAGGCATGAAGAATCCTGAAAGATTGGAACTTGAGGAGAGAACATTATTGTTGACTTTTCATTATCTGTGTCCAGAGCAAGCCCCCGCAATGCAGGTGAAAAATTGAGGCAAACCCGGAAATGAAATAAATTGCAGTTCCACCCTCATCCGCTGGAGGCTGGTGTCAGAAGCGAGCAAATCCTCATTGACTCCCATGTTAAAAATACCAAATTCACAGCAGAAATAAACATGTTTACAGCCTGGTACCAAAACATGTTTTTGGTTTAAATGATCTAGTTTACACTCATGACAACTCTGAGGGGGGTGAATTTTTTTCTCACTCTTCTGTTTAAGTGTATTAAAAGCCTAAAATTCGGTATAATTAATGAGCATCAGACCCACGTGACCACAGAGCTAGCTCCGTGGAAAGGCCTCAGTAGAGCCTCGGTCTGGCCTGGAAACTGCTCCAGGATTTTGAGTCTCTGTGTTTGTGTATTCTTTTTGGATATTATTTTGTGCAATTGTTGGACAAAATGACTTGCTGTGGCATTAATTGCACTAATAGAATGTCCAAGGAGTCTCCACTTCATTTTTTTCGGTAAGTAAAATTATGTTTATTTTTTTAGGTCACTGCCGAGCTGAGCTTAGATTTTAACATGTACTGTTTAACCATGAAATTTAAATGTAATAGGGTAAAACTCAGTGCATTTAACATAATGCTGCACTTTTGAAAATGGGTTGAAATATAACATGTTGGTGGAGCTGGGTTCCGACTATCGGCTTGTGGAGCTCTTGGGAGACCTCTGTTTTCCACCCGGTTCTCCCCTCCCCGCAGCTCTGCGCATCTCTGTCTGATCGCGGCTTCTGTCTGCTACGCGGGCTGCCGGCTGGTTCTCCCCTCCCCGCAGCTCGCCGCATCTCTGTCTGATCGCGGCTTCTGACTGCTACGCAGGCTGCCGGCTTGTGGAGCTCTGGGATGGAAACCTTTCCACCCGGTTCTCCCCAGCGGCAGCTCTGCGCATCTCAGATCGCAGCGGCGCTTGTCTGCTGTGTGGCTGCTGGCTTGTGGAGCTCTCGGGAGACCTCTGTGTTCCACCCGGTTTTACCCAGCGGTCAGCCCGGTGTATCTCTGACTCAGAAGCTCTGGTGTTGTGCACAGTTAACTCCGGTTGTAGCTAGGTTGCTACCTCCATTAGCTTAGTTCCACCTCCGCGTTAGCTTTGGGTTAGCTTCAGGTTAGCTTGTAGCTAGTTCGACTGGGTGTCGTCAGTTGATCCCAGCCTTACAGCCCCACCCTCAGCTCCTCCTCTCTTCCCTTTTGTGGAATTGTCTGGGCTTGACGGAACCTGTGACCCGGTCAAAATGGTGGTGGTGGCCACCTCCCATTTATCTTCAAAAACGTGTTATTGGAGCTTATGGAAACCCATTGTCCAATATTTATATGTCGATGGTTCAGAGCTGCAGGCTCTGAGCTCCAGCTGGTGGGATGAAGGCAGACTGATTTAAAGGGGACACGTGCAGTGTCGTGTCTCCTTTTTGACCAGATGTTGAATGGTCAAACGGTACCTAAAAACTGACCATTGCTGGACGTTACTAGCTGGGTGTCCTCGACATATCACTGGTAGGAGAAGACATGGTTGACAGTGTCAATTGCAACCGATAAGTCAAGCAGAATAAGTACTGAGGATTTGGCTATTGTTCTAGCATCTTTTAAGGCTTCTGTCACTGCTAACAGAGCTGTTTTGGTGGAGTGGCCATTAGAGGTGCTGAAAAAAATCCATTCAAGTCTGAATCGGGATTCTTATTTATAAAGGTTCAGAATCGATTCACAAAGGTTCACAATCGATCCCACGAACTCATATGTTTGGCATGTTACAGGGTTGAGATGCACTTTTGTCTTTTTTTTTTTTTTTTTTTTGTCTTTGTTAGGAGAGTTAGTACTCCGTTTACTTTTGTGGTCCCATAAATTGAGATGATTTATTTTTGAATCTGCTGATAAGTGGGCACTGGAATGTAATTTTTTCCTTACTCATTAATTTGAGATATTCTCATATTTATTTTCTAAGTTGATAAGTGAGGGCTCAGGATTACTCATGTATTTATTTTGAGTTATTGATAAATGAGAGAACGCCTTTTCCTTTGTAAGAAATCTAAGGCACTTTTTTTAAACAGGTTGAGGACTCAAATGTTAAACTTGCTTCCACACATACTTGAAAAGTATTTGACCGTATTACTTTCAAAGCTACTGTTAGGTACCTAAAGATGTGTTATATTTTACAAGGTAAACAAAAATAAATGTTGCCTTTTGGTCAAAAGATTGCTTCTTTTTACAGTTTTAGAATCACTTTAGTTTACTTTGTAAATTTGCTTTTTTTTTAGCATGACCAGTTAAAAGTAAAATAAAAATGTCCCATAGCTTTAACTAACTTTACAACAAAGTAGTTAATCCTAGAACTGTCACTCTTTGTTAACATTGATTGTGAATTGATTTAAACTGAGAATCGATTCTGAATCAAATTGACACCCAGAGAATCGGAATCGAATCAAATCGTGAGTTGCTCTAAGATTCACATCCCTAGTGGCCATTTTTGAACCCAAATTGGTATGGGTCAAGCAGACAGTTTTGTGAGAGGTGTTCTGTGATCTGCTTGAAGGCAGCCTTTTCGATGATTTTAGACAGAAACTGGGGGAGAGATATAGGTTGGTAATTCTCCTCAAAATTAGGAGGAAGTAATGTTTTTTAGCAGCGGTTTAACCTGAGCATGCTTGAGAGAGGTGGGAAGTGTACTGGATGTTAGTGAAGCATTAATCACATGTGTGACTGCTGCGGCTACTGTAGGAGCAATAGGTTGGAGCAGTGTAGGTTGAAGGAGGTCGAGTGGGTATATAGTAGGGCGGCTTCATGTGAGAAGTTTGGACACACAGACTACTCTTTAGAGGATGTCTCAACTCCTACTTGGGTCAAGCAAGGGACTCACATGGACAATTTTCAGGACATTTTTCTTGTTTAAAAACCCACCAGTCACCAGATCGGACAGCTCTGTCCAGCAGAGACACTTCAGGATGTTTGTGACTCATCAGCTGTTTGAAGATTTGTGTAATTAATTTTATATGATGACAGAGGATGGACAGGTACACAGAGGTGAGTGAGAAAATAACCTGAAAGCTCCTGTTTGCTGTGCCTGAGCACATCAGCTTGTCTTTTAATAATTCTAAACGTTTTGTCTTTTCCTTTAGCAATAGTACAAAGGAACGAGCCTGAAGACAGTTGAGTTCATCATCACCATCATCAGCTGTGATGTTCTGTCCTTTATTCTGAAAGAACAGACCACTCATGAGACCTTAACCAGGAATGTACACAAGCTATAAGAGCATACACATTTAGGATTTTTTTTCTCTTGGTGGTGCGACTACCGAAAATTTTTTCCATGGCTTAGATCAAGCTATACTGCCGTCTCCATCCATATCTGATATCGAGCATCCCTGCTTCACCAGATAAAGTCACCATTTATAACAAAAATATTAAAGTGGTGGTTCTGTGGGGAAAACGTTCAGGTGACATTGAACAGCGTTCAGTCAGGCCACCTAAGTCAAAAGTGTTGGAGTAAATCTTGACCACTAGAGGGAGCTCACATGCTTCTGCTTAGATTTTAGGAACATAAAGTGATGCATCAGATATAAACTTATATATAGCTGCTTTACTGATCCACTGACAACAGACAAGTGAGTTTGTAAACTGGTGTGTGTGTGTGTGTGTGTGTGTGTGTGTGTGTGTGTGTGTGTGTGTGTGTGTGTGTGTGTGTGTGTGTGTGTGTGTGTGTCTTTTCAGGAAAAAGAGGACCCAGCCTTTTCTCATGATTTCCGCCTAACTGAACAATTATTTGACAGCTCAACAGTCGAGTGTGCCATACAATCCTGCCCTGAGTCATTAAAAAAAGGTACATCTTTTTTTTCACCAGGCGTTTTTTGATAACTGAATGTTTTGTTGTTTGCTAAAAGCTCTGAGTTTTGTTTGATGCGTCGTAAACACTCTGCCCTGGGAAAATATTCCTTTTCTTTTGACAGCTTTGCCTTTTAAACTATTCTCTTTATCAGGGCCGGGTTATCATTGCAGGAGCCCATGGGCACAATGTGCTTAGCCCACACACCCCCCCACCCCACCCAGCCTCCCCCAACATTACTGCCACCCAGAAGCACTTTTTAGACATTTCATAACATTGTCAATATTAAAACTCGCTTATGTAGATACAATGGTTAAATATCTGCATGTTTTTTGTTTTGTCTCCTGTCTCATTCCTCCTCTTGTCTCCTGTCTCCTTCCACATGTTGTCTCCTGTCTCCTTCCACATGTTGTCTCCTGTCTCCTTCCTCCTCTTGTCTCTTGTCTCATTCATCCTCTTGTCTTCTGTCTCCTTCCTCCTCTTGTCTCCTGTGTCCTTCCTCATCTTGTCTCTTGTCTCATTCCTCCTCTTGTCTCCTGTGTCCTTCCTCATCTTGTCTCTTGTCTCATTCCTCCTCTTCTGTCTCCTTCCTCCTCTTGTCCTCTGTCTCCTTCCTCCTCTTGTCTTCTGTCTCCTTCCTCCTCTTGTCTTCTGTCTCCTTCCTCCCCTTGTCTCCTGTCTCCTTTCTCATCTTGTCTCCTTCCTCATCATGTCTCCTGTCTCCTTCCTCCTCTTGTATCCTGTTTCCGTCCTCACCTTGTCTCCTGTTTCCTTCCTCCCCTTGTCTCTTGTCTCCTTCCTCTTGTCTCCTGTCTCCTTTCTCCTCTTGTCTCCTTTCTCCTCTTGTCTCCTGTCTCCTTCCTCCTCTTGTCTCCTTGCCCCTCTTGTCTCTTGTTTCCTTCCTCTTATCTTCTGTCTCCTTCCTCCCCTTGTCTCATTTCTCCTTCCTCTTGTCTCCTGTCTCCTTCCTCATCTTGTCTCCTGTCTCCTTCCTCATCTTGTCTCCTGTCTCCTTCCTTATCTTGACATTGTATAAAAGCTGATGGAGCTTTTGTGAAAATGATCGTTCCCCTTCACAATTTGTAACAGGTAGCAGGCGCGTTGCAATATTTTCAAAAGTGTGGGGGATGTTGTCTGTGCCTAAAATAATTATGTTCATCTTGTTAGTTTAATTTCCATAATAGCTGAGCAGGTGTGAATTTTAGACGTGTCACTCATGTCTCCATTTTAAACATGTTTAAACTGTTCAGAATACAAATCCAGGCTCTGTCTCGTTAGATTGGTGTAACTAAAGTTTGTACTGAATGAAAGTTTTACATTAAACCATGTTGAAAAGAAAAGGATCCAGTTAAATCGTTTTCCCCCTCATTTACAGTCAGTACAGCGCAGTGCGCATGGCTCTGGGGTTAATCAAGTTTAATTGTTTCTCTTTGCAACAATCTTCACAAGAAGGCAAAACAGTTAAACGGCAGGTTACAGATATTTCCATCTGACTGTTTATTTTGACGGATAAACTCAAGGATGTTGGTTGTTTTGAAAGAATCCTGACGCACACTGATGCGCACACAGATGAGCTGACATTTTAATTGTTACGCACATCGCAGAGGTAACTAAATAAATCAAGAAAAGATTTCCATCAGAACATCACAACATTATACTGGACACTGTGCTCAGCGCAGCTCGCAGCGCACACGGTGGACAGTGGGCTGAAGATCTGTAGAGGGGTTTGCAGCGCAGTACAGAACCACAGCGATGCGGTAAGATTTCCTTCCCCTGAAGCGGTCTGGAAACCCGGTCTCTCTGAGGGATGTGTCACTTGGAAAAATGTTCGCTGATTATGAAACTTTGGCTGAATAGCGCTTGTTCCCGTCTCCAATATGGAGACGCATGACGGATCCAGTTTGTCTGAGGCAGAATAGCCTCTTCCGCTCAGAAAGCACCTGTAGAGACATTTGATCACGCACAAAGTTTATGTGGAACAGAAGCGGTCGGGCCACGGCAGGTGAAATGTTCCTAGCCTACATGAGGTGAAATTGTGTAATTGTAACATTAATATGTTACTGGACATGCTGGTCTGGTTGGTTAGATCAGTGTTTGAAGTGCAAAACACACACACACACACACACACACACACACACACACACACACACACACACACACACACACACACACACACACACACACACACACACACACACACACACACACACACCTATTAAAATAATGGTGATAGCATGGACTGGAAGCCAGGTGATGGTTTACGTATTTAAATGGTCATCAGGCTGCTGTAAAATGTAATCTCCATCTACATCCAGACAGAATTTTCTTCTATTCTGTCTCTATTTTCTCTTCTCTTGTCTGGGCTGACGTAGCTGATGGTGTGGTACACTTATGAAAGAGTCCTACGTTGAGAGGTACATATAAGAAGTGCAGGTAGAGTTAGAAAAATCCACAGGGCCACAAACACATACGGGAAGATGGGCTGTAGGCTATTTTTTTAGCCCGTAAACGGTCATCATTCTATTTATATTACATTATTCATGTGGACTCTGCTGGGATTATTTAGAGCTGAGAGGTGCAGAGCTCTGATCGTTGACGCGCTCCAGACAGATGCGTCCTGAGAACGGCCTCAGTAACATTCTCAAAGTGTCGCCACCTCAAAAAAAAAAATTTAACACGCGATCGTTTATGTCGGTTCATATCCTTTTATGTTTTCTGTCTTTTATTTGTGCCTGATGCATTTTACTGCTGCGGAGCGTATAACCTGCTTCGTCCTCCGGTGATTTCTCCTCACCGGTGCGGCCGGCGCGCACTCCACTATTTTTGCGGTCGGGAGATCTTTTTTAATTGCAGTTCAAAGTTAACTCATAAGGTGAATATATATGAAGCCATGTAGCAGTTTTTCTTCAGAACTGAGAGGAGATGCAAGAAGATAATAAACAGACAGGACAGAAAAAATAGTCAAATAAAAACAAGTTTGTTTTTGTACCTGGTGGTTGTAACAAACAGACACCATTGAAGGTCATCAGAAGTGAGGAGCAGAAAATTAAATGATTCTTTCAATGTTTAGATCAGCAGGAACTCTGAGAGGCTGCAGGCGCATCAGTGAGTTTGCGGCGGTTGCGCAGGGGGAGGGGGAGAGGGCTGAAGCAGGAACAGTAAAGATGCAAAAACTACCATTGTTAAAAGAAATGTGTGTTAACTTAGAAAATGTGGGCACAATTTTCATTACTTCTCAACATTTTTCTCCAACATTAAGACTGCTGCACAAAAAAAAAAAAAAGACTGCTGCTTGCATGGGCCCCCTTGTGGCTGTGGGCCCCTGGGCCTGTGCCTAGTTTGCCCATATTATAATCTGGCCTTGCTCTTTATTATTATGCAGAATATCATTATGCAAGATTTTGTACAGTTTACACCTGAACTCTGATATTTTATAGCCTCTAACAAAGAAAAATAACGTCCCTTTGGGACCTGTAATGTGAGGTGCTTGGCCCTACCTCCGTGCATTTGGAATTTTTATACCAGGTTTCATTTGGCACAGATGTTGCTCCAGTCCTAAAGCAAATAATTACATCTACTATACTGCATCAGACATGAAAAGTGTTAGCAGAATATTTTAATAAATGTTTGTAAATCAAATGATTTATCTAAATTCTGTTCACCATATTTATTTAGTTTTTATTAGATGTTTCTCTAATTTCTCAGATTTCTGCTCCATGTTTCCTGAGGCTCCATCCTCTGATATGATGGTAATCACAGTGGCCCACAAAACCCAGAATGATATGTCAGCATGGAGTCCTGATGTGGAACAGGAGAGAGAACAAATGCTTGACCAGGTAAACTGCTGTTGGCTCCGGAGGTAAAACTTTACACATGCCTAACTGGGAATAGTTGCATGACCTCTGACCTCTTAAATACACATCCACACAAGAGGGAACCGAGTTATTACTCAAAGTGCTCTAGCTGGACCATCTATAATGGAACACAAAATTTAAAAATGATTACCCACTCATCTTTGTTTTAATCTGGGACACCACTGTGTCAGAAACAGGGACTCTGCCTCTTTTATTACACCACTAGAAAACATCCTAATGCCTAACCGCTGTTCTAAACAGGATCTCTCTGGTGCCTATAAACAGGACTTCCCCTCCCGCAATAATCCCAAAACTAACAGTTTTTAAACGTGCGTGTATTTTATTTATTTATTCATTTATTTTTTTATTTTTTTTCCTGTGTTCTGTTTGGCTGTGAGGCAAACGGAATTAATGTCTGAATGCTGGTGACAAGCCTTACAGATTTACTCTCAGGTGGAGCATCAAAGCGTCTGCTTTTAATGTCACGCCTGATACTTAAAACTTTATTAGTTTTTTGAATGCTTTGTAATTCCGACCAGACACGGAGACAGAGGTGAAAGAGAAAGGAAGAGACAAAAAGGGGGGGTTCCAGAAAAATAAACAATCAATGGTGAATCACAGTGTATTAAGTGCCAACCACAGCCTTAAGACATGTGTTGAAAATGCCCAAGTCCATACTTATGGGAGCACCATGTGAGCATCTGTGTGTGTACACACGCTTGTATATGTAAGATTTCTCTATAGGAGTGTCCAATAGAGAGTGTGAGGGGCCACAGATCTGCCCCCCAAAGATGTGTAGGAGATGGAAGGAGCTCCACGTCCCAGAGATCCAGGAGCTGCCCCAGAGCACCGGGACCCCAGGGAGACTGTGACCAGAAAAGCCCACGCCGGCAGAGTCCCGGGAGATATCAGCGGCAAGCCCACAGGCCCGCCTGCAGCCTCCCTCCCCCCAGCTGGCCAAGCCCGGAACCCAGCGGCCCTGGACCCAGGGGCGACCACCCCCGCCGGGGACCCAGCAGAGCCCAGGGACCCAGACCCCACCAGGCAGCCACCGGGATTGATCAGGCGGACGCCAAAAATCTTAAACCCCCTGACCCGGGAGCCACGAACACTCAGGCAGACCAAGGCGCCGCACTCCACACCAGGTGTGGCAGGGGGAGGGAAGACGAAGATGTATATCATCAAAAGAAGTCCCAGGAGAGGGGAGGAGTCAAAGGCCCCACCTGACATATACAGCCATGCACAGACACAGTCACACACTCCCTCCCCCATGCTCACACATACACATACAACCAAAGACTTAAAAAAAAAGCACGCCGGACACCCACTCATGCTCCCCATACACACCCTATTCACTCTGGTCCCGGTACTGCTGCACATGGGGTACAACCATTACCGGTTCCCAGAGTTTGACCCTTTCTGCTGGGGTGCTGATGAGCAGGATCCCCCGCCCAAGGCTGAGCAAAGCAGCCCACAACCCCAGACCCCAACCAGACGGCCAGAACCCCCTTCTAGCCTCCATTAAATATGCGTTTAATCAAAAATCCTAAACATTAACTGCCAAAAATACAATAATCCACACCGGCCACAAAGATGTTCTGATGTACGCCTAGGAGACAACACAGGCATCTCAGGTCTGCTGCTCTCTGAGAATCTTTTCCAGATGTCTTCTTCCACCAGCCGCTGATTGTGATTCTTCTTGGCTGGTAGTTCAGGGCGGAGCCAGGTAGTGCGGTAGGAGGCGCCGCAGACTGCAAGATAATGGAGGTGTGGTGCTGAAGAACAGCTCCTCTGAACACATGGTGTGGTACTGAAGGACAGGACAGGCGTCGCTCCTCCGTCGCAGCACTGCAGGAAAAATAAACGAGGGGAGGAAACGTACCAAAAAAACGACAATGAAAGGCTCCGGCTGTAAAACCGATTCTACAGAAATCTAAGAACCAAAGAGACCAGAACAACATAAAGCTCTTGGTTAGGGTTAAGGTCAGAGGTCATGATTCACCATCCATGGAAGAGTTCCACGCTAATCACCAGGATAACCTGTTTCATGTTTACCATATAAGAATATCAAAAGCCACATGCTGTTGCCATGGAAACGGCTGCATACTGGTCCCTGTAATATCAGGTAGTTAAACGTAAACATTTAAACTTTGGTGTTACTGTCTTTAAGTTGTATGTTGTACTTCTTGCTGTGAATAAAATGTTTATACTGGTGAAAGAACAAGTGCCCAACAGAGAGATTCTAATTTGAATGTTTTTATTTCACATGGAACACAATAAAAGTTTGACAGAGTTGAAAAAGACTCGTTCTTCACCAGAGTCAGTCTGCTGGCTTCTGTGTTACCCTGACAGTCGGAGCCAACTTTGTGTTTTAAGTAAACTTATTTTTAAATGGACTCAGCTTGTGACCTTCCAACAGACCATCTCATGAACGACCTGTTTGTTGCAGTTTGTTCATGCAGCCAAGGAGATCTGCTCTGCTTTGCAGAGAGACGGCTTCTGGGCAGACTTCATTGATCCATCTTCTGGTCTAGCAGTAAGACGCTTCTTACACTTAGTGTTAAATCCATCTGTTTGTCAGTGTTCTATCAGGCTCCGGATGTGTTTTTTAAAATTGAAACCTGTTGAGTTTTTATCATGCAGAATTATTGTGCAGATTTAAGCTTTCAGTGTTAAAAAGTTCACATGATTCATTTACATATAAAGTTTTAAGGTCAGCCATGATCTTTAGGCTCGTTTTTGCACCATGGTGTTAACGATATGTCATGTATAATGTGTTGTGTTGTTATCCAACTGAACAGTTAGACATCAGAAAATGATATAAATGATGAATGTGGTTTCCTCCCCAGTTTTTTGGTGCGTACACCAACAACACTCTGTTTGAGACTGATGACCGATACTCTCGCTTGGGCTTCCACGTTGACGACCTGGGCTGCTGCAGAGTCATCCGCCATTCTCTGTGGGGAACACGTGTTTTCGTGGGGACAATATGCACCAACGCCCCTCCAAGCTCGCCTATTATGAAAAAGTTGCAGTACATCTGACGGAAGTCCTAGACCGTGGGCTTGACTGTTGTGTAATAGTAACCTAATATGTGTTTAGATTTTTGACATTACAGGTCATTTGATATGACTTATGCATTAAAACATGACTGTAAGAAATGGACATTGTTCTCTGCTGGGTGATGTATGCATGCTTACTGACCGACAGATCTCAGACCAGCAGGAACCACACTGACCAGGACAAACAGAAGAGGCCTGGGTTAAGACTGACACACACTGCAGGTGGGAGACATGGTCCCCTGACAGAGGCATCTTCTCCCAATGATTCACCGCTTTAGTTGCAGATTTGTCAGCTACACATCCATGATGTACATCTCTTGTTCCCCCACTTCCTTAAGGTGCTGGAATGGACTGAGATCTAGTGATTGTAAACTGTCTCAGTAACAAGGGACTAGCTTGTCTTCCAGTGGTCCAAAACTCTGCTCAAGACACTTCTGATTTCTGGCTTTTTTTTTTTTTTTTTTTTGTTGCAACGATGGTTTTAGTGTGAGTTTTGACTTGAAGGTGAGATGCTGGTGACCCCAGAAAATAGAAGAACTAGTCTGAGATGAAGAGTGCAGCAGCAGCATCTGGAGCACTTTTCTGTGGATAAAAGTATTCAACCAAAATGTAATATTTGCTAAAATAATCTCTTAAGTCAAGTCCTGGTCAACTTAATAAGCTACAAAAAATAAATAAATAAAAGAAATTGTGTCAAGACGTCCCACCAGTTGAATTTGTTGCTGGGATGTTTATGTTTGAATTACTTCCTTCATTTAACTGATGAATCACCAGTTCACAACAAAGGTCACCTTAAGCTCAGTAGGAAAACTGTTGAGATCACTTGATTTCAGGTCCAGATTCACAGCAGTAGTTACCTTTTATATTTAGTTAACATTAAAATGTCAATAAGTGAAGTTATCCCTATATACAGCTGACTGAATCTTCACCATTCCAATCAGCTCAGAGTGATGGTGACAGTGGAAAGGAAAACAACCTGAACAATAACAAACCAGACCCAGGATGAACCAACTGGTGTCTGAAAGGACAAGAAAAAGATGAACAAAGACTTGGCCAGTCATTCTATGGAAGATGAAGAGGGGAAAAAACAGCTAATGGCAGCAACAGGAAATGCGGAGTAAAGGGATTAAAGTCAGTGTGAGGAATTGTGGTTAGTCTGTAGTCTAAGCTTAAAGAAGCATAACTAAAGGGGTGAGCTGGGATAACCCAGACTGGAAGATTTATGAAAAAGGAAAGTATGAAGTTGCCTCTCATGGTTCTTAAAGTAAAACGGGAGGCAGATGTTTCAGTTCTCAGGCTCTTCTCTTGTGGAACCAGCTGCTAGTCCATCCATGAGGCCTTTTATGTCCTCCCCTCTCCTGCCAGACACCATTGTGTCCACATTGGTTCTGCTGGAAATGTATTCCTGTTCTGAGTTTTCCTTTTCTATGACATCCTGCATGTTCCTACAAGCATTGCATTAACCGGAAGATATGATCACGTCCTGCAAAATTATTTTATTTAGGAACAAATTTGCTTTTTGCTCTAATTTTATTAAAACTGAATTGAATTTACTGCAAACTGGATTTGATCTGATCTGATGGACTTTTTTAGTGCTTTAAGATGACTTGTTACCTGGAGCCACGTAAATATAAATAAAGCCAAGGACGATGGTAGTCAGTGACAGTAGCTCCCTGTGTGTCAGCTGAGGTTGGAACACCATCTATTCTAACTTCACCTCACTTTATAATGCTCAAATAAAAAAATACCCCAGTTAGCGTTTCAAATCTTTTATTATTTACCTTATTACTTTTTCTTCTACATTCAAATCTCAAAATAAATTCACTGTAAATGTTTCAAATATACATTTGTAAAAGCATAATTAAGAAATGCGCATTGTTTGGAGACAACTAAAGGCTGATTCAGGGAAATGATTAAAATGTACAAAAAAGTGAAAGTCAAAGCAGAAAGCACTACAAATCCTAGCTAAAAGGTTAATTTGTGTAGTTTTCTGTGAATATTATGTCAAATTGATTTGGGCGACACTAGGTTAATGATTTATACCAAAACACAAAATCAATCAACTAGAAAATACGAGCTAAACCCAAAACAACAGCAGAGCATTGTGCTGAAATAGTTCAGGCACTAAATACCTCTTTGGTGTGTTCTTGCTGTGTTGAAATTCTAATTCCATCTTTTAGTTCTTTTTAAAACACAGAAAGGTTTTATTTACCTGCAACATTTCATTTAGCCGCAAACGAAACGTTGCAGGTAAATAAAACCTTTCTGTGTTTTAAAAAGAACTAAAAGATGGAACGAAACATTTGCCCACTTAGGAACTGGCTCCCTTTAACAATCAAGTCTGAAGTAAAAAGGTTTATTAATTTGTAATATTAAGTCACCGTTTCTGGTGCTGCGATGAGCTACACGAGACATGATGTGGCTTTCTGTTGTAACTTTATAACCTGTTTCACGTAACAAAACATCTGCAAAACCAAAACAATTCACCTGCATTTGAAACTTGAAACTGGTTTCACAGTTAAATACAGAGAGTTTCATTCGTCCTTCAAAGACACTTTAACACTAATCAGTCCCTAACAGGCGCAGACTTACTGTGTCCTAAACTCACACGGCACTTCCCTGCAATAACAAAACCACGGTTTGATTCCCGTCATTGTTTCGTGTACTTTTTGTTGACATGTTTGTTTTGCTGTTCTCGCTGACAGATACGTACTTCTTCAAGCCTGGAAATCGCTTCACAAGCAGCTGTCTGAAATAGTTTTGGAATTTTTTCCCAACAAATGTATAGAAGATGGGGCTGATGCAGAAGTAAATGTAGGCAATGTTACGAGTGATCTGAAGGGCGTAACCAAGCTTCTGTGCTTCCTCGCAGTCAGAGACTTCATCGTGCATCAGCATTGTGATGTTGAAAGGAGTCCAGCAGATGAAAAACAACAGCACAATAAAGAATATTAGCCTTACAGTCCTAAACTTTGTAGCTATTTTGGAGGAAATGACGGTGATGGCTATCCTGACGTAGCAGTAGATGATAACAACCAGAGGAAGGATCAAGAAAAGGAAAAGCTGAATATAAAATCCAGATGTTCTCAGCTGTTCCACATCAACATAAGGAAGGGCACCAGGATACTCCTCACAGTAGGTTTTCTCATCCATATACACAAACGTGTTGAGTAGAAGCATTGGCCTGATACATGCCAAACTGCTAACCATCCACACTACAGCGCAGGAAGCTACTGCGTAGCTTTGGTTCCTCACTTGTGATGCAGCTAATGAGTACACAACAGCAAGGTGTCGGTCAAAGGTGAGCAGAGTCAGAAACAGAACAGAACTGTAGAAGCCCAGATAGTAGACACTGCCCACAATTTTGCACATAGCTGTACCAAAGATCCAGTTGGAAAGCTGCATATAGATGCCTGTGAAGGGAAGGCTGCTCATGAAGATCAGGGAGGACAACACCAGGTTCAGCAGCAAGATGTTGGTCACTGTGGTCAGTCTCTCAAACCTAGGATGGGTGAGGTAGAAAAGGATTTATTAGGCTAAATTTGGTTCACATTGTGGTGCAAACTGGTGCTTTTTCCTCCAGGCCTCTCTTTACGGGTCACAGTGATTTTGTGTGAACCTTAACTGCTACTTCAGAAAATGCATTTCCTCCTAGAAGTTGCAACATTTAATTTAGTTCAGCTTGTAATGCATCAAAACAAATCACACCTCAGCAGAAAGTGTAGATGCAGAGGAAGTGCACAAAGGAGAGAGTGAGTTCATTCAGGTTTATGTGACATTTAAAATACTTGTGCAAACTTGTCTGCTCACTTGGGACATTTTTAACCATAGACATGAATACATAGGTGCCCTGGTAGGCGCTGGAGAGTGTAACAGCATTGCTGCCATATTGGATGGGTCCCTCACTCTCCAAACCCAATTGGAGCCAGTGCAGTGTGGGCAACTACACTTGTTTTTTGTGCAGTCTACAGTTGCAACAGTCAGCGCATCATTGAATAGGGCTTGGATCACACATGAATATGCATTGCATAGTGAGATGTGGTCAACATATTATGAATGTAAACAAACTGTGAAAACAAGCAGTGTAAAGGAGAAGCAGCTTTGGGAGAAAGGAAGTGTTAAACAACATGTTAAAATCCCAAAAAGGATGTGGAAAATACAGGGATGTGGAGTAACAACTAAGGACTCGGAGGCAGCCAACATGGCAGCCACGTTGGTGATGACGACAGTCCCAAGCCCTGTACAGATCACGTGGGATCACTGTTGACATTTCTAGTCTAACTGTAACTTTTTTATATTTTCATTTATTTTGTTTAACCCTCTGGAGGCAGGCGTTTCAGATTTGCAACAGTTAAAACTTACCTACCTGATAACTCCACATACGTATTTCATGAGCATTTTTTAACTCAGAAGTACCCCTGAAGGACTTAGTTGTTCGTCCTTTTATCATACGTTATTTTGAGTCTGAGGGGGTTAATATAATTTACATTTTATTATCATGCCATACCATATGTCTGATTTTGTGATAAGCATAATAAAATATGTTCTTTAGATGGGTAAACACATTCCTCAGTACAAATGCACTGGAGGCGAATGAGAACCCGTCCAAGATGACGGCCGGCCACTACGGCAGCTCCACTAGGCATCTATGTACAGTAGATAAGATGTCTGTGTCCTTCTTCTTTCTTTTCTTTTTCTTTGATTTTTAACGACAACTTGCATGCTCTGAAGTGCACTACTGCCACCTCTGGACTGAGACTTCCACTACATCAAATCAAATCACTTTTTATTGTCACGTCACATGTGCAGGTACACTGGTACAGTACATGCGAGTGAAATTCTTGTGCGCGAGCTTCACAGCAACATGCCTAAAGAGAGCCGTATTGCTTAAAACAACAACAAAAAACATCCCTCACCTCGACCCATCAGTTGTTGTTTTTGTTGTTCTTTTTAAATAAGACCTCAAAAAGTAACTAAAATGTAAAAAGAATGGAGCTTTTCAGATGTTCAAAAATACTACCATAATACCACTTATAAATAACTATATATGTTTATAGCTCATTTTTGTACCAACTGTAGATGAAAATACAGATATTGCATATATTCTTAGCTGCTTGACATGTTTTATTGACAATGGTTTTGGTTGAAGGATAACTGTTTTCTTAGAAATAAATAAATATACAAACTTATATTGAGAGTTTTAAAATGCATCTACTCATAACTGCACTGATGTTAGCTCACTCACCGATTGATGATAACCAGGACCAGGCCATTTCCAAAGAGACTGAAGGCAAACATGAAGTAGAAAAGGATGGACAGCTGAGCTCCCAGATTATTGTCTTCATCTCCACTACATAACCCATCAAACCAGGAAAAATTCTGAGCGCCAGTACCGTTGTCATAATTAAATGTTGTTGTTTGCATCTTATACATAAATGTTGCTGGGAAATATCTGTTAAACAGAAAGAAAACAATATTAATATTTACAATGTCCTGTTGCCAGTTTGATACAATTTTGAAACAATATGATCAGAACAAATAAGTTGGAGAACCAAGTAAGAGCCAAGAAACAAAAGCAAAGGTTTGTAGGAATGTGTCTTACCCCTAACCATCAGAGAGGCTCCTGCTTCAGTTCGTCTGAGTCCAAATGAGTCCTAGTCACTCACTGATAAGTCATCTAGGTGGAGGAACTTCTACAGAAGCACTTGTTCGTGTGTGTGTGTGTGTGTGTGTGTGTGTGTGTGTGTGTGTGTGTGTGTGTGTGTGTGTGTGTGTGTGTGTGTGTGTGTGTGTGTGTGTGTGTGTGTGTGTGTGTGCAGACCACTAACTCTAAAAAGCTTGACTGAAGAAACTGAATGAAGATTCAACCACTGGAGATGTCTTCTTTTTCTTGTGGACTGACAGATGTTTGTGTGTGTAAACAGCTGGGAATCTGTTTGTGAGCTGATGAGGGTTGCTGTAAAGACTCTGACACTAGTCAGTGACTCGATGCAACCTGCTGGGTTGGCTTAATGAACTGAACTGTATTGGAATGTTTACTTATTGAAGTGCCTTGAGACAATTCTTGATGGGATTTGGCGCTTCATAAATAAACTGAACTGAATTAATTATGTTGACACGAACAGGCGAAACTAAAATCAATTGTATTATTTAAATGACATTTTGTGTGCATATTTTCTATTAGTTCTGCTCACGCTCAACTATTGTAAAGTTTACTTTAGTTAAAACAACACTTCTTAGTCAATGTCGCCCCCAAGGGTAGAAAATTGCTGGCTAAACTCTCCCAGAGTTACCACGAGGACCAATTTGGTGTGCCACCCCAAAGATGTCTTTGGCCCCGTCTGGCCACCCCATCAACATTTTCTGGAGGCGCCCCTGTTCTTAGCTGTCCTTAACTCATTTTCATGTAATTGAAGTTTAAGTTAAGGCTTGTGTAACTTCTACTAAGTTTTATTTTTAACTGTTTCCTTATTTTGCAGACGTTTGTTCCTCAAACTGATTTCCTCATTTTTACTCTGAAGGTCTGAATCATTAGCATTTTGTCTCTTAGAATACCCTTTATCCATCTCAAATTCTGTTTAGTAATATTAAACCAGTTCACAACAAAAGTTATCTTGGGGCACCATACACAATCCAAATCAAGCCCAGTGTGATCATTTGAAGGTTGGAACGTAGATGGACCGGTTAATGAGCAGCTTTTCTGGCTAAGTTCTCTCTTCACCACGACAGACAGGCACAACCACCTGCATTACTACAGACCAAGCACTAATTTATCAATCCCCTGCTCCATTTTCCCCTCATTCATGAACAAGACCCTAACCTAGCAAATATGCCCGTTACGGCCCCCATGTTGGATCTCTCTGCAAAAATGTGGCGCACGAAGGGTTGCCCACAGTGGGACCTACAGCCACCGGGAAATCATCATTTGGGGCTATGTAGGGGCCCAACAGGGCTTGGGCTGCATGTGTTGGTCATCACTGTTGGGCCCTCATGTCCATAATGAGTCTGTTGGTCCAGACCACGTCTGTAAGACGGCCAAACTACAGTAGGTCTTTGCACAGTGGGTTACCATTACAATCACTAAATATAATAACACCCTATTTAGAAAACTTGTGTCATGTAGGTTATATAATATTTTTTTTTTAACTACAAGTTTTCTAAATCCAATGATTAGGTTTTGGACTAGAATTCATTCGGAATTTAAATGGACTACAAAGATGGCCCACTTGGACTCAATGACCCCGCCTACTTTGGGACGTATTCAAAGTTCTGTCGGAGGTGGAACATGAAGCTTCTTACAAGAGACTCCGCCCGACGTTCCCAGCAGATACTCACAATCCATTTGGGCCTGCCAGGTCTGACCTGCATCCTCCCCCACCACCAGAGACAACTGATGGTGATGGTGCTGTTCTTTATTAAATGTAGTATGTAATGTAAATGTAGTCAGCTGCAGATGATGGGCCAATGGAATGTGCTTGGGTGTTAGAGAATTGTCAATCTTTCAGGCGGCCGAGTGACTCTACTTGTCTCTCTCCTCCTTCCCGATTCTGGTAAAAAAAATAAATAAATCATGAGGTGCAGGCTAACTGCAAGGCAGACTGTGAACAGGTGACCTTTAGCAGGTGAACTTGCTACAGTTGCATTTAAAATGATGGTTCCTAACACCTATGATCATGCTGATTTTCAGGTGTTGAAGACGAGTCATGCTCATACTCATACTTAAGCAGGTGTTAACATCCAGCCATTCCCAGCCCTAGCCTCTGTTATTTACAGTTTTTACTTCTCATTAGTTTTCACTTTCTTATTTTTGTTTAATTTTTCTATGTTCATGTCTTATTCCTCAGTTTTTTTCCTTGTGTCCATCCCATCTGCTCTTCGATTTCCTTTGTAATATCCTGTTCTTGGTGTTTAGTTTGATCATTTTCTTAGTTTATCCATGCTTTCTCCTAGCTTTTCAGTTTCAGTCATCTTAATGCATTAGTTATTTTACACAGGTGTACTTCACAGACGGGTGTGGTGTGTTGGACGGCGGGCGGGATTGTGAAACTGACAAATTTGTGGCATCAAGCCCTACAACCTAGGCCAGCAAATCCCGATCGATGAGCAGCTTTTTCCAACAAAGTCTCGGTGTCCTTTCCAACAGTACATCGCTTCAAAACCTGACAAGTTTGGAATCAAGTTCTAGGTTTCATGTAACTTGAACTCCACTCAAGCGGAGAAAGACCGTCTGCATCCTCAGTACCATGCACAGCGAGATTAAGATTGGGGAGAATCGAAAGAGGAAGCCAAACACAATCACTTATTATAACGCCCTAAAGGGTGGCGTGGAAAGCGTTGTGCCCGAACGCGTTCATTGAATGATTGTTCGTGAATTTTTTCTTTTTTTTTTGTGAACGTGAACTGAACTCGTTTGTATTTTGCCTGACGAACGTAAAAGTGAGTGCGTTCGTCCTGGCGTGTGTGAACAGGTTTATGAACACATTCTTTTGCCGTTCTAGCTCCAGATCTCCACTGAGCTTTTCCAGAGCTAAAGCCGAGCTAAAACATCCTGTTAACCATAGAGTTTATAAAAAGTAGAACCTGCAAATGTGGCCAAACATAGGCAGTAGCGGCTGGTGCGGCATCTAGTCTTCTATGTCTATGCTGTGTGCAGGAGTCAAAGTTCATTCAGAAAAATTGAAAAGGGACTTCACTGAAAGAATATACATTTTTTGAATGTTTTGCACTTTTAATATTGCACTTTGAATTTGCCTTCAGCCTGCTTCCTAAGATTGTTTAATAATTTCCCATTAAAATCAAATTAAAATTATGACATAAGTATATATGGAGAAAAAACTATGAACTAGTTTGTTTTTGGAACAGTGAACTTAGTTCAACAGTTTTTTTTAATTAAGAACTGAGAAACTAACTAGTTTGTTATAAAATGTATGAAGTGAACTTTGAACTAATTCGTTTTTTAAACAAACTTTCCCAACACTGGGCATGGACATGATGGACCAGAAGTTTTGGCAGGACACCATGCATGTAAGAAACCATCGATGGCCAGCTGCTGTGTTTTATAACATGGCAGCAGTGAATGCTCACATGCTTTATCAGGCATGCACTGGAGTGAAGGAGAGAAGGGTGGACTTCCTGGCACATCTTGCAAATGAGCTTTCTAAGCTGCTTCAGCAACAACCTGCCAGACCACACTCTGGGAAACGGGCCACGTGTCAGGTGACCACCCAGTGCAAAAACAATCGTGCAACTTCATGCTGTGTACTATGCTACAAGTATACTTGTGGAGGATACAGGAAATACATTGTGTGAGAGTGCCAGATATGTGCCAAGAACATCAGTTGATTGAAATTGCGAAACACTGATCACAACTAGACACACACACACACACACACACACACACACACACACACACACACACACACACACACACACACACACACACACACACGCACACACAATGGATCTAGCACATTTGTGACCATTTGTAGTTTTCTCTGGGTAGTAGAGTTTTATGTAAACTTAATTTTTGATCTTTTGACCTGAGTATGAAAATAAACATTTATGATCTTGAAATGTTTGAATCTTTGAATGAATTGTCAGTACACCAACTATTCACGTGTAATTACCACATTTACAGAACAAAGACAACCATCCACAAGTAATTAATAATAATAATAATAATAATAATAATAATAATAATAATAATAACAGTAATAATAATAATAATAATAACAGTAACAATAATAATAATAATAATACATATGTTTTTTTAAAGCGCTTTTCACAACAACTCAAAAACTAGAACTAGGAGACAGACAGCAGACAAGACAAATTTATGCATTGAGAATAGGTTAATGTGATTTGAATGTTTGGTTGAACAGGAGAGTTTTAGTGCTATTTTGAATTTTTGTAGTGAGAGTCCTGATTACGGATGTGTTGTGGGAGAGAATTCCATAAGGTAGGGGCAGCAACAGAATAAGCTCTGTCTCTGAGTTTTCCTCTCCACTGTTGCTGCATGCTTGCTTAGTATGAGGATTGCTGTATAGTCACTGACACTCGTCAGTGACTTGATGCAATTTGCTGGGTTTCTTATATAGGAAACATTATTTCTGATTGGCTTAATGAACTGTGAATTGGAATGTTTATTATGTGAATTGCCTTGAGACGACTCTTGTCGTGATTTGGCGCTATATAAATAAAATTGAATTGAATTGATGGTGTGGTGCTTTGATGTGGCTACTTGAGAGAGCAGGTTGGAGGCAGAGGATCTGAGATGATGGGAAGGGTGGTAATGACAAAGAAGATATGGTGGGACAAGGACGAGTAATATCTTGAACTGAATATGCTGTTGAACCGGAAGCCAGTGAAGATCTTTTAAAACCGGGGTTATCTGTTCCCTACAGGTGTGTGAAACAGCTGGCAGCTGAGTTTTGAACATATTGAGGTTTCTGTAGGTGTGTACGAGGGGGATCATGTAGTAGACTATTACAATAGTCAGTTCTGGATGAGATGAAGACATGGATGAGTGTTACTGCAGCCTTGAAAGATAGAACAGGGCGAGTAAGAATCCTAGATAACAACAGCCCAGTCAAATGACTGCTCTCTGGGAGTTCTGGTGTTAAACCTGGTTTGTCTTTGGTGCCACCATTTTATCTCATGTACCTGACTCTGACCTTTAACTCTAACCCCTGACCCTGATTGTAACTCCACCCTAAACCTGATATGTATGAAATTCTAACACCTAGACGTTTTTACTCATGCTGAACAGTTTAGGTGGAATACTGAGTGGCATGCTTCAGCCTGCCTTACCATTGACTCGCTGCTTCAAGCTGCTTTGTCTGACTCAGAGGGAAACATCAGGACACAAAGACCAGAGCCCTGACCCAAGAGTCAGTAAAAAGAAAATCAACCAATTAAAAAAAAACTTAGCCCTCTGGGGTCCAGGGTGTAGTTTGCCGTTTTTGACTCATTTAGATTTTTTTCTTTGTATTTCCAAATAAAAAAGATAACTACCACCTTATGTGGTATCAATCTTTTCAGCACAACCTGGACTGTATGAATTTATACTTTATACTTTTTATATTTGGACATAAAGGGACTGCATATTGGACCTTAAGTCACTCAAAAACATCAAATCCAAGTTGAAAAAAAGTTTGTTTATTTTTGTACACAAACATGTATGATGAATGTTTTTTATAATTTAGAATGATAGTCTGGACTGTAAATTTATATAAAAAACTAAATATGAATACATATAGCTAGTAACACATTTTTAAAAGCTATTAGCAGGAAAATGAAAGAAATTGTTCATTTGTCTTTGTGCAATTATTTACACAGGTCAAAAAGATGCCCCAAAAATATATAACTGTGCCAAAAATAATTAACAATTATGCTAATTCCTTATCAATATTTGAACAAATTTGTACTATTTACATAATAATTGGATTCTTTTGTTTTCCAAGATAACTCAAAGTTTTTTGTGCCACCCCAAGAAGCAGTTTCTGTACGCAGAGGAGCATCAGGCCTGGCTTCTCCTTGTAAGAAAAACAATAGAAAAGATTATTTGGACCAAGCGAGGAATAGCTGGACAGTTATACTTCATGGCTAGAACCTGCTTGCTCCTGACAAACCTTTAGTCCAGGTGTGCCCAACCCTGGTGCTTGAGAAACCCAACCCTGCATGTTTTTTCTCTGCACCAACATCCTTGATTCAATGGTTGAATCACCTGTTCAGCAGCTCATCATGTGCTGCAGAAGTCTGAAATTCACCCGTTAAAGTCAGGTGTGTTGGAGAAGGGAAACAACTAAAACATGGTGGATAGGAGATCAGAAGGGCCGAGGTTGGGCACCCCTGCTTTAGTCCATCTCCTGTTTTACAACCATCACAGAGGGGGCGGGGACGGAGAAATGACACAGGTGCGGAACGAGAGCAGCTTCCTCTGTGCCTGCCAGGACCTCAGCTTCTCTTTTCAGTGTAAGAGGAAGGATTGATCACCCACATTATCATCAAAACCCTCAATGTGGCGTCAAGACTCCTGCAGTCTCACGCTCCTGTCTTCCTGCTGAGCTGCTGGGCATTCATCATTCTCATCCTCATTTATACCTAAAAACACACCCAACTACAAATGAATAATAATCTTTTTGTCACAGATCGGTCCAATATCTAAAGTTTTCTGTCAGTGTCCATCTCATAGCTGACTGCGCTCCGTGACAACTCATAATCGCGGTTTTCACAACTTTTCTTGTCTAAAAAAGGGCGTTTCTTTAGTTTAGTATATCTCTGCTTTTGCCAGGCCTATTAACACAATTTAAAAAACTGGGGTGTAGATTATAAACTCATTTTTAAACCTAAATTCAAACCCGTGGAGGCAAAGTTTTGCTGCTACGACATCCCAAATCAGACCTGTTAGACGCGGATCTGCGTCCGTAGACCCCAGAGGGTTAAGGAGAAAAATAAAACATGTTTCCCGAAATAAAAGGTGAGTTCTTATTTAATGTATTAAAGTGACTGAGTGTAATACTCTTTTGCTGATTTTTGGTATCATAATTTTAAATGTGTCATTTCCAACTGGAAGCTAGAGCACATCACACTGGAACACCTCCGCCTTAGCCACCAGGTGGCCCTGTGGTCCTGCTGTCAACCCAGTCATTGCCTACATGGTTCTTCTATACAGATGGAAGTGACTCCAGTTCATGACTTATCATTTAACCTTGCTGATCGTGTCAGCTCAGACCAAAAACTTTAGATATGTACAAATGAATCAGACAAAACACGTTCCTTACAGTAGATAATCACTCACACAGAAATCATGAACAGTGTGATCAATGAAGCAGCTGTAGTGGTAACATCATTTGAGAGGAGTAGTGTGTTACATGGCTGTGATCACACCAACAGAAAACACACGAAATGTTTGAATATGGTTTCTAAAAATGTTCTGATGGGAACTGATCAACATGTGGTTGTGTGTGTGTGTGTGTGTGTGTGTGTGTGTGTGTGTGTGTGTGTGTGTGTGTGTGTGTGTGTGTGTGTGTGTGTGTGTGTGTGTGTGTGATGACACACTACCTGACCTCTCAGGTTTCAGGGAAGCAAGCGAGGCCATGCTGAAGACGGCTGATGGGCCCAGTGAGAGAAAGACAGGCTGAAAGAGAGACAGACAGATAGATGGTCATCCTGCTGAAACTTGGATGTTTACTGAAAATATTTTGGAGTAAAAAAACCGTATCAGGTAAGACCGGATGATTCAGTGTTTACTATTTTGGACTTGATAGTGAAATGAAACACGTGTGAGGAGTGGACTGAGGGGAGATTACACTCTGGGGTCACACTCTGTTCTGTATTCTTTGATTAAGTTTCTAATTACAGCTTCTAGAGGTGCTTTCTCCAAACATGGCTTCTCTGCACTGCTATCCCCGATTATCAGATAGGATTCAAATGGGGAGCTGATTTAAATCTTTGGAAAAATTCAAAATGCACTTGATTTTAATCAGCTTAGATGTTAGTGAACTCAGACATAAGAGTTGTTACAATTGCTTATGTGCTGCATTATCCTGTCCAACGGTAAATCAGGATGTGGGCAGAACAATAGACCACCCATGTTCCATTTGACTTTATGTTGTGATTAAAATGGCATTTTTGCGAAATCTTTTAAAATAACATTAAATTTAAAAACAGCATCTCAGAGCTTTAATATCTGGATTTCATGTCACTGTTAGACTTTATCAACCTTCCCATAAACACACTGACTTTAAAGGTTCCACTTGATTTGCTATGAAAAGAT